TCGAACTACGTCCCGCTGTTTCCGGTCTTGGGGAAAGCCAATGCGCCCTACGCGCGATCTGTCCCGGCATCCAACATCACTCCGCCCGCGTCGCTGCCGTCCGCGGGCTCGTCTTTGACACGCTCGCTCGCGCGGGACGAGTTTCACGCCTCACCCCGGGGCATCAGCGCGCTTTTCTCTTCCCTTCGCGATCTTATCATCCACAGCATTTTCAACACCAACCACGCGGATCCGACTGTCAACGCTACCAGCAGCTATCTGGACCTGAGCATCCTATATGGCAACTCTCGCAGAAGAGCAAGACACTGTGCGGTGCAAAGATGGAAGAGGCGGGCTCTATGCGGACTGTTTCGCAGATAGCCGTCTGCTTCACATGCCGCCCGCTGTGTGCAGCTTGCTCGTGGTGCTGAGCAGGAACCACAATGCAGTCGCCTCGTTTTTGTTTGCTCCAAATGCTGATCCCTCCGCACAGTACACTGCCCAGAAGATCTTGGAGATCAACGAACGCGGAATATACAAGAGTTCCTTTGCTAACGACGCAGAGACTCGCACAGGATGATGAGATTTTCAACCGGGCGCGCCTAGTCAATTGTGGCTACTTCATGCAGATCATTCTCGGCGGTTTGTGTTTACCTTTACGAAATGGTTCCCCCTGAAATTATCTCTCATAGATTACGTCGGTGCGATTCTTGGTCTCGTTCGCGATGGTACAGTTGGCGGCTGGACCCGCTTTCGCAATCGCGCGAACCAGCCAACCACGAGCTATCCCCACGCGGTGAGGCAATGTCGTCTCGATCGAATTCAATCTTCTGTACCGATGGCACGCGAACGCTTTCCGAACAGACACGGCATGGACAGAGAACATGTTCAAAGACCTGTTTGACGGCCAAGATTTCTCGACTCTCACTATCGAGGATTTCATGCGCGTCGCTCATACAAGTTGATTCCAGACCGAGACCCCAGGAAATGGACGTTTGACGGACTGGTTCGGGGCGCAGACGGGCGGTTCAAAGACTCTGACCTGGCGACAATCCTGCAAAACTCGACTTCGTGGCGGGCTGGAGCATATAGGCACGGGAATTCCGGAAGTGCTGCGGGTGATAGAGGTGCTGGGAATAGAGCAGCTAGACGATGGGGCGCGTGTTCGATGAACGACTTCAGACGGTTCCTTGGGCTGAAACGTATGTGGTGTCATGGATCGGCTTGGAGAAGATTCTTAACGCCGTCCCCAGCTTATGCCAGCTTCCAAGAATGGAACTCTGACAAGTCGGTTCATGTGTGTCACGTTCGTTGGGGTCCCTTACAAGCACTGACTGGTTCAGACGGCTGCTGCATCCCTTTACAACGACATAGAGAATCTCGAGCTGTATGTGGGCTTGCAAGCGGAGGAAGCCAAGCCGCCGATGCCTGGAGCGGGTCTTTGTCCGGGATATACCATCTCCCGTTCTATTTTGGCCGATGCGGTCTGCCTGACCCGCGGAGACCGATTCCTGACGATCGAATTCACACCGTGGAATCTGACTGCCTGGGGCTTCAGGACTGCCAATTTGATGCACAGGATGGGTCCTACGGAGGAATGCTGACGAAGCTACTGTTCCGAACGCTGCCAGAGTACTACCCGAGGAGGTCGGCGTACGCTCATTTCCCGTTCCTTGACCCGCATTCATGCAAACTTGATGGCGGAGAACACAAAAGTCTGGTTGGCGAATATATATGGACGAAGCCAGAATCAATGTGGAAAGGAGGCAGTACTTGTGGTCAGACGGAGAGTGCTGTCAGAGAAGTGCTTGCCGACCAGACCGTCTTTCCGAACGGATATGCGGACAGAGTAATGGAAGTCACGGGCCATTCAACGGTCGATCATACATTCGTGGGTTCCCCGTCTCTTGCCCATTTGCGATTTTCAAGCCGTGATAGGTCAACGATCTGCTACTCAAAGAGAACGCGAAATGGACAGACTACTTTGTGACAGAGACGCGAGCTTTGATCGCCCAGTTGTCGTTCGGGAACGTCAGCAAGAAAGTCCAGTACATCGACATTGTCCGCGATGTGATCAACGTTCTCCCCGGTGCACTGGATTTGCAAGGAGATCGCCGGTCTTCCGCTCGGGGAGAATGTGCAAACGCGCTATCATGCATTCGCGGACGTATGCCAGTGCGTTTCTTGTTCGACGATGTCGTTGATTGCACAAGACTCACTGGCAATCCTCCTCAGATACATCTTCCTAAACTATGATCCCTCGTCAGACTGGCATCTGCGGGAAAGCGCGAAACAGGCGTTCCACGAGTTCGACAAGGTTGTGAAAAACATCTCGGATCACGGATATCTCTGCTGGATATGGACCGATCATCGCTCGCGGAAAGCCTTCCGTTCTTGACTGAGCTGAAGGCGTCGGCTGACCGGCACCACCTGGACCTGAACGAGCTGAGCGTTGCGCTGTTCGTGGAGGTAGTGACGACCGCGGCCCACTGGTCGCAGGGAGTGACGCACATTATCAACTACTATCTCGATGAACGTCGAGTGGAGAGAGGCTGAGATCGTGAAGGCCGATGGGAAGAAGGCGATGGATATTGTCGGGCTGCGTTGGGTCAGTGTTTTTTCGAATGACGATCGCCTGCTGATTGCTGATGCGCTGAGCAGCCGTCGACCCGCCTGTTTTGGGGAGTGTACCGAACCGCGCACAAAGACGAGAACATCGTGGAGTCGACCAAGGTGCCGCTCGGAGCGGGTGTTTGCCAGCATCAAAGACGCCAGTGCCGGCATGGAAAAGCCGTTGCTTGGCATCGGGGAGCACGGGCTCGTGTCTGCGCCGTTCTTTGAGTCGACTGTCCCGCGGGTGGTGAGCGAGATTCTGAGGCTGAAAGATCTGAAACGGGCGCCTGGCACATCTGGAGTGCTGAATCGGTTCACGGAGAGTGTGCACGGGGCAGCTCAGCAATGGTACATCGACTCTAAGTCTGATGTGGTTCCGTTCCCTCAGTCTTTGGTGGTCGAATACAGCGTGTGATCATAACACAGAAACTATTTAAACAGCAACAAACTATGTAAACCGTGTAATGGTCATATGCATTCCACCGCTCGTCTCGAATTGTGCGACCAGCTTGTTGGCGTGCCAGACTTGGACTGGTCTTGGTATAATCTGCGCATCGAGACTGATGTTGACCCGTTTCGGCTGACCTCCTTCCCATTCGAAATCGAGGCCCAATCCACCGCGGATGCGAGCACCTTTGATTGAACCTGTGTGCCACTGTTGTGGGAGAGCAGGAAGAAGAGTGATTTTCAAGGGCGTGTCGCGAGTGGGGACGTCTGGAGCCTGGATGATGGCGTTCAGCACCGCACCGGCAAGCCCAGGTTCGCATCGATCTGAAATATGGGATCCGCATCAGCTGGGTCGTACAGGCTGAACAGATTCGGCCCAAAGTTCTCGTAGATCCCATATGTCAGTTGGTGGTAGAACTTGGCGGATCGCCCAGTTGAGCCCATGCCGCCGCCCGCCACATCTTGGCCCAGCCGGCATCCGCATCGGGGCCAGTGCCGTTCCCCCGGTGGATCAGGCTCGTTTCAGCAGCCGACAGAATCTGCTCTCTCGAGTACAGCCCCTGACCGTCGTAGTTGCTGATGGCATAACCGGGGTACAGGCCAATCAGATGCGACAGATGGCGATGCGTATCGTTCGGGGCGTCCTGGTCCACTTTCCACTCTGTGGGATTCGTTCAACGAGAATTCGATTGGTGATGCAAAACCAGGCACCTTGCAGCTGGCCCCAAGATCCGACATGCAGGCCTTTGTCCATCTGCGCTCGTTTCGCCTGCACCTCTGCTGGCCATCAGAATGTGCTCCAGCAATCGAGGCTTGGAACGCACCGGCCAGGAAAGCGGTGTCGCTATCACCGGCATATGGCCAACTCTTCTCAATGGCGTTGAACAGCTGCCACACGATCTGTTGCGCGTGAGCACACCCCAGCGTGATAGGCGCCTGTTCCGGCGAGTTGCACGGCGCAACGACCAATGTGCCATCGTTGAATCGGAGATCCGGAATCAATTTGTCGAGCTGGAAAGACGCGACGGATTTCAGCAGGGGGTATCCCTGTGTCCGCAACCATGCCAGATCGTTCGTGTAATCGAAGTGGTCGAAGACGTGCAGCATCTAGCGATCTCAGCAAGGGGATCGAGCAACCGATCTTTTGCGCTCACCATCCAGACTGAAGATTCTGCACAACCGGTCAAGTTGGCTTCCATGGACAACGAGCACAACTCACCAGGATAATTGGCCCACATCGCATTGACACTGGAGTCGGCCTTCATTCCGTGTGGCCAAAAATCTTGACATGTCACTTCGCGGTCAACGGGTCTTCGAGATAGCAACACACATTCATTTCGTTATGTGTGACCCAGCCTCTCGAGATGTTGTACAGCACTTGAGCGGTCTCGGCTCCCCGCGGAGCCCAGTTTTTCTATTCGGGAGCTCGAGTCAGAGCATAACAGGACGCACGAACAACCTCACTTCGAAGTAATCGAACAGCGGCCCAGAGACATCCAAGTTCGTCATTTCTGCCGACCAGTAGTTCATTTGTATGTTGATGTTTGAGTGGTAGTCTGTAGTCTCCCTCAACAATCTGGAGAAAAAGTTGGAGTGGCTTGAACCTACCTGCACTCCATGGGTTCCCCGTACTGAGCGCCCATTTCCCCTGCAAGTTAGCCGGAAGCACACCCCGGGCGCTGCTCCCAAGCAGATATCTTCCAAAGTTGAACATCAGCCACTCGAGATAGATGTCCCCTTGGTCGACTTGATAACTCGCGACGATCTGATCCGTCGACTTGCTCTTCCACTCCGAGCCTACGGTGCCCAACGACAGCGAGAACTTGTTGAGCACCCCATCAAAGTCTGCAAAGTGCGCTGCCCGAAGCGAGGTGTAAGACGTCGGGAGCTTGCCGATGAGTTGCACAAGCGCAGAGTGCGGATCAGGTCCCTGGAACGAGAAGCCGTGGGCCTTGTCTCCAGCGTTTTGGTCATATTCCGTTCCTCCGACCCATGTGATCCAGGCTTCGGACGCTCCGGTCACTGAAATTGTGGCGTTCGCTGGGGATGAGCTTGCCGAGCAGGCAACAGTCCCTCCGGAGCTCATCACTTGTCCGAGTATCTCATACAGCATACCCGGCTCGCCAGCTGTTCCCCGCACTCTCAGTGTATGCGAGTCCAGACACGTGATGTTGGGCGTGGGGAGACCGGATTCGAGCGCCGAAGAAAACGCGAAGGTTGTGAGGGGCAGATGCTTTCCAGTTGAAGAGATATGGTGTGTGCATGACTCAGTCGGATGAGAACAGAAGGTCTCCCTGCATCGGTTGAGTCTACGCTCTGTAGATGCTATATGTCTGAACACACCGAGTGAAGCCAGCGCCTGATTGCGTCCACGTGTTCCGGGCAATACCCTGGTCAAGGTCGAGCCATCGAACAACGTTGGTCTGATTCCCGGACAGGTCGAGCGTCGATACCAGATAACCAGCACCAACATACGACCCGTACGCTCCGGCATCGGTAGTCAGGGTTGTTATATCTGATGCCCATTAGTCACAGCTCAAATGAAAAGAACGGTGGGAGAAGCAGGGACGTACTGGCAATGTCCCCCGTTTTACTGGCGAAAATCGCCGAGCGATACTGTTGCATAGCCGATGCCATCTCCTGGAGTTGGTCGGCTTGTTTGTTGCCTCCATTGTATGTCTACCGCAAGGGTTTGGTCCAATATATGAGATGTGGAAGGATGATACACACTGGATCTTGGAAAGGGCCGCCGGACCAAAGACTCTCGATGTTCAGTTGCATGCTTTCCTGTACCGTCCCACCCGGCGTCATCGCTGCATACGCAAATCTGGTCATTATCGTGCTCGCAGTCGTCTTCCGCTACATACCAGCCAGATATCCGTTCCCCACTGGCAGATAATCCAAGGACCACACTTTCCCCACATTTGAGAACCAGAGGCCATTTCCACTGCGTGGGAAGTTTGCGGGGACACCAAGCGTGCCGACGACAGCGGCGGTCCCAAGCACGGTATTCAGTGCGATGTTGCGGAGCCGCATCGGAAGTTCTAACCAAGTGCGCGATGTCGGCACATGGCACCAGTCCCGGACCCAGTTATATACCCATCCATGGGTGATCCACTGGGTCATGGGGGTATCCACGAGTGAAAGAAGGGGCATCTATCTGACAGTGTCCTTGGAATGAACCGCGGCGAAGCAGTGGCTCTGCGTGTATATCCGACGGGGTGCCTACAGGTGATGAATGTCGGTGTCGGCCTTTCTCATACATACTTGGGATGGAGGGGTCCACCCCGTGCATAAATTCCCGTTTAGAGGAGTCAAAGCAGAGGCTGGCGAACTTTGGCGCAGCAAGAACGGTTTGGAGCAACCTCGAAGAAGCGACTTGATCTTCGCCTCCGATCACGAGATCTGGCACGAGATCGTGCTCGGTTGCGCCGACGCAGACCTTCCAGGCTTCTGTTTACGCAGATGACCACCTTTCCAGACGCCAAATTCGTTCTTTGATACAGCTTTCCGACGAGGAAAAGGTTCCGGAAGGGTATGATACAAACATATAGAAAACAACATGAAAACCCGAAGATTCAGCGCGCGCGTGACACCAAGTGCCTCCAGGACACTTGCAACTTGTTGCACCAGCGGAGTTGACCGCAACCCAATCCCATCGCGATCTTGAGCCCTGCTCAAGCTTTGAACTGATACCGCGAATCCTGCGCGTAGTAGTTGAACGACGGGTGCATGACGATCGTCGGCGAGTAACGTGAGAACGGCATCTTAAAGATGTGTTTGTGGCCCCGCGTATTTTGAGTGACGGAGTATCTCAAAGTCGCGAGACAAGTGATGGTCACTGTAGGAATAGGTTAGGGCCCGATATCTAGACGAGACCAACGTGCGCACTGATCACCCATTCAAGCCAAACGAATGCCCGCAATGCACCGAGTTCGTGGCACCATTGGATGTCATCCGGGAAAGCTGCGATAGAACATCATGGATGGAGTTTGGTGAGTAGAAGTAAAACTTACCACTGGGGATAACGCTGCAATCTGTCGGCACCATCCTCCAGCGCGACGTCGAAAACGCATTGAACGCTGGAGTTCGGGAGATGGGATCAGATAAACACAAGTCGACACAGTTGCATGGCACCAACCGAGCCAGAAAATGCCCAACACGGCGAAAACGCCGACCTCAAACTGCGGTCGGCCCGTGAAGGCCGTGCTGGAGACCAAGTCGAGCAGGGTCATCGACCCTAGGACAATCGCGGTGACAATGGAAAGAATGAACGGGAACTTGTCGGCGACAACTATAGAAACCCGGGCCGTAGTCAGTCCAGAGTGGCGTAGCGATATCGGTTATTCTAACATACAGAAGAAGTCTTGGAACAGGTTTACTCGGGTGGAAAGCACCAGAACGACCAGATTCAGAACGAGTATGAGGACTATGGCGGCTTGAGAATCGCGCTTGTTACTGGATGAACAACGACAGACCGTGGGCAGTGGCTTTGACTTTTCCTACAGTTGAGAAAGCCATGGTAGAAAGGGAGACAGACGCGAAGACGAAGTACACAGAGCCAGAAAGAATGAACCGAAACGAAAGAGCAGAGAGAATGTGATGGTCAGCAACTAGTACTGACTGGTCGAGAATCAAGCCAGCGATCACACCGGTATGATGACGCCCCCTGACGACGACCACAACAACTGCGTCAGTGCTTTTGCATATCACCAACTGCGTGTCAGCCTATTCGTGCGGTCGACGCTGGTCTGGGCTCTGTATAGTGCACCCGTTCGAGCGTGGATCACGATGCTGACAACGAAATTTCTGAATTGCTTTGGCAGTTGCGACATCAGCATCAGGGATGGTCTTTCCGTTCGGGCGGAGCTCATTTCACCACGACAGTAGACACCGACGTACTTATATCGCCATCGATGGTCCCACGAAGTGACTAGGCAAGTATCGCTATCGATTATCTTGGTCAACGGGCGGCCGGTTATTTGCTCATCAGATCGGATCCAAGGTTCCCGCAGCACCACTCAGCACCATTCTCTATCATCTACCGATTCTACGGAACATGGCAGATATTAAAAGCCGCAGAACCTACTAGACGATATCAACCTTTGTCATCTCTTGAATTATTCATCAAAAGGTTTGTAATGCAAAAAATGTGCAACCAGATAAAATGCAGCGGCGATCGGGGTACTGGGCACCTCACCACACACCCCATTTGCCACCATGACCTCTATTCCAAAGCTCTTCCAACCTATTGTCGTTGGCGACATACAGCTCAAGCACCGTGTTGTGATGGCGCCCTTGACACGATTCCGTGCAGACGACAAGAATGTCCCACTTTCCCATGTGAAAGAATATTATTCGCAGCGAGGGAGCGTTGAAGGGACTCTCCTGGTAACTGAAGCCTGCTTCATCGATGAACGTGCCGGGGGCTACCCAAACGTCCCCGGTATCTGGTCAGAGGCTCAGATTGCTGCGTGGAAAGAGGTGCACGGGTTCGGCGCCGTCAATCTCGACAAATCTGACGTGATTTACAGGTTACTGAGGCTGTGCATGCCAAAGGGTCGTTCATATACCTTCAGCTGTGGGCCCTTGGACGCGCTGCTCAGCCTGGTGTCTTGGGCGAGAATCCCTACGTCTCGGCCTCCGACGTCCCGCTTAGTGACCGGCCGGCGGACGCGATCAAGCCTCGCCCCTGACGAAGACAGAGATTTCCGAATACGTGCAACTCTACGCACGTGCGGCTGTCAACGCGGTGGAGAAGGCTGGATTCGACGGGGTGGAGATCCACGGCGCAAACGGATACTTGGTCGACCAGTTCTTGCAGGACGTCTCCAACACCCGCTCAGACGAGTACGGAGGAAGTGTCGAGAACCGGACCAGGTTTGCGCTGGAGGTTGTGGATGCTGTCGTTGCCGCAGTGGGCCAGAAGAAGTCGGCGATTCGTCTCAGCCCGTGGAATAACTTCCAAGGTAAAGTCTGCCTTCCACTTGAGTGGTTGATTCTGAATGCGATTCGATTCTAGACATGGGCATGGAGAATCCCAAGCCCACCTTCTCATATCTTTTGGAACAGATCAAAGCCCGTCACCCAGAGTTGGCGTATATACACGCTGTCGAGCCCCGATCCAAAGGCTTCGAAGTGCTCGATGATTCGAGTTTGCCGGAGGGAACGTCCAACGATTTCATCCGCGACATCTGGACATCCTCCGACAGTCCTAGACGTCTCGTTTCCGCCGGTGGATACAGCCGGGAGGCTGCCATCAAGGACGGCGAAAAGGGCGATCTCGTCGCTTTTGGCAGACAATTCATCTCTAACGTAATATTTCCCCTAAACCCGCTTGATGACTGTCGCTGACTGTTCACCAGCCCGACCTGCCGGCCCGACTACTCCATGATTATTCTTTAAACCCTTACGATCGCACGACGTTCTACTCCGCGGGAACCTTGGACCCGAAGGGATTTACCGACTATCCGTTTTATGACGCTAAATCCCAACTTTGAAGGTCGCGCGCCGAATGATACCTGATAATAAACTCATTGTAGATATACTGTCTAGAAGTTTTGACTAAAGATACAGAATTTAAACCTTATACAAAGATGCTTACTGAGGTACTGCCCTTGGGTACCTGGGCCTGAGGCGATTCGGTACTGACTGGTAGGTGATCGAATGGCCGATATTAAGCACAAGCGCGAAAGTATTTTCACGTGACCGTGATATATCTCACGTGAGCCTAATGCATTGTTTTACGCGTTACGCAAAACGTATCGGAAATGTATCAGAGAAGGGAATGCTGTCCTACCGCGCTCTCAAGCTCACGGGGGCAAACCGGGTTAGCGAATTCGTGCCTTCTGTCCTTTCTGCGCCTACCCGCATCGCAGTTGTTCCATTCTCCAGGGCACACTCCAAATGTGGACGAGGTGAATAGTCACGGTGAGTCCTAGTGCTTGCAGATCGAAATCATATTTATGTTTCGAAAAGTTCAGTCTATGCCTAGTACACATGTGCAGTTCCCCAACCTGTCGGTACGTTTCCGTCTGATTTGACTGTAGCATTGCTCAATTCCGATTCTCAGTCGGCAGCACGGCTGCATATCATACCGAAGGCTTCCAATGTGAACTCCAGACGCGTCTTTCGCACCTCTATCTCCTCTCTGAAACTTTCTCAGAATATCAGTGGAGCAGAATCCACCTTGGCCGCTGTCCAACGCGCTGTCCGAAGCGACTTTGGCGAGCAATATACCGTTGAACTTTTTGGGAGTGCTCGGACAGGATTAGCCACAGCGAAAAGTGATTTGGACATGGTCATTCTCGTGTGTATGTTTTTGACCCTTGTCGGTCGAATTGACTCGTCTCTGCCAGGACCCCAGTCAACCACACGGATATCTACCCGGAAAAGGACCTAGGAAACCACCTCGTGCGCATTACTCCGTTTGCACAATGCATTGCTCACACTCTGCTTCTTTGTAGCTATCTATATTATGCCGTGAGGCATGCTTCGTTGAACGTTTGTTTTACCAGCTCACACTCGTCGCAGCCGGTTGGCAAGAGCGCTGAAAGCTCGTGGCTTCACGATCAGGCTGGTGTTAGGCGCAGCCGCTGTTCCAATCGGTCAGTTTAGCGTGACGTCAAAACCCGGACGGGCTTGAACGTTTCAGTGAGGTTCAAGGATCCGGAGACTAATCTCATGGTGGATCTGAACGTCAATGAACGGCTCGGTATTGCAAACTCGGATCTGATCAAGCGCTATTGCGAGCTCAATCCAAGGCTTGGCCCTGTGATTGTGGCCATCAAGGAATGGGCCCATTCACTTGGACTGAACACTCCCGGCGGCATCGGCAGCCACCCTGCGACCTTCAGCAGTTACGCGCTGTCTATGATGAGCATCGCTTTCTTCCAGGTACTTTCTTCGTCAGGATACGGTGTCCTGTCCTCACAACTACTTAGTCTCAGGGACTGTTACCGAATCTCCAAGACCCCAGCGTGCTTCCGTCAGAACCTTCTGTCTATTTCTTCAAACATCCCAAAAAGACTGTAGTGGTTCCCTGTGATATCCGTTACGGGCAAGCCGATGGCTGGACGGCGCCTAATGACGTCCTGGTGGAGGATTTGCTCCAACGATGGTTCAAGTACGGTGGAGGCATACCATTCGTCAGTATGACTGACAAGCGCTGGATAGATTCTGGAGCTCGGAGTTTGACTTTGAGGAGCAAGCCATCAGCATCCGGCACGGCGGGATTGTTTCGCGGTCCGCGATCCGTGAAGAAGGGTTGCTGACATCTCCTAGATATTTATGGAACATTGACCCGTTCATACGAGCCAAGGTGGGTTGCTGTGACCGTTGTCTGTTCTGTTCTCATCTTTGGGGACCAGAATTTGTCGCGAAGCGTTGGCCCGACTTCTCTTGCCCGATTCCAATTGGACTGTCAGCGACGGGCTAGTTATGCGTGATACCACCTAGATGCGATGAGGCGATAGTAATAATAATTTATAATTGTCTGTCGTTGAAGACGGTCACTTGCCTCGATACGCCCCGATAGTCTGCGCTCCCCTGATCAAGGGTTGTGTGTGCGTCGAAATTTGTATGGTGCGTTGTTTCGAGCGCTCTCTCACCGTAATTGTCCCCATTCAGTACAGCCATCTTCATTCGGAAGGTTTGACAAGTGATGTATCAGTCATCCACAGACCTAATCTACTTCTTACTTACACCCTTGACCCTCAGTCGCTGGCGGCCACCTCTCCCTCGATCCTCCCCCCTACGCACTTCCAGTCAAGTGAACAAACAATATGTCCTGGAAACTCGGCTCGTCAAAGAGTGCGTCTATAGAATGTTTTCAAGAGGGGTCCAAGCCTGATCAACACCAGAAACCAAGGATACGAAGGAGACCGGAGTCGTCTCTCGTTCGGTGACACCCATCCCGTCGCGTCCGACGACTCCCAAGGCAAATGGAGACCAGTTCAGGAGCGGGATGCTCACGATTCGCATCTTCTCAGGTATGTGATATCTTCGATTGGGCGTTCACAGCGGGGAACACTATTCGCAGGCCGCGGGTTCTCTCTTCCATCAGATGTCGCTGTCCCGGAAGCTATCCAGAAGGCGCTGTCGTCGGCACCGGCGCGCAAGCCCATCAACAATCGCGAAAGCATACAACGCAAGCGCTACCTTCCCTATGTCGTCCTGGAATTCGACAAGAACGAAATCCTGATCGATGCGCTGGATGGGGACCTTTCTAGCCCAGTCTGGAACTACAGGGCACATTTGTGAGTGACTGGCGACGCCTTGGTGTTTCGAGTCTACATATCTCACAGCGATGTATCGCGGACCTCCACTGTGTCCGTGTCTGCCTATCTCCGAACGGATGCAGCCGTTCAAGGCCAAGACGACATGGGCAATGACTTATTGATGGGCCGAGTGGATCTGACTCCCGCACTGGATGGTCATGCAAGTCATCCCACCCTTCTGCTGTGTCGAAAGCTGAGACTCCATCAGCACTCGTCTGATCAGTGGTATACTGCCACTGCCGGGACTGGATCGTTCCACTTAAAGATCGACTTTCGGCCCTCACGCGATGAGCCATTGACGATCGAGGCGTTTGATCTGCTGAAGGTTATCGGGAAGGGAAGCTTCGGCAAGGTGATGCAAGTGAGGAAGAAAGATACGCAACGAATCTACGCTCTGAAGACGATTCGGAAAGGTGCACTCCTTCGCGGATCATTCCATCCACGCTGACGGTCTATAGCGCATATCGCCCAACGTCCCGGAGAAATCACCCACATCCTTGCAGAGCGAACAGTGCTCGCCCTCGTCAACAACCCCTTTATCGTCCCGCTCAAATTCTCATTCCAAAATCCCGTGAGCGCCTTTGTGTCTCGTGTGACCTTCATCTCAAGCATACATTCCAGGACAAGCTCTATTTGGTCATGTCGTTCGTCAACGGAGGCGAACTGTTCTACCACTTGCAGCGCGAAGGCAAATTCGATCAAGACCGGAGTCGTTTCTACGCTGCCGAATTACTCTGTGCACTGGAGCATCTACACGGATTCAACGTTGTTTACCGAGACCTCAAGCCTGAAAACATCTTGCTTGACTACACAGGCCACATCGCATTGTGCGACTTTGGTCTATGCAAACTCAACATGTCGGAATCGGAGAAGACCAACAGTGCGTTCTGGCCGTGTTGACACGCTCGGACAGAGGCTCATTTCATTTGACAAGCCTTCTGTGGCACACCCGAATACATTGCACCCGAACTGCTAGAGAGCCAGGGCTACACAAAGACTGTTGACTGGTGGACCCTGGGCGTGTTGCTGTATGAAATGATGGTGTGCTGCGTCGCTCGTTTCTCTGTATAGCAACTCACCGTACCCTAGACAGGATTGCCTCCATTTTACGACGAGAATGTCAACACTATGTATCAGCGCATCCTCTCCGATCCTCTCAACTTCCCCCCGGACATGTCGTCGGAGGCCAAGAGTGTGATGACCGCTCTGCTCCAGAGAGACCCGACCAAACGACTTGGAGCCCATGGCAGCGAAGAGATCAAAAAACACCCCTTCTTCGCAAAATACATAGACTGGCCCACGTAAGAAACCTGATGAATGCGTGTTATCTTCTCATTGGCCGTTGTTTCAGGTTGCTCGCCAAGAAATACCCGACACCGTTCAAGCCAAGTGTTGTACGTGCAGGTTTCTGATGCCGTCCGGAGTCTTTTCTTGACCGTCCTTTCAGGAATCGGTGCTCGATGTCGCGAATTTCGATGCGGGTGCGTGCTGTGATCAATATCACTTCCGTGTGATATCTAACGATCTGGCAGATTTCACAAACGAACTGCCTCAAGATTCGGTGGTTGCCGACTCGGCCCTCTCGGAAACTGTGCAGGACCAGTTCCGTGGCTTCACCTATAATCCAGCAAACGAACACCTCAGCGAAAGTGTCAGCTATCCTAGCAACATGGCTTGAACGTTACTTCCATCCAAAACTCGGACACGCGCTTCCTGTACTTGTCACTTGTCTTTACTTACATAAATTGATTCGCGGTTTCCTGTTATGTCGGAGTGCACGTGCCGTGCAAACTGCGGCGCGAGGCGGCGGCAGAGTCGGAACAAACATACCCATCATTCCCGTCAGTGGCGAGACAACGGCGCGTGGCGAGTTGTGGGTCCGATGCTGTTCACTTGACGCCTTGTGTGGCGTGCTGTGGCGGATGTAAACTCACGCTCCTTCTTGTTCGTTACCTCCACCCCACACCCGTCCCCTGCCCTTGTTCCCCCTTTTATGGAAAGCCCCACTGCTCCCGGCCGGTTCAAACGCAAGTTCGCACAGGGGGCCCATTCCCCGCAGCCCGAAACCGATTCAGTGTCTGAGAACGAGAGCCCGCCGCCCGCCAGGATCGAGCACCATCCGAAGGAGAAGCCCAAGGTGCGTTCTTGTAGTGGGGATGGGACACCCAAGCCAACTCCGCCCAGGAAAACAAGTGTGAGACTTGCGACCTCCGCTTTGGGCGTGAAGGAGACCGCCGACGGCATGAGCGTATCATACATCAGCCGAGGGGAACGCACAAATGCCCTCATTGCGGGAAGACACTGAGCCGAGAGGACGCTGTCAAGCGCCATATCAAGCGGTCTCAATGTGCGAAAGAGCGGCAGGTGGCAGAGCTGGACCAGCCTGGGCCCGATGCGGAAGACGAGGAGGATGGCCCCGACGACACATCGTTTATCTTACGGCCCGCCAGCCCTGCCGCTTCCACGTCTGAGGTATCTGTCGAGTCGGAAGAGGAGACCATCTACAATCGGCCCCCAGAATTCGAAGCATGTCCGCGGCGGAAGGAGGCAGACGACGCGCCAGGAGTGAACCTGTTACTCGGGGTGAAGAAACGCAAAGTTTTGAAAGAGGAGCGGTTAGAAGAGGAGACGGGAGACGAGCCGCAGGATGAGGTGAGTCGGCGCCTTTAGTCACAGTCTACGTCTCATGACATGGGGCGTGCAGCGAAAGTTCGGGTGCCGCACTTGTGGATTGAAATTCGGTCGGGATCATGACCGTAGAAGACACGAGGTTTCGGTCCACGATCGGCATGGAACAAACGCTGGAAGACATGAATGTACCTTCTGCGGCAAGGTTATGAGCAGGAAGGATGCGCTCCATCGCCATCTATCGCGAACCTCGTGTGGTGCAAAGCGTACAGCGGTGGAAGGCACTTCCGACAGCTTACCTACAGCGGAGATTGAACCGGCCCATCGAGCTCCAGTACTCGTCGGTGAGCCCGTGATCCTCATAGTGCCCGGCAGGCGGGCAATAGACTCGCCGAAGAAAGACGAGGATGCGATAGCTGATTGATTTTATCATTAAAATAGATTGTAAATCTATGTACCGATGTATGCCCGCGACGAAGGAATGTATGTACAAGATACCTCTCTTGAGCGTCAGCTGTCCAGGTAGGCTCATGTAACACAGCCTCACCACGCATCAGCAAACACCAAAAGTTCTGCCCTCATCACCTCACACCGGGTCGGGCGAAAAATGGCACAACCACGCGTTCCACTGTGGGCAGCCGATACCGACGATCTGGATGAGGACCTCCAAGATATGTCTCTCGGAAATTACGGGCAAACTGGATATGAGGATAGTGCGTGGGGCGGCAATCCATCTCCCACTCGCCCAAACTCACTCCTTGCAGCTCTGTTCCAGCAGCCTCAGATCGACGAAGCTACACTAATGGCAATGCAGCAGCACATTGCACAACAGACCGCCTTTGCCCAGATCCCGGATGTCGTGAAAGGCGTATGTCTAATCAGGCAAATTGGATTCTGCTTCGTTGATGGAAAGTGCAGTTCATCGTCCACTTTCACCAAGCAGTTCTCGACAACAACTTGCCTGAAATTACGATCGCGTATGAGAGTGGATGGAACAAGTATACCGAGAAGTTCTATTCCAGAACCGAATGGCCGGAGGCGGAGATTATTGCTCCTCTGGTCAACGATGGTGTGTTCTCAGACTGGTCCCTCTCATGCAACGTTCTGAATACGTGCCTAGACCCTATTTTCCTCATTCTCTATCGCGAATTGTACTACCGTCACGTCTACTCTCGATTGCAGCCGAATGTGGATGATCGTTTCCATTCGTACGAGAATAGCTGCGAGTTGTTCAACTACCTGCTCAGTATGCATTTCACACCTGGCTTCATAACGCATGTTCTCAACTTTTTTCAGATTCTGAAGGCCCTGTCCAACTAGAGCTGCCCGAACAATGGCTATGGGATATCATAGACGAGTTCATCTATCAGTTCCAGGTCTTCTGCAGCTGGAGATCGCGGGCCAAATCTAAAACTGAGGACGAACTGGCCATGCTGTCAGAGGGTGGGCCGGTGCGTGTGGACTCGTACACGTCCCTTTCCGAAAGTCTTATCGTTGCCTCAGGTTTGGAGCTCTTATAGTGTTCTCAACGTGCTCTACTCTTTGATTCAAAAGTCGAAGATCAACGACTACATCAATGCTTTCCAGGCAGGCAAATCTTCCGAAGAAATTGCCGAAATCGTCGGAGAATATGGTGTTAAACCGTTGTACCGACACCTTGGATACTTCAGCATTATCGGTCTTCTCCGAGTGCACGTTTTGCTGGGCGACTTCACGCTTGCGCTGAAAGTGATGGAGAATGTTGAGCTGAACCAGAAGGTATTCAAGCTTCTCGGCGGTTCTCTGGTTCTGACTCAATTTAGTCTCCCTACACTCGGGTCACAGCGTGTACTGTGGCAACATACTACTACGTCGGATTCTGCTATATCATGCTTCGAAGATATCCGGACGCCATTCGCACATTTGTTTCCATATTGAACTGGATCATGCGCATGCGGCAATACCACACGAGGAGTTACCAGTACGATCAAGTGCGTCGCCAGATGGGGTTCTGTCGGCATTCCACTGAATCTGTCTCCAGATCAGCAAGACGGCGGACAGGATGTACGCCCTCTTTGCCATCTGCAATGCCTTGTCACCGAGCAGACTGGATGACAACATCGCCAATATCTCGAAGGAGCGATATGGTGAACAATTTGCCAAGATGGCTCGTGGCCAGTCAGTGAAGTGTAACGTGTTTTGCCCCAGGGCCTGACTACTTGTCGTAGGGAGGACGCCATTCCAGCTTTCAAAGAGCTTTTCCTCTACGCTTGCCCCAAGTTCATCAATGCCAACCCTCCACCTTATGACGATGCGGAGGCTCTGTCCGCCCTGCTTGCCAGTTCCTCTGATCCCTCCGCTGAAGCCGACGCCTTGACCGACCCAGCTCAGCGACATGTGAGCTTGTTGCTCGCTGACGTGGCTGCTCAAACACCTGTGCCGACTCTGCGCAGTTTCCTCAAGCTCTACACGAGTCTTGGCGCCAAGAAACTTGCCAGCTTCCTAGATGCAGACGAGGAGGAGATGGTTCAACAGCTCATGGTTATGAAACAGTCTAGCCGGAGCGTCACACATGTTCCTGGTGGAAAGGGTCTCCTCGACGGCCAGACTGCTTCGACGAGTGATCTGAACTTTGTGATCGATGAGGTTCGACCCCCCATCTGCCTGCTCTATCCCAATCTGATCTTCATTCGTAGAACATGGTCCACATCGCCGAGTCTACTGTCGGGAGGCGCTATGCTGGCTGGTTTATCAAGAACACTGAGCGAACACAAAAGCTGTATGACGATCTCAAGCATCAGCCGCTCCCCGTGTCCAAAACGGTTGCCGCTCCGACGGGTGCTTCAGAGAATAAGCCCAAGTCTGCGCCCCCTAAAGTAGCATGGGGAGGTGTTAAGACCCTGTAGATATCGTGCACATGTAAAAGCGAAGTGTGAATTCTCGAAAGAAGAGCGACCATCACATCGGAGTTGTCTTAGTCCACGAGTTGTAACTTGCCATCTCCCTCTATCATGGACTTGCCTTCATTACAAGTCCCTTTCGGCAATGCACTGAATGCGACTGTACAAGCACCGACCGTCCGTCATCACATCCTTTGCGGCTCATTCCGTTCCGTGTCCTTGTTCCTTCTGGCTTTCACGCCTCTCCAACCTTCCTTGGAGCTCGTACAACACATCCCCGGATTTGGCCCTCACCAATACATCGGACTAGGGCCTCAGAACCCCCACAGTAGCATTCGACATGCCTACACAACTACATGGGCTCTTCCACCCAAACTTCACTCATGGGCCATCGAAGCACAGACGGAAGGTCTCCGTGTCCGCCCGCTCGACAGCAAATCCATCAGTGAGCGACTACAGCCCCCCTGACGGTATACCGAGGCTCAAATCGCTTCAGCCGCGACGTCCTCGTACGTCATTGTACCACCCCCATACACCCATATCTATGCCGCGGGGGGACCTTCGGCCCAGGTGCACGCGGCATCTGAGGACGGTGGGATCGGCGCTCACGCGCAAGAGCTATACTTTGTACCCGAAGCGGAGTGGGCAGCAGCAGATAAGACACGCAAAGCATTGGTGAGTGCCGATTCCGACGATTCTTCTGTTGATGCTAAACCTCTCCCAGCGCTATGGTTCTCACGCGATCGAGTTTGCGTTTTCTGCCAACGGACCTACCCTGGGATTTATTCCTGTGCTCGGCGGGTCGACGATTGAGATTTACACCCGAAACGCGGATGGCACGCTCACTCATGTGCAAACTAGCCACGCACCCGCGCGGGATGGAGCCGCTCCGGATGCACACGATGGACCCAGACATGTGAAGGTGCATCCGAACGGAAAGCTGCTGTATTGTGTCACGGAGCACAGTGAGTTTTAATTCTGCTGCCATCTTGGTTGTGATAACGAATCTCGTTCCAGCTAATTATCTGGACGTCTACTCGATCGAGCATTCTTCCGAGAACATCCTTACCTGGGTTGCTTCCCGCTCGCTTATCCCTGCTGGCCTGCGAACGAGTCCTGGGGCGGAAGAACAGTATTCGTTCAGAGGCGACACGCTTATGCTGGCGCCCTCCAAACCGAGCCAACCCGCTCCCGATACGATCTTTGTGACGACACGGGGTGGCGACGACGACACCAATGGCTGGGTCTCTGCCTTCCGGCTCGACGAGGAGGGCATGTTTTTCGGGGAAGTGGAGACGAATCCGTATCTCGTTGAGCGCTACGAAGCCAAGACCTCAGGTGGGAAGGCGCATGCTCTTGATGTTCTCCACAAGGAAGACGACGAGAATGGCGGAATGTGGGTCTTGCTGACTGACGACTCTCCGCCGCATCCGGGACTGCGCGTTCTCGAATGGGATGGCTGGCTCTGGCGGGGTGGAGGAGCCAAGCTGAGGGAGGTTGCAGCTTGGCCGTCCGAGACTGCCGGGCCCAGTTCAGACGCAGAAGCCATGGAAGGGGGTAGTCATGCAGTTTGGCTAGATTAAACAACTACATCGATCATCGCAGGGTATCGTTAGAATCGAAGTCGTGAATGGCATAAAGATATAACAAATAAGATAAGGGCCGCAAACTGTTCATTACGTTGCCTTGCTGTCCACATCTTTCCAGAACGCATCCCAGCGCACTTCTTTGTGAGGAGACACGGGAGACACGGCCCGCTCGCTCCCTTTCGGAGAGAATGCGTCCGTCTGTGCAAGAGCTATCCTGTCGAGAGCCTTGATCAAAGACGGCGTGGCCGGTACCGCTTGAGGACTGGGTGCAACTTGCGAAGTGCGGCTCGGCGCTTGAGAAGCATTGCTGGGGGCAAGACTCGACTCTGCACCAGAACGGTGGCGAGCCAGAAAGCCGGGACTCCACTCCTTGTTGTCCTTGAGGCCGGCGCTGCTCCCAATCTGGGTCAAATCGTCCTCCAAGTCAGAGTATTCAGGTGCCGGTCCATCCATGGACCGTTTCTTGTTGCGCACGCGGGCCATCTCCTTCTCAAAGTCCAGATCCTTGCTCTTGGTCGAGGATACATCATCGACAAGAGTAGCAGCTGTAGATGTCATCGACAGCTTTTGACGTAGCCAGGGCCGCTGGATTTTGGGACTACCGGGCGGAGAAGTCAACAAATCGTCCTCGTCAGACGATTCGCCTCCCAACGGCTTGAACTTGATGCCGTCACGCTTCCGTCCTCCCATCTTGGCTTGGAACCGAGCGTGTCCGACGGAACGGCCCTTCTTGAGGAAAGCAGGGCCGCGCTGGAATTCGAACGACTCCGGAGGCATTTTAGAATCAAGGTCGTCAGGAGGGAAAGCAGGATCCGGAACTGCCGGCCGTTCATCACCAAACCAGCGATCCCACGCCGAAGTGAAAGGCTGGAATGTCCCAGCACGTCGGGCGCCATTGGAAAGGGACGCAGCGTAGTTGGCGAGATACGCATCCCACTTCTGTCAATAACATAAATAAATGTTGCCACAAAGCTGCGATGTCCCACCTCATCAGGACACTCTCCGAATTGGCGTTTCAACAGCCAATCACAAACTCCACCGAGAGTCAAGAATAGACAAAATGCAGCGGCGAGGCCCTTTTCTGCACCACTTCCCCACGTGTTAGAAAGATCGTCGTCAACCCACAAGCGCTCCCAAACATTGGCCCAGCTCGGAATATGGGCCAGCAAAGCGATAGAAACAACGAGCCCGAAGGCTCCAATGGCAGAAGTCGAGAACCGGACTGCGTGCGGCTGGATGCTAGATATAGGAAGAACGGCGACCAGTGCTGATGTGGATGATAATATGGCGACAATGATAATCCGCACGATGAGAGGAGGATGTATGATGACCGAGACTGCGAGTCCAAAGAGCGCGCTGCGGAGATGTGAGAGTGTGGACACTGCAAGTACGACTGGACACAGACCCTCCAGCGATCCCACCAAAGGCCAGAGCAGCCAAACGCCATCTCCCAGCAGATAGAGTGGTGATCGCAGCCGACAAGATCCAAACTGCCACAAAAGTCTTCGAGTTCAACGGGGATGAAGTCGATACGGCTGGGATCATGAGAGACAAGAAAGTGGTCAGATGTACTGGTCTCAGATAAGTCTAATAGAAGTTTTGGAATCTATGAAGCTCACCTCCGAAAGCGTATCCAGTCGCAAGACCACCTACACCACCTTCCAAAAGAAAGAGCACGCGACGCTTCTGGGATTCAAAGGCGCCAGGGAGAACGCCATACCTTTCGGCAGGAAACGAGCGGGTGCGGTCGAGAGTGAGGAACGCCCCAGAAAATGTTGATAAAACGGATAGCAACAAAAGTGGCAGAGAGTAGGCGAGGAGATATGGTGTGGATGAGAGAAGAGTCGTCAGCGTTGTTGTATCGTTAATTGCCATTTGGGGCGAATCGTGGCGCGGTCGTAATATCAGATATTCGTTTCAATAGTCGTGGATGTTGTTAGCGGACACTGAGACCAGGTTCCAGGTCTTCAAGCTTGACTTCACCTGAACTTGGCGGTTGTGGTCAAGCTAATCACTTTGTTTTGTCCAAACAAACCCGATAATGGATTGATGGACAGCTCCTGATCAATCTTTTTCCCCGACGGCGTTACTGCTGGAACACGACTAATTAGAGAACCAAAATTTCAAGGCAGATAAAGCCGGTGCTGCTAGATAAAAGGACTGGAAGACAGTTCGCAAAAAAGGCCAGAATGAAACAAATTCAATATTAGCTTGTCTGTCAATCATATCAGCGCATCACTTCCGACGTGACCTTCACGGCCACTGAGAGTCAGATGATCTCATTGACCAATATGCCACGTGATCACCACCACGTCTCTCTGTTTCCCATTTGCAGACTAACCACGATGTACGCGTAACCCGTCTTCTATCTTCCTGGTTTGACGAAAAAATACAGGGTCGCTGTCTCCGTAGAATCGACGGAGATTGCAAGGGCCTCACTCCACACCCGGCTTCCAGTCATCGCGCACCTCTATGCTCTCCCGTTCCTCTCGCTTTACCCCTTGCTCGCATATGCCTACTTCATCAAGTACGACACGTGGCTTGTCTCTGAGGAGTGGACGTTCCTCGCATGTGTGACCCTGGGCACCACACATGCCCTTAGTTTTCTCGTTACGCGCTGGAGCGGTGCAGCACGCGCTTGGGTTACCACTAATGTCGCTCAGTCCATTCAAGAAGCTGATTGCATTCGGCTTGTGCCACACCAACATCGGGGTCAAGGAGAGATAGTCGATATCCAGAAGAAGGTCGAAGACGATCCCTCAACGTATACGTTCAGTTATCAGCGGGATACGTATATCATGGAATCCTTTTCGCCCTTGGTTTTCACTCGACTTCCCTACCCTTCTACGACACGTCCCGCACTCTCCAAGTTCATGGAGCCTCAGGGCATTCCGAATGAAGATATTCCAACGCTCCTCTCATTGTACGGCGGCAACGAGTTCAATGTTCCCATCCCATCCTTCTTCGAACTGTTCGGCGAACATGCCACCGCTCCGTTTTTCGTGTTCCAGATCTTCTGCGTGGCTCTCTGGTGCTTGGACGAGTACTGGTATTACAGTCTGTTCACATTGTTCATGCTTGTCATGTTCGAATGCACAGTTGTCTATCAAGTGAGCGACCTGTGTATCACGCTCCCACAGATTTCTGATCTTTATTCCAGCGAGTTCGAACTTTGACGGAATTCAGAACCATGTCTGTGACTCCATACCCCATCCAATGCTACCGCGATCAGAAATGGCAGGAAGTCCAAACTGACAAACTGCTGCCCGGAGATGTCATCTCATTGAGTGCGCTCTTCATGCTTTCTGCCGCTTTTTGCTTATCTTTCTTTCTCAGTCCCACAGCAAAACGAGCTTGTGGTTCCTGCCGACGTCCTCCTGGTCCATGGCACGTGTATTGTCAACGAGGCCATGCTCTCCGGAGAGTCCACCCCCCTGCTCAAGGAGTCCATTCAACTGCTGGATCCCAACGACAAACTCGACGTAGATGGTGCTCATAAAAATGCCGTGCTTTTCAGCGGAACCAAAGTTGTGCAGGCATCTTCGGTATCGCAGACAGGACTCGTGGCACCCCTGAGCACTCCCGACAACGGCTGTCTTGGGGTCGTTTTGCGCACCGGCTTCGGAACGGCACAAGGTCAACTTGTTCGTACCATGATTTTCAGCAGCGAGCGCGTCTCCGCCAACAATTTGGAGAGTTTCCTATTCATTGGTTTCCTTCTCATCTTTGCCATTGCTGCCAGCTGGTACGTTTGGGTTAAGGGGATCGAGCGCGATTTGAAGAAGAGCAAACTGCTCCTGGACTGCGTGCTCATCGTCACGAGCGTCGTTCCTCCCGAGCTACCGATGGAACTGTCTTTGGCTGTCAATGCGTCGCTGGTCGCCCTATCCAAGTTTGGTAACACGATTTCTTTATGACTACATACCACGGCTAAGCTGGTCCAGCTATCTTCTGCACAGAGCCTTTCCGTATTCCATCCGCAGGACGTGTCGATGTGTGCTGTTTCGATAAGACTGGAACTATTACCGCTGAAGATCTTGTGCTGGAAGGTGTTGTCGGTGTCGAGTGCGTCATTTTTTCTCCTTCCATCGTCCAAAACTCAAACATCTGCAGTGCCACAGACAACTTGAAACTGGTGGACGTCAAAGAAATCTCGCGTGAAACAACCTTGTGTTTGGCTGCGGCCCACGCTCTCGTTCGTCTGGACGATGGTACGATTGTGGGCGATCCTATGGAGAAGACGACACTCGAGGCTTTGGACTGGACTCTGCACAAAGGTGCGTTGGGCATGCGATGCCACTGCCTGATTCAAACCTGCTTCCAGGAGAGCAATTGTCACCGGCCAAGCCCAATGCTCCCCACAAAGCTCAGATTTTGATTCGCCGGCGGTTCCAGTTCTCCTCTGCTCTGAAGCGCATGTCGACCGTCTCTACTTTGACCAATGGGAAAGCGTTTGTCGCTGTCAAAGGCGCACCAGAGACCATCAAGTCCATGTTAACCGTCGTGCCAACACATTATGATGACACTTACAAGTATTATACTCGTAAGGGTAGCCGAGTCCTGGCGCTCGCCTACAAGGAATCGGAGGCCATGCCGATCGAAAAGGTATGTGAAATCAATTCGCTCGGTGGTACCCTCTTCATCCTTCTTAGATTAACAAACTCTCTCGTGATCATGTGGAATCGAAACTCTCCTTCGCTGGTTTCCTCGTCTTTCACTGTCCACTCAAGGCAGATGCTATTGAAACGCTGCAGATGCTAGCAGATTCTTCACACCGAGTCCGTCTCCAATTTCTCTCATTCAGCCACGCGCGTCTGATTCCATTTCCAGTGCGTTATGATCACTGGGGACAACCCACTGACTGCTGTGCATGTTGCCAAGGAGGTCGAGATCGTGGACCGCCAAGCCCTCATTCTCGACTTGAAAGAGAATCCTTCATCCGAAAGGGATCTGGAGTGGCGCACGGTCGACGAGAGCAGAATCATCCCGGTCGATCCAGCTGAGCCGTTGGACCGAACTCTGTTCGAACACTTTGATATTTGCATCACTGGTGCTGCTATGAAACAGTATCAAGACCGACCCGGCTGGACTGATCTTGTTCAAAATACCTGGGTGTATGCTCGTGTCTCGCCAGCCCAGAAGGAGGCCATCTTGACGACGCTCAAAAGTCTGGGGTACATCACTCTGATGGCCGGCGACGGGACTAATGACGTCGGTGCCCTCAAGCAGGCCCACATTGGTGTTGCGCTCCTCGACGGCACTCCTGAAGACCTGCAGAAGATTGCTGAGCGTCAAAAACTGGAGCGGATAAAAAAAGTGTACGAGAGTCAGCTCTCTATTTCGGCGCGTTTCAACCAGGCGCCGCCACCGGTGCCTGCGGCCATCGCCCATCTCATTCCCCATGTGGTCGCAGCCCAGCAGCAAGCAGCCACTGAACAGGCCAACGCACGTCGCAGAAATCCGATGGAACGAGTCAGTGTCATTTCTGGCGTGTTGTTGCTCTCCCTGATGTCTTCCAGTTCAATCTCGATTCTATCACCAATGCCATGTCGGAGCTGGATGATGACGACGAGGTACCCAAGATCAAGTTGGGAGACGCGTCTTGCGCTGCGCCCTTCACATCCAAATTGTCGCATGTCGCCGCTGTGTCGCATATTATCAGACAGGGCCGCTGCACTCTGGTTGCGACGATTCAGATGTACAAGATTCTTGCACTCAACTGTCTGATCACAGCCTACTCGCTCAGCGTCCAGTATCTGGATGGAATCAAGTTTGGAGACTATCAATACACGATCACGGGCATGATGATGTCCGTCTGCTTCTTGTGCATCTCCCGAGCAAAGGTGTGTGGCGGTCTGCTGTGTGCATCAGCCAATCTGATGTCGATTGTCTTAGCCTGTCGAGAAACTCTCCCGGGAACGACCTCTAGGGAACATTTTCAATCTCTATGTCTTCTTATCCATCGTGTTACAGTTTGCACTGCACATCGTGACGCTAGTGTATATGACGAATCTGTCCCACATTCGTGCCCCGTATGTGATCCCCTCGCCCCGTTATTTCAGCTTACACTTGCCCAGTCGTCAAGGCCCCATTGATTTGGAAGCCAAGTTTGAGCCGAGTTTGTTGAACACTGCCATCTACCTGCTTGGGCTTTCGCAGCAAGTCTCGACGTTCGCCATTAACTACCAGGGCCGGCCCTTCCGTGAAGGTATCCGCGAGAACAAGTACCTGTACTGGGGTCTGCTCGGTGCCAGTGCTGTAGCATTCTCCGGTGCAACCGATTTCATGCCCGAGATGAACCGCTGGCTGCAAATCGTAGAGATGGAAAGCGACGTAAGTCCCTCATCCTTGTTGGCCTTCCCTCATTTTTGGAAACTCATCGACCCTCACTCTTCCCTAGTTCAAGGTCAAACTGACTGCAAGCATGATCCTCGATTTCGCTGGCTGCTGGGTCATTGAAATGACGTGCAAACACCTCTTTGCCGATTTGGCACCGAAGCGGATGGTGACCAAGGGCAGAGAACGCAGGGAAGCCAGGAGAGCAGAGCAGGAGCGACTGCGGGTCAAGGACAGCTTCAAGAAAAAGGAACAGTAGATGCAGGCTAGATGTACACATCTTTATAATAATGCACCTTTGTATTCGCGGTGATGAGGGCATCATTAGATGACAAGGATGAAACTACATTTGTACGTCGAGCCCAACCCCGGCAAGACCCAGTCACTTTTGAAAAGATCATAAGATTTTTTGCCCAGAGCGGGCTAGAACAGATAAGCGTCACTGGCGAGCGATTCTACAGTCGACAACATCCTCAGTGATGCTCTGCGTGGGAGTGAGCTGCACTCGGGTGGTAGTCCAGCTGGTATACTAGTATAGACGAATGTGTGAGTAGGAAAGACGATTGCCCAGTGTCCACATACCAGAACCGCATTCGGGGCAGAAGCGCTGCCTATCGGCGGGCACGTTGATCCAATGGATGTCGTGAGAGTCGGCGGGGCTACCAGTGCATCCCACGGTGCGGACAGGGTCCTAGAAAAAAGCAAACGTCGGTTTCGGTTTCGGTGGGGAAAGGAGCAGAGGAGGGAACAGGCGCGGGATAGACCGGAGGACATACGTAGGAGAGCACGAGGATCGGGTCTTTCTTGGTGCCGACACGGCTCGAGTCCAGCGGCGCGCCGTCGAAGACGTCGATGCCCTCCATCTCCCCCAGGAGCTCGAAACGCTCGAGACCAGTCGCCTGTTCGAAGTCGGTCGGGACTTCGCCGGCCTTGCCACCGGGACCGAAGATGGATGGGGGTTTGGGACCGGATGCGGCGCGGAGTGTGGTGGAGAATGCACGAGAGGAGGACTTGAGAAGAGGACGAGCCGCCAGGGCAGGGCGCGCTGCGTTGAGAGCGGTACGCAGTAGAGACATGTTGATGCACTGAGAGTTCTGGGCGCGTTGATCCGGCTAGGCCTCACCCAACTATACAGACGTAAATAACGGGGTCAGCTGACTGGAAGTGGATTCATGTCTTGGTCGAGGGATATTCTTGATATATTGTACAGGTAGATATTTACAAGATTGGAGTCCTAGACGAATAGCCACCGGCCGAGGCTTTCCACCCAAGATGCAAGATCCTCTGTGGTCTGCTTTTCGAAGACCAACCTGAGGTCGAGCAGCTCTGGCTGCTCAGGGCCAGTGCTCGGAGTCTCGGGAGGAGTGGCTGGACCGCCGGGAGCGACCACACTCGCTGAATGACCCAGTTTTGGAGGCGTATAGGGAGACAAAATGCCCAAGCCGCTGCCACCTACCGAGGTCAGATACGGCGTGAATGTAGCTTGGCCCAGCTCATTCATCAGACTGCGCAAAGCTGTATCTTTGAAATCTTGAAAAGGTTCATTAGATCACCTGGAGTGATGAGATGAGAAAGTAGACATACCATCCGGAACAAGCGTCACAGCGCATCCACCACCGCCAGCACCAGTCAGTTTTGTGCTGAGATCGTACGGGGCCTTGCCTGTGATGGAGCGGATAGACTCCAGCGACGGATGCGACACACCGAGCGTCACGAGGTGCTGGTGATTTTCCTTGATTAAGGACGACAGAGCAGCCAAGAGCTGACTTCGTGACAGTTCAGGATCTGCCAGAGCCCGACGAGCTTCATCGCTGATGGCCTGGATAGCCTTGAGAACTCCATCGACCATTTCAGGCTCCTGGTTCATGATGAGCTTGAAACAGTAAATGTTGCGACAAAGCTGCCTACTCTTGCTTTCAACGCGCCTACACCAGCGACAAGCTGCATTGTGTCGCGAGGAATCCTTGAGTTGGTGAGCAGGAAGTTGAGTGACTTGAAGCCTTGAATTTGTTCCATGCCAACTTTATTGCCAAACGAGAATCCAGCACGAGTGTAGCCCAGCGCCCCACCGAAGACTGCGACACTATTGTCTACTCCGCTGGGATTGCCGTGAAGGATCTTCTCTGAGATGAACGCCCAGTGATTGACCCGTTCTGCGACATTTTGAGGAATAAACCTGCGTCCCTGGTGGGAGACATGGACGTGCGGGGCGTCACCATCACTGCTGCTTGGCTGAGGCGGTGGAGGGAGAGAAATGAGGCGGTTCGCGAGCAATATCGCAGTTGCTGCACAGGTCGAGAACGAGGCGGATGACCCAAGACCTGCGCCAACGGGAAGCGTCGCACGAGCCGTGAAGTTGAATGCCGGCCTGAAAAGTAATCAGCCACGACAAGAACGATACTTTGCTCATTCTTGCCTTCGTGCGTAGCCAATCGTAAGATAGAGATACAGGAATGCCTGGCTAGCCGATCTTGAATGCTTCGTCGAAAGCTCCATATCCTGCAGGGGGCCAGCTGAGATCCCATCCAGCAATGCTTGGTCCAGTGTATCTCCGTGCTTGACAGCATCCCAAGGCAGCGAGTTCACATCCCATTCGTGGTAAAAGTTGTCGATATCGGTGAAATGAACTGAAACTTTTCCATCATTCCGCGGTGTGGCCAGGCCAAAGCAGCGCAAATCGACAGAAGCCGCTATAGCTGTCTGGAGCGACGTCAGACAGGCCACATGAAAGACGAGGTTACCCCAAACTCACGACTCCGTGCACGACAGCGTGCTCTCCGAACAAGATGACTTTGCCAGGAGCGCTGACAAACCATTCTTGACCCCCTGATTCCTCCAACCCAAGCTGCTTCACGGCAGTGTCGAGTCGTTCGTCCAATGTTGGTACCACACGTGTGTACTTGTTTTGCTGCGCATCGAATGCAATAGCACCAGCGTCAACGAGCGCATTCTCCAGATCATCAATGAGGTCGCCCGGGTCTTCGATACCGACACACAAACGGATGAGATTCTCAGGCAAACCACGTGCAGCTCGCACAGCAGGATCAATAGAGGCGTGACTGCAATTAATCAGGATCAGCAGAAACGAGGACCAGAGTTTATCACTCACCTCATCACGCAGGGCATACTGATCAGGCTGTTGACGCAGCCAAAGCTGACACTGATTCCCCACAAACGAGTAGCCCCGACGATCCGCTCACTCAATTCCTTGTCCCCCGTCTCAAAGCTGAGGACCGCCCCGTTCCCCGTTGCGATGCGCTCATGAATTTCGCGGCCTGGATGATCAGGAAGACCCGGGTAGTTAGTCTTGAAGCCAAGACCATGAAGATAGCTTGCAACAAGTTGAGACGTCGCTTGCTGGCGGTCCATGCGAAGTGCAAGTGTTTTGGTTCCCCGAAGGAGTAGGAAACAGTCGTTCGGGGCCAATGCGTTCCCGACTGAATTCACCGTGAAAGCCATTTGCTGTTCACAATGAGTCGCTGTACGCAGTTCGGGGAACATCAGACGTCGCGCACCTTGTGCAGGTCGTCGCGGTTACACGTTATTACACCTGCCATGAGGTCGTGATGTCCACTTAGGTACTTGGTTGCGCTGTCGTAAACAATGTCCGCGCCGTGTTCCAGAGGCCGCTGCAGATACGGGCTCATCATGGTGTTGTCTACGACGACAATCGCGTCGGGGGCCCTCTCTTTGACATCCTTGCTGATCGCTGCGAGGTCAGCGATCTTGAGTAGAGGGTTTGTCGGCGACTCGAGCAAGACCATTGCCGTTTTGCCGGCTTTGAGATACCGGAGCACAGATGTGGGGTCGGTGGTATCGACATGATGAACAACGATTCCACCATGGGTGCGGATGTGCGTGAGCAGCCGGTTGGTTCCGCCATACAAGTCGTCCCCTGCTATGATTTCATCTCCAGGTTTGAGGATACGCAAGATGATGTCCAGTGCCGCCATGCCTGACGCTACAGTCAAGGCATGCTCCGCAGAAGAGATCTTGGCGAGGTGGTGCTCTACGGAATCCTTTAGCCCAGACAGCCATCAACAGTGTGCGCGTAGTACGTACCGAGATGACTCCGCGTCGGATTACCACTTCTCGAGTAGTCGAAGGCATTTCCTATCCCTTTGAAGGTAGAAGACTGATAGATGGGCACAGAGCTGCTCCCGTACTGGTCCTTCATGTCGGGGTTCTCTACAGTAGCGCATAGCGTAGAGAAACGGTACGGTTTACGCGTTCGTAGAGGCGATTCAGGGTCTGGCGTAGGCAGCTCACGGGCCGCTGCTTTTGGGTCGATAGTGGTCGTCATGGGGGCCAAAAGCAAGGAAGTTGAAGAAGAAATAAGTCAGACGTCTCAATGCACGTACGATGATTATGGCGTGCTGACTCGCACATTCGGAAAAATACGCCAGATGTCCGAACCGATCATTTGTGATATCTAATCTACCCCAAGTCTGTCTTTGCCTCAAGATGTCTCCTGTAACCACTGCAATCGACTTGCGCTACAGTCCTCAAGACGACTGCTGATGTATATCTATATGTATATGTGTATATACGGCATGGGAGAAAACTCCGGAACAAGAACTGGCGAAATGCGTGGTTGGCAATATTCGGGTCTGTCAATGTTGTACTGGAAAGTGAATTAACGGACGCCGTCGACTCTCCGATTCGAATCCCATCATCTCGGACGGAGGGCTGGCAGAAATACTTCATGGGATTGCGCGCAACCGAAAAAGAAAGACAGTTCGACAAGGGTAGTTGATCGTTATAAGCAATCGACTGAGAGCGTTATAGCCCTGACGCGGACGTTTCGGTCAGAGATCGGCATGGCAAAGCGAATATCTATAGAAACGAGAATTAAGCATGTGAGTAGGTAAAGACCGTCGATGAATCGCCTTCAGCATCCCTTCTTCGTCTAGGAGATGAAAGATTGCAGGGAGCGACCGTTTCAATCCAAGAAAGCCTACAACTCTTTGTGCAGACCCGAACCGAATCCAAGCCACTGCCACAGAAGACGTTCGCCCCCCTCCTGACCCCAAAGGTAGTACATCGCTCGTGCCTTCATGTCCATGATGTGTTGGGGCAGATACAAGACAATTCCCGAACAGACCAGAAGCGTAAGTATGCTGAATATGGTCACTAAGGAGATGTCAGCTAAGTGTAGTGAAAGATTAGAGGTCATGGACAGACAGAGGAGAATCTTCTCCCATGGCTCGAGCATGGACAGCACGAATGTGCTTTCGACCCACATACGACGCCTCCAGAGGAACTGAGAAACGGCCCCTTCTGGCTTGCGGGTGAATGAGAGGTCGGGTTTCGGAGGGGGGAGAGTATTCGCTGCAGAGGTCGATGTGGCCGGCATGGTGGTCGAATGCACGTCGCTGGTGGCGGTGCCGAAGCGTTTTGGCACATCCTCATCAAGTTTTCGTAGCACATTCCCAGGTTCTCATCTCTCTTGAGAGGCGGCATGTTCACGTTGATCGAACGCCCAAGTCCATACATTTTTAAGATTTTGTTCTCGAGGGGATCCGTATCCAGCGCGATTTTTCGAGATCTTCTCGTCATCGGTATCGAGCTTCTCGTAACTTCGTATATCCCATAGAATAAAAATAAGACGGATGGCTTAAACAAAGGGCTGAAGCTCGAAGCTCGTATGGGCGTCTGACTCTCAGCCTGGTTAACAGTATCCGCGACTCAACAAAGCTAATTAATCATCTTAGTCACGTGGTACACTATCCAATCGCGTCTATATAAGTAAACAACGCAAATTGTTTCCGCTAACCTCAGCTCACATGGAGCCCTCCTCGCTGCCTGCACTCTCGCGGACGCTCTCTCTTGCCAGCACTGCCACGAGCAGCTCCTCGGAGGATCTCTACGCGTTCATCAACGAGTCCACCGAGATCACACGTCGCACGCGCAAGCGTTTTACAAACGCGCAGCTCACCATGCTCGAGCAGCTGTTTCATCAAAATTCGCATCCTTCGCGAGAGCAGCGCGAAACGGTTGCCAAATCGGCCAATATGTACGTTCTTTCGCGTTTCCCATGCCACGACGCGTCGAACACGCTTTTTGACAAATGAGCAGGGAGGTCAAGTCTGTCACGATCTGGTTCCAGAACAAGCGGCAGACGGAAAGGAGGACGACCCTCGCGAATGGACGCGTCCCTCCCCCCGTCATCATTAATACCCACGCCCCTTACCCGTGTCCCCTACCCTCCCCCGTGACTTCGCCGTCAATGTCGAGCAGCGCATCGTCTATTTCGAGTTACTCCTCTACATCTGTGTCGCGAAGACCGTCTCTGGATTCTGTTGCTTCGCGCTCTGAGCTACGTGCACCGGCGCCGCGAACACCATCACGACGCCACAATCCACGTGCACCTCTCTGGGAAAACATGCCTTCTTCGCCCGTAGGACCGGACTTCAGCCCTCCTGCTCGCGAATTCGTGGAATTTGGACACGAGCGGAAACACGAGAGGAGGCGCACCCTGGAATGGGCCTGTGCACGAAGCCGGATGGCGGAGAAGGGGGATCCTGAACAACTTCCCAAGCTTTCGCATGATGAGGACACTGACGTGGAACTTGACGAGGCGGTCACACCTCCCAGTACATGGGGAGGAGGGGATGCACGTTGGAACGAAAAGGGAAAGCAAAAAATAGGGATTCAGAGCGCCGAGGTCACAGCAACACCCAAAGCACAGACTTCCACGAGCGTAGACGAGGATACGATGAAGGCAGCGATTGCTTTGTCACTACTTATGCGCGGTTGAGTAGTGACGGACACTTCAAATTTCTGGAGTTGGGTAGGTCTTGACGAGCCTTTATATAAATAACTTTAAGATAGGAAATTTATTTCTGATCTGTGCTACATCCACAAGTAGTCGAGACGTACTCATACGATGCAAACTGCTCGGTAAGCCTTTTGTCGTCACTCCAACAAGTGGCCATCCAATACCTATCTTGACCACAGACGTCCAAGGACATGCAAAGCGGCCGCAAGTACAATAATAGACTCGCTGAAAGCTGACTCGGAGCGAGTAGCCTTGTCTAACCCAAGTTGCGACGTGCGCCGGCCCGTGATGGTGTATCGGCAATTGAATCACATCATTCTGACTCAGCACTATTAACCCAGTTTCACACTCTCACCAATACCGCGCTCTACGACAATGTCCGCCGCCTCCGAAATCAAGGTCCCCTTCTTTAAAAAGGGCAAGACACGACCGACAACTGCGCGCAAACGGTCTCAGTCCCCCGCACCCAGTGGACAGCCTGTAGCATCCACGTCTTCTACCACTGTGGTGCATCCAACGCGCAAGACAGGCAACAGTGTCCTGAGCGCAGGCTCCAAGCGTACCACGTCGCAGCGTGCTGATGATAACGACATAGGGGACGAAGACGAGAATGAACGGAAGAGAAGGGAGGATTATCAAGGGCCGGCGGTGAACTGGTCCTCTGCTGGTAGCAAATCGCATATCGCTGCAGCCCTGGAAATCATCGCCGGTGATGAGGCTGAGGAAGTCCTCGCTAAAAGGCGACGGCTGGCTGATGTCGATGGCGATGCCGACGCGGGTGGAGCCGATGACGGGAAGTACCACGGGCAGAAAGGTTATACAACGCATTTGAAGAAGAGTTCGGAAGTGCCGAAGGCCATGCGAGTCGGCCCTCAACGCAGCACAAGCACAATCCGCACAGTTACAATCGTGGACTACCAGCCAGACGTGTGTAAGGATTATAAGGAGACAGGGTATTGCGGCTTTGGGGATACTTGCAAGTTCTTGCATGATCGAGGGACATGTGGGTTTTTTCCTTTCATCAATCCCGCTTCATTCAAACGTTAATTGACTTGCTTTCCAGACCTTGCGGGGTGGCAGCTCGATAAACTCGCCGAAACAGCTGCCAAAGATGCTGCTGCAGGCGGTGACGGGGACTCCTCAGACTCCGACGACGAGGACATTCCATTTGCGTGCTTGATCTGCCGCAAACCATACACAGATCCAGTCGTCACACGCTGTGGCCATTACTTCTGTTCTGCATGTGCAATCAAGCGCTTTGCGAAGACCCCCAAGTGCATCGCATGCGGGGCGCCAACGGGCGGAATATTCAATCGTGCAGATAAGGTGTTGGAAAAGATTAGGAAGAAGAAGGGGTCCGGTGGGGACGGCTCGGAAGACGAAGCAGAGGAAGAGGGTGTAGATGTAGAGATTGGCACCTAACGAGTGCCTTTTACACCATCACGGTCTTGGCTCGCACTAGAAGAAACCATATCTTTGTGCTGAAAGATGCAAGTTGCAAGCTACATCTATATTCTTGTTAATTACCAGATGCACAGTGCACAGACTGAAAGACTTAACATCTCCGATCAAATTTCATAGTGATCACATCACGTTATGCGCATTGCATCACGCAGCGCTTCTCACCAGCACATTAAGGATGTCTCTAGCGAAACTTACGTCGGTCTCAACGCAGACGCTTTCATTACTCTTAGAGCGTCAACGGAGTCAAACTTTACCTTCTTATTCGGACGATACGGCGCCCCCACCACCGCCAAAATCTCATCTCGAGCAGATTGTACGAAACCTCAACTCTCTTGGAAGTGGGATACTGGCGCTTGAGGCCAAGGAAGGGCCGTCAGAAGCGCTCACACTACTCAGGAATCAGCATGAACGTATGCGCGGGATGTTAGCTCCCGGTGAAGATGAGGATGTCACAAGGTCGGTCCTTGTTCACTCACGCGTCGCAACAGCCCTGCTCAGTCAGTTTGCGATAGCTTGGAACCTGAAGGGAATTTGCGCGCGAAACTCATACCATCGTCTCCTCCTGAACCAATTTACACGCCCTACCAAGATGATCCAGATGCTGAGCCCGCGACTATGCTTCAAACTCAACGACTCATGATGGATCGTGCGGCACTTTCTCTGGGCTGATATCCGACAATAATGCCTTCTCCTAGAACAAGACAATCAGCTCGACCTTCTATCACATTCAATCAATCGACAGCGCGATATATCCCTTCAGATAAACGAGGAACTGGATGTTCACACTGGACTACTTGAAGAGCTAGACACCGATTTGAACCATACCGAGACCAGGTTGGGTGGCGCTCGAAGAAGGTTAGATAGGGTCGCGCAAGGAGCCAAGAGGAACGGTATGTTGCCAATGTCTGAGCCCTTCTTCGCTACAAGGTTGATGTGCCTCCAGGCTCGACGGTCACGATTGCAGCACTCATCTTGATTCTCCTTATTCTGATCATAGTCTTCAAGACATGAGTATCCTAGACTATTCTCGCGTTCCGAATAACACATCCATGGATATGTAATTATACAGCGATATATACTCATTCTCATCGTGTCAAGCCTAGGACACCCAATATCGTTCTTCCGATGACGCTGACTCCATCGTTTGGCCAGCCTGACCGCCGTATCGCATCTTGAGCCGTTTCGGGGGTGATTACACCAGACTGGGCGCGTGCATAAACTAGTTTAGTAACAACAGCTTCCGTGAATTCCGGATGCCCCTGCACTGTAAGTATGTGGACCCGCGAGAGGTCCAGAGGACTGGGAGGCTCCAATGTGGTGAACCGCACCATACCCTGATTCTTCGAAACATCGGTCGAGCCCAACAGGTGGAACGTCTCCGGTACTTCGGGAACATGATCCTGGTGCATTTCCTGCAGATGCTGGATGGTGCTTGTGTGAGAACCGTTATGTCCATCGAGAGAATCCGCAGCATACCAGGGTAGCGGATTCGACCCTGAATAAGGACTGGCCCAGCGGGGTCAATGTTATGGGTGTTGGCCCAACCTCCCATCTCCCTCCGTTCTTGACACATTCACCTCCCAACGCGCGTGCCACAATTTGATGCCCGAAACAGATCCCTGGACTCCAGATGTAATTTCGCTCGCACCCGCAATCGAAGCTTGTGGCGTACCGAATATTTTGATTCTGGCGTGCATAGTTGCCGTGCGGGCCACGAAGTCGACCAACTTGTTGATCCAGGGAATCTCTTCGTAGGCAGATGCCTCTGACCGGTAGCATGAGATCCTCAGAATCGTGTGAGGTTCGCAGAGGACTTACTGGATCCTGTGATGATAATCCCGTCATATTGCTCCAGTTGCTCTGCAGTCGGATAGTTCATCTTATGCACGACGTCATACGCGTCAATTCTGCATTTAGTCTGGATATCGTCTATCTGTGCTTGCATCCCAGCATTGTGCAGCAGATCGGTGAAGAATACGTGATAGTCGCCATGTACAGACAGGACCGAGGCCATCGGAGTATCACATATCAGGAGGGCGATGGACTTGGACATGTCGCAGGCCCAGTACTTGTCAGAAGAGACTGGAGAGAGAAGGAGAGTGGATGCGGCTTTGATTTGATTGACGATGACAGGAGCTTTGATAGTGCGCCACCACCATCCGCGAATGCGCACACATGATTATTGTCTGATCCGCGAGAGGCCGACTTCGGGCGGGTCATCATCCGCGCCGTACAATGCTAGTTTCCCGCTGCCTCTTCAGTCCCGCGAATATGGATTCCGTGCAACATAGGAAGTGTCATCATCAAATACGTCGTCACGATGGCATGTACACATCGTTCGGTCACCTTCCCCAACCTTCGGAATCCGTATATTATGTGGGATCAATGCCTAAGCCAAGCTGTGTAACACAAGCCTCGCTTGCATCTCGTCCTCCACCATCACCATGGAAGTCGACCACGAGCAACACAACTCCGACGAAGACATGCCTGAACTCCAGTCTGTTTCCAATTCCAGCGACTCGGACTTGGAGGAACGGCGTCAAGTGATGACAGCTGTCGTAGACGATGACGATGAGGACGACGTCTGGACCGATGAGGACCACAATGATAACAGCCATATACCGCCTCTGGAGCCTACTGGCCTTCGCAGACAACGTGCACAAGATGACGATCAGGATCAGGACCGCGACCGACGACCCCCGTCCCAGCGAGTCAATGCACCTCCTCCTCCCGAAGACAATGGGACTACTGCTGCCCCCGCTCAACCTCAGGATCCACCACCGCAGACGCAACAGTCCCCATTCTTGATGGCTCAGCTATTCACCGTTCTAGCCCAAGGCTTCCGTGCGAACGCAGATGTGCTGTTCAGAGCTGCTGCAGCACCGGCGAAAGATAACGCCGAGAACGCGAAACGGATCATCGCGGGCTTGGAGCGGGTGCCCGACGGTCTTGTACGTCGTCTGGAACGCCTCAGTGATATAGGGCACAGCGGACCCCTAGACGACCTGGGCGCCGTTGGCGGGGACAGCGGATGTGCAATATGTTGGGACCGGCTGCTTGATGGTGACGGTGCCGAGTTTGCGGCCAGTGGTCCGTCGGCGGAAACGGCGGCGGACGACACTCCTGCGGACGTCGCACCACCCGAAGGCGTCATTGAGCTTCCCTGCGCCCATGTCTTCCACGCAGCATGTCTGGTGCCTTGGTTCTCTCGGCGTGGGCAAACGACCTGCCCTACGTGTCGCTTCGATCTAGACCCGAAAGGGATCATCTGGTTCGGCGGTCGAAAAGGACGCGGTCACGGGCCGAGATTCTTTCCCTTTGACTTGGACGTCCCCGGTGGGCCTGCAGATGGTGCCCGTGCCGAGGTGCCGGAAGGATTCCAAGTTCCTGTGGGCTTTGAGGAAGTAGACGATGGAAATGACGAGATTGAGCCCATGTTCGCGTTTCCCATAGGAGGTGCGCTGCCATTCGCTTTGATACTCTCTCATGCTGCGGGTATTGACTTCTTCGAAGGAATGCCTGGGGATCGTGTTGTAGATGACGACATGCCGCCACTCGAGCCTATTGCCGTGGCATCACTCCCTCCGCCACCTGCTTCGACTACAATAGTAAGCGATACCCCTCCAACAGCGCAAGAGACTCTGGTAGCAGCGACGCCTGTTCCCCATCCAGCTCCGGCACCCCATGGAGCATTTACTGTGGGGTTGGACTTTGTATTCCGAACCGTGGTTCCAACTAATGGCCCAGCGGGGGGAACTACTCCTCCAGCAGGAGTGCCAAATCCCATGTCAGATATGATGAACAATCTTCTGCTCCGTGGCGCTGTCGGACTGAACGGGGGTCGTCTACCAGTCAACTTCGGTGCCCCATCGCTGGCGCACTTGTTCCCGAATGTCGCAGTTCCCCAGAATGCAACCACGGCGACCGCACCTCAGCCAGCCCAACCAGAGCAGCAGCCTCAAGCAGAACCTCAAGCGCAGGGTGCACCACCGCCGCCCAATATATCCCCTGCTCAATCATTCGCAAATTTCCTGAACTCTCTGGGAGTGGGCCAGAACGGGACGGGCCTGCCATTCACTGTCGACGGGGCTGATTTCCAGTTCGCTATTGGGACCGGGCCTCCCCCGTGGGCCCCGAGTGTCCCCAGCCACATGCCATCTCATTTGCATGGACCCACCGAAGAACCGATAGAAGAAGAAGAATGGAATGCTCCTGCTGGCCCAGGACTGACACTGCGACAGAGAATCGAACGGCGGGAGCGGGAAGCGGGACTGCGCTGCTGGGATGCCTCGTGTGGTGTCGGACCTTCAGACGACGATCCGTTTGTCGAGGTCCCAGAATCGGCGCGTAAGACGGTCAGCCTCGGCTGTGAGCACACGTTCCATCCGTCGTGTCTGGTGTCGGCCCAGCGAGCCAGTCGCGGGTGGCGCGAGCCCGGCGCCGAGGATGCGACGGTCCAAGTGGCCTGTAGCGTCTGTCGGGCGGAGACATCCGTCACGAAAGACGAGTGGCTCTCGGGGTGCGTCTTGCCCCTCGATTGAACGCGATGCAAATGTACTATCCCCGCTACCTAGTCGGTATTAAACGTCAGTATTAAACGCATGTAATCACTATATTGTATCTCATCATTGATGTCATCATCTACCGCATCTTGTCTCGCGCCAAATGGCAGCACATCTTCCGCTCCCCATTCCCGATCTGCGCTTCGAGCAGTCCTTTCTCAAAAGCGTGCGGCAGCACTACCGCGTCGTTTCTGCTCCAGAAGAGAAGACCGAGTCCAAGGCGTTGGCGCTGCAAATCGAATGGCCGTCCATTGCGTGGATCACGCTTAAGAGCCAGGTCTTGAGTCCGTTCGTGCAGGGTGCCGTCTTGCAAGTCCCCCTCCCCTCTCCCTCTCTCTTGCAATGAGTCTGACTGCAAGCAGGGCGATTCTTGGCACGTTCTTCGAACCCGCGCGCGCGCTGCTACCCTCAATGCAAAGGCTGCGACTGCAACCCGAGGGCGGGATGGTGCGGTGGTTGCGGACATGGGTCAAATCAGTGGGCGTGACGAGTGGTGTACGAAATCCCAATTGATCTACATATTCGTGTCTACATTATTGCTTTACATCGCACATACTTCTTACGATTCGGAGGCTGCGTACCGCGCCCTCACGACCTGCGCCACCTTTTCTCTGGGGCACTTCCGCCCCATCCAGAGCTCGAACTGCACGTAGCCCTGCTCGAGCAGAACATCTAGGCCCGGGACCACAGCCCAGTTCCCTTTGTTGACCGCCTCGGCCTTCGCGAGGAGGGGTGTTTTCGCGGGCTTGTACGCCAGGTCGATGACGACGGCGGGCCCGTCAGAGTACTCGAACAATGTCTCGACGGGACCGACGACGGGCGCAGTCGCCGGGACAGTTGAGATGACGACGTTCGGGCTCTGGTCCCAGGCGCCCAGCGCATCTAGGACCTGTACTCCCTCGAAAGCATCCCTCAGCTTCTCCGCGTTGGCGCGGGTGCGATTCCACAGATAGATGTGCGTCGCGCCGAGACTCTTCAGCGCGTAGATCGCCGCACGGGTGGTGCCGCCAGCGCCGATGATAAGCCCAGCCTTGATGCCTCCGGTGGCGATGTGCGCATGCACGCACTGTCGGATGCCCTGCCAGTCGGTGTTGTCTCCGACCAGCTGCCCTGACACTGGGATGATGGTGTTGACGGCGCCGATCGCCTCGGCAGCGGGAGTGAGTTTGTCCAGGATGGGAATAACGTCCAGCTTGAAAGGGATGGTCACTGAGGCGCCACCGAATTCGGGGCTTGTGACGGCGGCCTTCACAGTCTCGTTGATGCTGGTCGTCTCGAGGAGCTTGTACTCGTGGGGCATACCGAAGATTTCGAACGCAGTGTTGTGCAGAGTGGGCGACATGGAATAGGCGATCGGAGTGCCAAAGAGATAGAACGTCTTCTTCGGCAATAAACCGAGCAAGTGCAGGGCGGTCTGGATCTCGGCAAAGGACAACTGGCCGGGCGCCGCTTTTGACGGAAGCAGAGGATGTGAGACGGGGCTGAAGGTCGGGTTCAGGATACGAGACATCTGGCCCTCCACCGACATGTTGATTGCAATCATCGGCTTCGTGCTCTTGGATGCAACGAAATCAGAGAGCAGGAAGTTGTCTCGGATTGTCGTTGCGCGCCCGATGACCTTGACGATATCACCCACCCTGGATGCCTGGTCGTAGACCCGCTGAATGAGATCCCCGTCCCATTTCATGGCCCCGCTCCAGTCGTGCCACGAGCCGATGAACTGGGAATGCCACTTGCGCCGGGGACTGGACAGCTCGCGGATCATTTCCATTGGAAGCGTCGTGCATTCGACATCGACATACTCGATGCCCAGTGCCAAACCGAGCTTGAGCAACTCGAAGGCCTCTGCCGGAGAGTTATCGGGGAACGCGCCTCCCTGCGCGATAGTGCGGACCGTATAAACGATCGGCAGCGATGTCGTCCGACGGAGAGCGGCTACTTGATCCTCGACATACTCTCGAGTCGGTGTCTTCGAGATGCCATCATTCAATAGATCAACTCGCAACTCCAGCGCGTCGACTCCGTAGCCAATCTCGTTGATCAGGTGCAGCGCGGGGATGATGTCCGGGTAGGTCAAGGACACGAAGTAGCTGCGCTTGCCTGGAGCCATATTGGGCGCCAAATTGGGCTGCAGTCCAGTAATGTGGTTGAAGAACCGGTTGATTTCGTGCCTCGTCCCAGCTTTGTTTGCCAACCGCGTGTCCACCCCGACGTGGTTTACAAACTCGTGGGTCGCACAGTCTTTGAACCATGGCGCTCGGCGTTTAAAAACGTCGGCCACCGGCTCGCCGTAGGCTGGACGAGCCGATTCGACGCCGAGGTACTCAATGACCTCATCGATGGGGCGCATGATGTGAACAACAGGCCCGCGGTATGACCTGAGCATCTCTCTTGCCGCAGGCGTCTCGACAATGCCACCGCCCAGGCTGATCACGTGCTCCCGACCGTACGTGCTCAAAAGTTCAGCCAGAATCTCGGTCTCGGCAGCTCTGAACGCAGGCCAACCCTTGTCTTTGACGAATTGACGGACCCCGGTGTTGTGTTTGGTCTCGAAGTAGGTGTCCGCATCGAGGCACGTCCAGGACAAGTTCGCCGCCACCCGTTGCCCAGTGAAAGTCTTGCCCGAGCCTCGCATACCGATCAACACAATCGATGCCGAAGAGTCGGGAGTGGTGTTCGCAGCGCTCGGGGCGCGTGCAACGCCTTGCACGGATATGCCAATCTGGTCAACAGGTGAGAAAGAAAAACGCAGTGTGGTGAGACTGCTTGCCTTGTTCTCGAGGTCATCCCACCAATTGGGCCAGGTTTTCTCGACACATCGCTTCTCCTCGAGCACGGTACCGGAGACCACGGACGCAAGAACACTGAAGGCCATCGCAACTCGGTGATCGTCGTAGCAGTGCACGCTGACGCCGGTGCCGAGCTCCTTCACAGGGCGCCCAACGATCTCCAGCCCATCGTCCAGCTCTTTCGTTTGCACGTTGAATTTAGCTAATTTCATGAGCATGATGACAAGTGGGGATATGAGCACACGCACCGAGTTGATCCATCATGGCTTTGATTCGATTACACTCCTTCACTCTCTGATTGGCAATCCCGACAATCCTTGTCTTGCCTACAGCAACAGCAGCGAGTACCGTCGCCGTCAAGAACGCGTCCGTCATGACTTCCATGTCGATCTCCTCCAGAGCCTTGAGCTGGCCAATGGGCGGGCCCGTGACCGTGGTCTGCGTCGCCGACTGCTCGACGGTGCATCCCATCGGCTGCAACACTCGGATCGCAAACTTCGCGTCGCCTTGGAGGGACGAGGCCCCGATGTTCTGGATAGTGCACGTCGTCCCGGTGATGGCTGCGATGGCCAGCGGATAGGTCGCACTGCTGGCATCCGACTCGATGCTGTACTCGGCCGGGCTCTGGTACACACCCGTCGGGATGTCATACACGTCCAGCAGTTTGCCCGTCGAGGCATCCGTGCGGCGCTTCACTGACACACCGAAAGTCTTCATCATTGCGATCGTCATGTCGATGTATGGCTGGGAGATCACCTGCCCGCCGGTCAGCTCGAGGGTGACCGCTTCTTTGGCGTATGGGGCACAGAGCAGGACAGACGACACATATTGACTCGAGACGCTGGCCGCCAATTGGATCACCGATCCTTTCAGTCCGAGCGGTTTGATCGCCAATGGCAGGCACCCTTGCGATTCTTGGTAATCGATGTTCGATCCGTTGGCCCGCAGAGCATCCACAAGCGGCCCGATGGGCCGTTCCTTCATCCGGGCGTTGCCGGTGATTACTGTGTGCTCTGAGGCAGACCCCTGAACAAGAGTGCATACAGTCGTCAGGAAGCGAGCGGCGGTGCCTGCGTTGCCGAGATACAAAGCCTTGCTTGGCACACTGAGCTGTCCGCCGCCGCCCTGTACAACAAGCGTCTCTCCGCCGTCTTCCCAGCTGAATGATGCTCCCTGATCAAATCGATTACATACTCGCCTCGTCAAAGTGAACCGAACGGAACGAACCTTGAGCTCAGTCAGAGCTGCCATCATCACTTGCGTGTCATCCGAATGGAGCAGGTTCTTCAGCCGGCAGGTTCCTTTCGCAAGGGCAGCGAGAACCAAAGCACGATTTGAGATGCTCTTGCTCCCGGGAGTGGTCATCGACACGGGGTTCTTGCTCGGAGCTCCGCTCACGATTCCGACGGCGCCCGAAAGCGTTTTGGCGATGATCGCATCAGGCACTGCGGTTGCTCGAGGCTCGTGCGTCGCACCGATCTTGGAGAGGATCACGATCTTCTTGCCGTCTCCCGAGTTCTTCTTGTCGATTTGCATCAGGTCGAGCAGCCGCTCGACGGAGAGATCTTCTGTAGCAGGGATGTCCGCGAACATCGCGTCCGTCAAGGACACAGGGAGGTTGTAAGCCTTGAGACAGCGAGCGAGACGTCCGACAGCGGCTTGCGAGAGCACACCCATCTGCCTTGCCACTTCGGCTTCGAGGATCATCCCGACGCTAACACATTCCCCGTGCAGGGCAGACGGCGTCAAGACAGCCTCGATCGCATGCCCGATGGTGTGGCCAAAGTTCACGAGGTTGCGCAGTCCTGCTTCGCGTTCGTCGATTGTCACGATGTGGGCTTTGATAGAAAGGGAGCCGATGATGATCGAGAGAAGTAGTGCTTGCGCGCTAGATCGAGTGGATTTGACACGGCCGGAAAGATTTGAAGACGGAGTCTCGATTGCAGCAAAGATTTCACTAGGGCGCAGCTCGAGCGATGAAAACTGAGCTTCGTCCCAGATGGCCGCAGTCTGGATCAAGACGTAAGTTAGGCATTCTAGCAGAGGCCGAGAGGACAAAAACCTTGACGATTTCCGCCATGCCATTCGAGAATTCTCGGCTCGGAAGAGTCTCAAGGAAGGCAGCATCGATGAAAATGTACTCCGGTTGCCAGAATGCACCGATGAGGTTCTTGCCGTGCGGAGTGTCGATGGCGGTCTTTCCGCCAACGGAAGAGTCGACCATCGCGAGAAGCGTAGTAGGGATCTGCACGAAGCGGACGCCGCGCATGCTACGCAAAAAAGCGGTTGTCAGCTCGGAAAAAAGGAGATGTGGGGAGATTCAGGGGACTGCGGAGAAAGGAGGTGGGGAATTGTAGGCAGGACAACTCACAAGGTCGCGGCAACGAATCCCACGAGATCGCCGACAACACCTCCACCGAGTGCAAGGACTACCGTGTCCCGCGTGCATCCACTGGAAAGAAGGAAATCCTCGATGCTGGCCTTGCTCTTGCGGCTCTTGGAAGGTTCACCGGGAGGGATCGTGAGACTGAGAAGTTTACCCGCAGAAGAATGGGTCTTCAAAGCCCCATTGAACTCCGTCTCGAAGTCGGCCAGGTGGTGTTTGGCAACATTCGTGTCAGTGACGAGAACGTAAGTAGAAGAGGGCAACGTCGAGACGACTGTTTCTGCGATGTACGACTTGAGGTGGAAACCGCAGTGAATCGAATCGCGTCCCAAGATGGAGACTTTGGTAATGTCTGTGTCCGACATCCTCGTTTACCTCGTTTACCTGGGGTAAGTGAGGGCGAAAGACCAAGAGATGTACTCAGGAGAGCCGAGTCAGGTTCAAAATGCCCGATGCTTTGATGGATTAGATCATCAGCTGACACACAATCTAGCCGCTCTGATCGAGTATGCGAACTCTCTAATGTTTCTACGTAGCGCTCCGCCTTCGGTACGAGGCTCATTGTTTAGCAGCAACCTGTTCGATTCGCCCGTCGTTCCATTTGACGGTTACGGTTCCATCCTAATCGCTGGTAAGCATTCATCAAATCCATGTGGCCCCCTTGTGTTACGGACCGCATTGCCAAAATACGCCGCCTTGGCCATGTTGCAGAAGACCCCAACCTCCACAACACCCGTCAGCATCTTGATCTGCGCCATAATCTCGAATAAAATCGTGAGAAAGCCAAGTTATATCTGCCATATCTTTCGGATCGCCTACCGTGTAAGGCGTCTTCATAGTCTCCTGATCGAAGGGCGCGTCGATAACAAAGTTCCCGTTATCCGACACGACCGGTCCGGCTGAGCGCATTCATGACAACTGCCGTCGATCCAAGAGAAGAAGCGAACCTTTCTTCACCGCCATCCGCAGAGTCGCCTTAGGGCATTTGAGATCATGGTGCAGATTGTGCAGCACCTTGGCATAGGCGAAGGGAACCACCTCAATCGGAATCCCGGGGGTAAAGTTCGTGCCAAGATGTTCCACGTTCTTGCGGTGGTCGGCGACCAGAATGAAGCTACACGCCAATGAGCATCTCAGAAACGAGATGAAACATCCCGAACGCACGTCGTCGCCGCTTCTGCGAGCACTTTTTCTCGCAGGTGACATGCGCCTCCGCCTTTGATGCAGTTCAGGTTGTGGTCCACTCTGATAGCTAAGTACGAAGCCCGCCCCGCAGTGACAAAACACGCACTCGTCAGCCCCGTCCAGAGTAACGTCAATGGTCGGGTACTGATCCACGTCGCCCAGATTCAATCCGGACGAGACGATCAGCTCCTTGGACTGGAAGCCTAGCGGGGGTTGGGTATATGCATGGCACCCAGCGCGACCACTCACCTGTGGGGATGAACACGCGCTCCTGGTTGGCCTCCGCGCCCAATTGAACAATGCGTTCTACAACGTATGGCACGGTCGATCCTGCAGAATTCCCTCACTTCCGGAAACCTTAACATCGAATGAGAGCGTCACTCACCCGATCCGATGCCGATGACCTTTACCAGACCGGAGAAGTCTCAGATTGCGATTAAGCCGATGGAACGAGTGTTAGAGACGTACCCTATGTTCTGATTTGACGTGCTCATCTACAGCAGTCCATGCAGCGAGCTGTTTCGATCTCTCCAACACCGGCAGGTTCTTCTCAGTGATTGGGGAGACGAGAACGGTTGCTGATACGCGGTTGAGAACGGCTTGCGATCCCTAAATGAGAGCCGGACGACATACGTTGTCCTGTTCGACCCCGGACGATCGGCCGAACTTGCGTTGCCGAGCTAACATAGAGAAAGGACAGGAAATGTTACAGACAGGCTCTCTGTCGACACGCCCAATGACGTACGCGACGGATGTAGTGCTAGGCAGGGGCATGGTTGTCTTCGCCGAGCGTAGAGTGAGCAAAGCGGTGAGTGATCGACGCATCGCCCGTCAGTCCCCGGACCGACGTCCCCGGACCTACCCTTCTACCACGATCTCGGTTTCACTCGGTCTTGCCTCTTGCTTATGATTGGCCTGGAGATCCTGCTGAGACGAGGTCATGCGTTGATCCTGCTGCTGGCTGTAATCCTGGTCCTTCCCACCCACTCCAAATGGACCGATGCCTTCCACGGAAACGTGCTTCTACTCACTGCACATCCCGACGACGAATGCATGTTTTTCGCGCCGACTCTACTTGCGCTCCGTAGCTCCAGAGTGCATGCGCTATGTCTTTCTGTTGGTGACGCCGACGGACTAGGAGGGACGCGGAAACGCGAGTTTGAATACAGTCTAGACCTTCTCGGTGTTGGCCGCGACCAACGACGCGTCCTCGATCATCCTGATTTGCAGGACAACTTTACGCAAATCTGGAATGCGCAATCTATCTCGGATGTTCTGTCTCCGGTTCTCAAGGAATGGAATATCGACACCATCCTCACTTTTGACGCGGGAGGTGTCTCTGGACATCCCAACCATCGTTCACTACCGGAGGGCGTCTTGGTACTTCAATCGAGCACACAGACTGCTTTCCGCGCGTTCACTCTCATCACAACACCTTTGCCCACCAAATACATCGGTGTCATAGCGCCGGTTTGGGAAAAGCTTCGATCGCTCCTCTCCACCAAAAACACAATTACTTTTGTGTCCTCCCCCCACCAGTATATCTCCGCCCTGGCTGCAATGCGAGCCCATGCTTCTCAGCTCGTTTGGTTCCGCTGGCTGTATGTGATGTTCTCGCGCTATATGTGGGTGAACGAGTGGATCGAATTAGCATAGGACCAGTAGATGTTAAACCCTTGTTGCCATTCTCAAGCTATCCTTCCCAAAGCGGAACTCCTCCATCTGCTGGCGCAGGCGATCGTCCGGCATCTTCGACCACTGCGAAGCCGTCCGCTTCTGTGGGCGATGCTGGATGTACCACTCCCACGCGGCACGAATCACCTCGCCGTCTGCATCATAGGGCGTAGGGATCTCCGAGTAGTGGGGACGAGCAGTGGGGTGGCGGACGTAGATTGCAGAACACGTCTTATACGAGACCTCGAGGTACGCTGGCACGAAGAGCCACGGGGATGCGTAGAAGGGGAGGTTGAATGGTGTCAAATCTTCTGGCGCTCCTTCACGCTGCGAAATGTTGTCAGACTCGTCCGGTTTCTCCTGAGGTCGCAAGAAACGAATAGCATCTGGTTTCACGGTAAACATGTCGCCTGGGGCCAGGCGGGTATTGGCGTTGTAGTGCTGTGAGAATGAGAGTTGGAAGCCACGCAGGTGAGACCACTCACTGGTTTGCCATTCAAGAGGACCTTCCCATGCACCACGAGCCGCCTGGCATCATAGATACTGTGGGCGAAGCAACTTCGGAATATGAGGGTATCCAGTCGCCGTTCCACTTCTGCGAACATCAAACTTGCAATGGGTGCAAGTTCTTCCCTTTGCTCCTCCTCCTTGTTTGCCCCTCTTTTCTTTCTGCCGGCAAAATTCTGGAGGAGTGTCTTGTCATCTCCGAGGACTTCACGCCTGGGCCGCACGTCGGGCAGGTAGTCTGGCAGATACCATCGTTTGAAGAGTTTCTCGTTGATGAGGTCGCCGTGGTAGGCGCGAACAACGGATTTTGCGACCCATCGCTGTTGGAAAATGGTCTTGGAGCCCTTGCGAAAAACGATCTCGTTCATCTTCTCGTTCTTTTCGTCGGCGGTGCGGCGCCACAAGTTGAAGAGATTTTTGGGAGCCCAGCTCTGCGTGCAAGGTCAGTGTCGTCGACGCTGTCTGCGTGAAGGGGCCCCAACCATCCGCGGCAACGCGCGCTTTATGCTCGTAATAGCACGGTCGCGCATTTCGTCCAAGAAGAAGCAGCGGAAAAGTTCTGATGCCAGAAACAAATAAAACATTACACATATGTTTTACGTGTAACCTTCTGTCGTCCCAGCCAGCACCAATTGCAACTAAACACAGTTAGTTAGAGCATTCCATCCTCACAGAAACAAAGAAGTGTTGAACGATAAGCCTCTTCTACATTGTACAACAATTAACAAGCGAATATTCTATAGTATTCTATCCCTTCTGAACTTTCACCAACCGAAAGTTCTGTTTACCGGGGTCAGGATACTCACAACAATCCACAGAAATGAACGTACTCTTCATGTATCTCAATCCCCCCGATTGCCTCGTGCTTGTCTGAGCCCACAGATTTGGTGATACGGACGACATCGTCCGCCAACGCAACCGGGCCACAGACACCGACGATCAGCCCAGACTTGCCTGCCCCGTAAGCCAGAGAGCGAGCAATCGTTCCTTCAATGATTGTCGCCACCTCGGGACGGCCGGGGAAGATGGAGAATGCCGGGTTGGGTGTGACCCCCTCTTTATCTCCTTCTGCAGCTTTGGTGCAGTAGACAGACACGCTCAGGCGCGCTCGGCTCCGCCGAACCATGGATGTCAGCTGGAGAGCCAGGGGGCGAAGGGACTCGATGTCATGGATGACCCAAACGAGTTCTGCGTCGGACGGTCAGAGATTACAATAGGCGAGGTCGATGGCCAACATCGGGCGTACCAATGACATTGATGCGACTTTGTCCGCACGAGTCCTGCTCGATGAGGTCTTGGACAGCCCCTAGGGCGAAAGTGATGCCGCTGCCCCCGACGACAAACAAAGCGGCGGAGAAACTGTGCATCATCATGAACCCCGGCCCGCCTGAAATCTCAACTGAGCATGTGCAAGAGCGGGAGAGCAGAACAGATTTCCTTACCGTAGGGTCCCTCAACGATCATTTTCACGTGGCGCGACAGGCAAGCCTCGCCGACGTGATTGTCCGCCGCTGCCGCTCTGTATAGTTTGTTCGTCCACGTACCCGCCTGCTTGCAGACGAGCACGAGACCGTTCCCACTACGAGACGAGCTGGCGATCGTGAATGGGTGGATTTCAGACCAGCCCATGATGCCCATCGAGGAAGAGAGAACCCGGACTCGTACATGTTGGCCGGCCCGCCAGCCTTTGTTGATGTACGGCAGTTCCACTCGGGTCGCATTGAGCCCGGGCAGGGCTTGGATGGTAGCTGTGCTGATACGCGTCTTCGCGATGCGGAGAAGTTTATCGAACCCGTAGACAGCAGAGGCACAGATGAGATAGGGTCGCAGTGGAGGATAGTGGGCCCAGCCCTGTGAATTAGACTCAGGGTGAGGCCTGGCCAATGTGCGAAAAAAAACTCACCGCCGCCATGCATGCTGGGACGAACAGAGTATGCACCCAGAAAAAGAAATTGTACGCGCGATTCCGGACGAACGGAGAGCTCGCGAGAAGAAGAACGTTGAAAGCAATGAGCATGAGAAGACCAGATGCATTCTGGGGTTCCATGATGTGTTCTTGGAAAGTGGCGGCGAGGCACCACTTGTAGACATATCCGAAACTGTGGATGTTGGCGGCCACGATCGCTATTCTGGCGACATGGCGGTGGAGAAAGTTGAGCTGTGTGTTGATCAGCAGAGTTGCGAACAAAACATGGCGATCGTTCAAGTACTTTCTCATAGCCAACGCCAAGCAGAACGCCGGCGATGTTGTTCTTCGCAGCGAAGACGAAAACAAACGGCAGCTGGGCGGTGGCGATGAGCCCGTATCGACCAAAGTCGGTAAACGGCCCCGTTGACCTATAGATGGCAGCGTAGAGCACGACATCCAGCCAGCATGCGCAAACGATGAGCTGCCCAATTGAAAAGCCGGAGATGACGCGAGAATGCAGCACTGAGACGACACTGCGGAGAAAGAATGGCGTTCCTGGGATGTGAGGAGGGGGAGTGTCGAACTGCGGGCCAGAGCGCGCAAGGTACTGGAAGGCTTGGTCGTCCTTGGCGCTTCCACCAGCGTAAACTTCGTCCGGAACACCGGGAAAGACGACTGGGCCGCCCTTTCTAGAAGCGGAATAGCCAAGGAAATGGCCCTGCGTCCATTCAGAAGCGCGCCAGAAACGAGCGAAGGCACGGGGAAGACGGAACAGTGCGACCAGCACGATAAGAACAGACAGGACGATGGTGACATGGAATACCAGCATCCCCACGTCCAACGGATGAACAGCTGCAGCTCCGCCTGCGGTTTGGGTCAAATTCATCTCCGTGTCGAAGGTTCAAGCGGCAGAACGGAAAGAAAGAGAAAGAGAACAAACGATCAGAGTACAGTGTCCTCAGCTTCCGTTTTTAAAAGCGGGACCGTCTGTGCTTAGTCGTCCAGGGGACGTTTTTAGACATCACGCAGTTCGTACGAGATAGTTCACGAGTGGACGGAAATAAGAGATCAAAAAGTGGGGTTGCGAGGTTCTTGAACCGGGTGAATGTTCCAGAACGAGCTTCACCACATAAATTTGCGGGGCGCGGATAGGCAAAAGCATAGCAAGCAAACAGGTCTTGTGTGCGCGTCAACGAGCGACAGGAGACACAGAAAGAGAGACCGACAACTTGCTGGGAGCTGCAGATTGCTTCGAGCGCCTCGGAGGAACGTCGGTTCGTGGCGTGAGACTGCACAGTGGCGGAGAATTGGCCTCGGAAGCAGCCTTCCGGAACCAAATCGAGGGGGGAATAATGTGACCTACAGGTACAATGAAGGGCTGGGTCGGAAGAAGCCGAGGCGTGCGGTTGGGATAGTTACAAAACGCTGGGACGGTCAGGAGCCGTAAGGCCTCGGTTTCAGTGAACCGGGCATACATAAAGCGCCAGGAGCGGAAGCACTGTCTAAGTAGCAACCGGCCCCATTCCAGATTGGAGCTAAACCTCAAAAGGAAAGAGGAGTGCCTCGAGGTTCAGGATTTCGTTGAGCTTGATCCGTTCCTCCTCCACGTTTTTTACTCGAGGACGTGCGATTGACCGTCCAGCTCTGGCGCCTCGCTCTTTTGTATCCCAGCCAACGCCTGTCATTTCTCCGATCCAATGGTCAACTCCACCCTCGCCGCTCCAGCTAGCGCCGTCGCCGCCGCATCCTTTTCAACCAATGCTTCAGGCTTCGTCTACCATGTCGACATCTTTCTCATGGCCGTTGCGGCGACTGTCTTGCTGTATCGGTTGCCCCGTGCTGCTGCTCGATTCTGGCGCTACTCTGAATGGTCAACGGGACACTGGCTCCACTATGTACAACCGAAACCCTCCCCCAAGGTCGTGATGTCGTCGCGCGGTGCTATCGTGTCGCCCAAGGAGCTGGATTCGGAACTCTCTCACAGCGCAGTCATGCGCTCGAGGCATGCGAGGCGTGTTGATGCCGACGGCGCGCCGATCCGTGTCGAGTACCCCCCTCATGTCCCCAATGTCCCTGCACTTTTACGACCCCTCACTGCTCCGTTGAGCATCCGTATATCCCCTGGCTTCACTGTGGCTCGGGTTGTTGTATTGTTACTGTACACTTCTATCCTGGTTTATCCGTTATCGGTTGCCACGGCTGGCCCATTTGTTGACCTCGAACGCGCTGGATGGATTGCTATCTCCCAATTGCCGCTGGTCATACTTTTTGCTTCCAAGAACAACGTCCTAGCGATGTTGTTGGGGACGAGCTACGAGAGGGTGCGTTGTTTCGCGTGAGGTAGTTGAGACAGCTGGTTGACATCGTTCGTCGTCCGTTCAAACAGCTCAACTTCTTCCACCGATTTGCTGCCCGGCTTTTCGTCCTGGGTTGTAACGCCCATGGACTGGGCCACATCTTTGTTTGGGCGCAGGCGGGCGATTTCCAGGCGAAAATCAAGATTCCTTCATTCACGTATGGGACGGCTGGCCTGGTCGCGGTGAACGTGATGTACGTCTTCTCGACGTCGTTCTTCCGCTCCAAATACTATCGCTTCTTCCTCTCCACCCACGTCATCTGCTTCGCGGTCCTATTCCCGATGCTCTGGTTCCATTATGCCGCGCTCCACGCCTACATTCTGATTGCGCTTGGATTCTATGCACTCGATCACGTGCTTCGCCTCGTCAAGACCCGGATGTATAACGCCATCCTCCGGCCGCTGACTGACATGGGCGTGACACGTGTCGAGGTTCCTCAGGCGACAGCTGGATGGCGTCCTGGACAGCATGTGCGACTCCGGGTTTTGAGCAGCTCGATGGGCATCACAGGCTGGACCGAAAGCCATCCGTTCACTATTGCTGGCGTCGCCGGCACGAATGAGGGGCTGGTCCTGATGATCAAGAAAAGCGGAAAATGGACGACGCGCTTGTTCGACTTTGCCAAAAGCGGTGGCTATCTCGAGGCAGGGATCGGCCGCAATGTTTCTGTCATCGTTGAAGGGCCGTATGGTGGCCCTGGCCATGCCATGTGGAACAGCTACTCATCGACCATCTTCGTCGCCGGGGGATCGGGCATCTCCTTCGCATTGTCGGGGATCCAAGACTTGATTCAGAAGGATCTTCACGGGCAATCACGCGTTCGGCTCATTGAACTCATCTGGGTCGTTCAGGATCCGACCACGCTGCTTCCGCTATACCAACAATTCAATGCCATGATTGATCAATCTGTGTTCACCCGCCTGCGCATATCTGTCTTCTATACGCGTGCGCCCGTCGGCAAATTCCCGTTCGCGGAATCTGCGTTCCCGACCACGAATCTCTCCCTCAGTCCCGGTCGGCCGCGTCTTGTGACCATGCTGGAGAACAGCATCGGGCGCACAGTCAAGCTAGGGGCAGGGAGCAAGGATGATCAGCCTCTCTCCGGGATGCTTGTTGCTGTCTGCGGGCCGTGCAGTCTTGCTGATAGCGTTTCCGAAGCCATCTCTCAAATCGAACCTCTCCGGCGAGATCAGGTCGGGGGTCTGGAGATCCATGAAGAGTGGGTTATCCGTTCATCCATCCTCCTGCAATCGCTGATGCTTAGTTCCAGAGTTTTCGGACTGTAGACCTGTTTCGACGCAAGTCCCTACTGACTTATGTATTCAATATGTACCATCCGTGACTGGAGCACGCTGGCCCCAGTGGTAATCGCATCTCGAGCCAGCTCGCATGTAGATACAACCGTTTGTAACTTCCGACCAAAGATAAAACAAGTCGCTCTCGGAACAAGTCGGAATCAGAGATTGAATTCCATGTCACCCGCGACGAGGCTCGCAAGACTTATCGCTGAGAAGCCTGTGTGCGTCGGTGTGATCTGGTTCTTGGCAAACTGCTTCGCTGGGCTTCCTCGCACACCTTCCTGATGCCTTCGGAAGATGGCAAATCGATGCAAAGGCTGGAAGTCCTACTTTTCCTGAGAGAAACATATGCGATGTTTGTTTGCTGCGCGGGCGAATGCGGGTCGTTGATGCGCTCCGAACTTGCATATATCCAACGATGCATTGTACTGCCCAGCCTCAGCCCGAACGAGCCCGATCTCCAAACCCAAGGCTGCTATCGCGCGGGATGGAACGGTCTGATTAGCTGTATCCGATTGGTTCTTCTCCTCGGTTATTCGGCCCGTATCATTGTGGAAGGTGGCAGTGTACAATGTGGATCTTGTGGCAGTGCCTGTGTAATTTTCTATTTCCTCCTCCCGCTGGGACCCTACTGTTGCGGCTAGTCCTCAGCCAGCCCCCCGTCAGTGCTCCATCGCCTGCCTTTCGGTTTCCGCGACTCGACCACGACAATGCTGTCTTCCAGTCGGGGTAAATCCTGCTTTTTTCTCACATTGATGAAAATGACGTTGGTTCACTAGCCATGTTGCGGCCTGCTTCCAGGTCTCGCCCGATGGCAAATGCCGTGCGGGCTAGAGCTTGGGCTCAGCCCCTCGCTCGTCGTCTGCTCTCGACCGAGTCGAGCGTACGGCTATCTCCTTCAGTCGCCGATCATGCTCTGACGTTTTGTTTACACAGGCCGGCGCACCCGCTTCTTCGCGGCTCACCACTGCAGTGAAGTATGCCAATCGCGGTTTCTGGCTCACGGTTGTGGTCGGTCTCGGATCGTTCTACTACGTCACCACAGTATGTTGGGTGTCCCTGCGTCCGTGTTCACATCCACAACTTTCGCTGCAGAAAGATCGCAACCCCGGCCCTCAGTTGGCGCACGATCCCACCAAGAAGACGGTTGTCGTGCTTGGTAGTGGGTGGGGTGCGACCAGCTTCCTCAACACTCTGGATACGACGGAATACAACGTGGTGCGCTCTTCTTCTCCCGTTCTGCGACAATTATTTCTTCTATTGATTGCGTTTCCAGGTCGTCATCAGCCCGCACAACTATTTCTTGTTCACGCCCCTGCTGCCCAGTGTAGCTGTCGGCACCTTGAGCCCACGGTCCCTTCTCCAACCTACACGATACGTTACACGACACAAGGCCCGTTCCGTCAAAGTCATCGAAGCCGAGGCTCAATCTGTTGATGTTCGTCGGGACCCTGAATTGCTCTGGTCGTGTTCTAATCTTGCGCAGCCCGTCAACAAAACGGTCTCTTTCATAGGTGGAGTTTCATGCTTCAGGACTACTTGACGGGAACTAACCGGAACGGCAGATAACTCGGACATCCAGGGCTCTGTCTCGTCGACCACGATTCCTTATGACTATCTTGTTTACGCTGTTGGTGCCGAAGTGCAGACCTTCGGAATTCCCGGTGTTCAAGAGCACGCTTGCTTCATGAAGGAGCTCCAGGATGCCGAAAAGGTATGGTGTTTCATCGAGGCGATGTTTCTGTCTCAAACATTCTGTGTAGTTCCAGCGTGTCTTCCTGGATTGTAATGACATGCGTTCTGAACATCCTGCATTTCGGCTCACCGGCTCTCCTAGGTCTCGAATCGGCTGCCTTCCCCGGACAATCTGAAGAGGAGATCAATCGGCTGTTGCACATGGTTGTCGTTGGAGGTGGACCCACTGGTGTTGAGCTTAGGTAAGGTTGTCCGACACTAAGTATGGTCTCGCTGACCCTTTTCAGTGGCGAGCTCCACGATTTCCTCGAAGTACGTCCCGACACGAGTTGAAGTGGCCGAGATTAATCCGCGATCTGTAGGAGGACTTGAAATCCTGGTACCCTGAACTGGCTGGCAAGATCAAGATCACACTCGTGGAGGCCATGCCCTCTGTGTTGCCCATGTTCAGCAAGCATTTGATTGATTACACGGTATCGTCCTTCAAAGAGGACAAGATCGACATCCGCACACAAACGATGGTCAAAGAAGTCAAGCCTAAGAGTGTTGTAGTGGCACTGCCGGACAAGACTGTCGCTGAATTGCCGTGTGGGTTGGTTGTCTGGGCTGGTGTGCGTGGAGACGGTTGAGGGATGGGTGGTAGTCACTGATTCCGTCATCAGGGCAACAAGGGCCGCAAGATTACCCAGGACCTGATGGCAAAACTCCCCGCGGACCAGACTAACAAGCGCGGTATCACAATCGATGGTGCGACGCCATCCGTTCCTTCTCGTCACTCTGGACCTGACCCCGCATCAGAATACCTCCAGATGAAAGGCTCGAATGGAAGCATCTTCGCGATCGGAGACTGCACTTCCTCTTCGCACGCCCCGACTGCCCAGGTTGCCAACCAGCAAGGGGCCTACCTCGCCAGAATCTTCCCGCAGATCGTTCAGCGCGACGAGCTGCAGGCCAATCTGAACGAGCTGGAATCTGGCCTTGCGACTATTCTGAAGGAGGACGATAAGAAGCAGGTCAAGGATGAGGCCGACAACGTCCAGCGCCAGTTGAGCAAGATGAAGATTCGGCCTTTCACCTACTCGCACCAGGGCACTCTGGCGTATGGGAACTCCGCCACGTAGCAACGACAAGTTGCTGATGATTTTTACAGGTACATTGGCTCAGACAAAGCCATTGCCGATCTGTCTTTCTTCAACAGGAGTGTATGTGATCTCCGTCTCCCCTCTCTATCTCTGCGTTGACTCGCTGCTAGTTTGCAAGCGGTGGCTTGCTGACCTATTACTTCTGGAGAAGCGCTTACCTCAGCTCTCTATTCTCGTTGAGGAATCGTGCTTTGGTAGCAGGAGATTGGCTGCGGACGAAGATCTTCGGCCGGTTAGCATCTCGTTTTGGTGTTCGCTTCCGCGCTGACCATTGACTAGTGACGTGAGTCGGGAATGGACCCGATAGATTGATTCGTGATATCAGCAAGACCATAGACTCTATCTTACTTCTATCAATGTCGGATCCCGGTATGTCTAATGTCGTCGTCCCGCTAGAGCCATAGACGCTGTAGAACATTCGCTGAATGTGTTATATACATAAGCACGACTCGGCCGTTGCTATCTTCCTGCATCTGTGTGCCTTTCGACATGTCGACAGTCCTAGCGATGTCAGCAGCTCAAAATAACAGACTCGCTTATGGTCGGTAGGGTCTTCTGAGTCTGGTCTCGAGAACTCCTTCTCTGGTGCTTATGGTTGGCTGATTATACAACGTTCTCGCTGTCGTCAGCCCATTTGAATAGTAGAACCAGTTCGAATTGATCGCATGCAGAGAGAAGATAAATACTGTCGAGGGGCCGACATCTGGGCTTCACTCTGTTGCCTGGAACCTCCATGTCCGTCGAGCTGAAACTGCCGCTCAACTTGCCCGTCTACGAGGTGCGTAGTCAATAGCACGGATTCGCGTTCGCTGGCTGACACGCAAGTAGACAGCCGATACGGCATTCGTCAGGGCACAGACCAAGATCGATGACGACGAGGAGTTGAAGAAACACATTCTTGATGTCCGGGCCAGAGCGAATGTGAGTGCGGTACCGAGTCGTCGGTCGGGTTTGTCGAGTGATCATGAAATGTGTCCAGTCCGCGTATTTTTGTGTCCAGAACTTCGGCTTCACGCGGTGAGCGGTGACAGACAGCGTCGGCTTGCTTCGAAGGGGGAGATGCATACTGACGATCCCGCAGACCGAAGATTTCGATGTTGCCGGGGTACTCGAAAGTGCTGGATCTCGTCCGTGAGCGTCCGGACACGATACTCCTAGAACTCGGATGTTGCTGTGCGGATGCGCTTTCCAGATACTTTGTCTCGATCTCATCCCAGAGCAGTTGGGGCCGATGTCCGGAAAATCGTGAGCGATGGATTCCCGGCTGAGAACATCGTAGCGAGCGACCTCAACGCAGGTAGTGATAGGACGGATGTCGGTCGATGTGGCTCTGATATTCTTCAGAATTCTGGCCGTTAGGCCATGATCTATTCAAGACGAGTCCGAGCACCCTCCCCGTCAAATTCTTGGCAGGAGACGCGTTTGATGCTAGCTTCTTGCAGCCGTTCCCGCCACTGGAGGATCTTAAAGAAATTGATACTGCCGTCCCGACGCTCGCAGAGTTGACGACTCTGACACCGCTCCGAGGCCACGTTTCTGCAATCCACCTGTCGCTGGTGTTCCACTTGTTTTCCGAGCCTCAGCAGGAACAGCTCGCGCGCGCTCTGGCGGGGTTGCTTTCTCCGCGCCCTGGATCGATCATCTTCGGTCATCACGGAGCGAGCAGCAAGAAGGGGATTTCCGAGGCGAACACGAGTGCAGGTCGGCCGATGTTCTGCCACAATGCCGAGTCGTGGGTTGAGCTATGGACGTCGATATTTCCGGAGTCGACGGTTGTGGTGGACGCAGTATTCAAGGGTGAAGACGGAGGCCCGTCGGATTTCGGGATGCTGGTTTGGTCAGTCACTAGAGTACGATGATTATACAAGACGCAAGCTTGTCAGTAAGGCGCAGTTCGTCTGATGCTGAACAGTAGCCAAAGCATGTTACTGCTTATCAATTAAACGGCCTTGGAGCCCGGCGACTTGGGTGCACAAAAACGTAACTCATCCTTCACGGGCGCGAGATGTGGCGGACTGGGGCCCGGACTAGTCGAAGGGCTTGGACCTGGACCGTGACCGTGTCTTGCGGAAACGGAAACGGAAACGGAGGCCGTCGATGCGGTCGTCGTAATGATCCACCCTGTGCGGATCTGGTTTTGCAGAACGCGAAATCAAAGTGAAGCCTTTCGTCCAATTCTGCCAGTATGCAAGTGCCATGAGATATGGCTTCGATGCTCGATTGTAGATGCAGGAACACCAACATATATGGGAGCACTGCCACAGGCCCGGGTGGCAGTTGCCAAAATGTGGCAGCGGAAGCAACGCGCCTATTTGCCTTCTCTCTGTTCCATGACTTTTGAAACGAATTCCTCGAGTCAAGTGCCAGGTGAAACTACGAGTGGGCCCTGCCTCAGAGCGGCATCGGCGGGGCCGCGGAAGGGAGCGATAGATCTGCGCAGAGACCAGATCGGGATCCCGCAACTGCAACTGCGACCCCGCAAGAAAAAACTCAGCTCGAACGAGCGATGCTTTTTCCTCCACTCGCCCAGATTTCGGCTGAGACTGGGTCCCCTAGTTGTTGGGATCAGAACTAGGCCGACGTCCAGCGCCCTGGCACTGAGAAGCTCCGTCTCCTCGCTTGCCACCGTCGAGCGCGGTCTGGATATCTGGCACTTGGTCTAGAGATAACTCGGGTCTGCTGCTTGCTCAAGGATAAAATAAAACAGCAAAAACTCGCGGCGGACAACTTGTTCTTACTGGGGCAGACGGGATTTGCGGTGGAGCGAATCAGCGGCGGGTGTCGAGCTTTGGCAGAGAACTAGAAGAATCCCAAATCGAGAAATCGATTGACATTTCTGGGTCTTCTCAGTATAACGAACCGAGATAAATCTCCGCCCCGCTTTGGCAATCTCGATGTGACCAGCATATATAAACCTCGACGCGTCCAATTTATCGTCACGTCTCTCTTTTCGTTGACCCCCCACTCTTTGCTCTCGCGACGATGCGTCTCGCGCCGACACTCCTTCTGCCGTTCCTCGCGGCTCTCCTCGCTCCTTTCTCCCCAGCCACTGCGGCATTGTCTCATGGTGCTGGTCTGCACACCTCGCCCACGCGTACCATCGCCCGTCTCCAGCATCATCAGCCTCGATCCCTCATTGACATCTGCGTCAATATTCCTCAGCTCGCCGTTAATCTTCTCAACACGCTCGGCCTAAATGTCCAACTTTGTCTCTGTCTCAAGGTAGGCGATATCTTCGTTCAGGATCCTCGAATGGTATGATGAGGTATGTCTAGGATCTCGACCTGTATCTGGAAACCACCGACAATGTGACGCTTCAAAACAACGCTCTGCTGGCAGTCAACGCTCTCGCGAGTACTCGCTCTGCCCATCGTCACTCGTTGCTGACTGTCATCCTGCAGATCAACGGCGACGGATACCACGTCCAATGCGGGCCGCTCCCTGCGCACGCTAAGCACGCCTGTACCACCGACGACCCCTGTGCCATCACTTGCCTCGATGGGTATGTGCTGTCCGACGACAAGGCCAGCTGTGTTTGTCCCTGGGGCACGATAGATTGCAAAGGACAATGTGTTTCCGCTGTATGTATCTGGCCTCCTGTCCCTGCGCGTCGCTGATCGTACTTTCAGAGCGCGGGATGTTCTGGTGCATCACCCGTGGCCCGCTCACTTAAGGCACGCGATGAGCCGATCACGACATTGGAAGCCGCTCAAAAGCGCTGTGGATCGCTCAAAGTCTGTGGAGTTGCCGATCCCAGCTCCAAGTACGAGTTTGATTGCGTCGACACCACATCCAACTTCGACAGCTGTAGGTCACCCATGACATGTGTTGTCTTTCTTCGCTGACTCTTCGCTGCAGGCGGTGATTGTGTGTTCCCGCACCCCTTCCAGTCGGGTGAACAAACTGTGCTCGCCCGTGGCGTCGACTGCGGCCGCATCCTGAATGCTCGCCATGTCAGTTGCCACCAAAGTCGATGCGCAGTTCAGTCTTGCCGTAAAGGATACGTCCTTAGCGGCGATGAATGCGTGCCCCACGGCGCGGAGAAGCGTGCGCTTAACGTCCTGGGTCTTCTCACGGTGGACACTGGCTCCTCGGCTTCGAGCTCGTCGCAGGTCATCGCGCCCGCGCTGGGAGCATCGATGGTCGGTACGATGGGATGCGCTGCGGCTCTCAAAGGGGCCAGCGGTTCTATCGGGGGCACCAGCGCGTCTGACGCCGTTGCACCTGTTTTGTCGTCGGTGAGCACCATGCTCGGATCGACGACCGCGTCGAGCCTCGCGTCGAACGTCGATGCCTCGGTGGACGCGACTACCGATCTCAAGTCACAGATCGAGGGCTGCAACTGCTCTGACGGCCTCGGGAGCCTTCTCAAAGATGTCGATGATCTGCTCAACCACTTGCTCAACCTGCAGGGCGCTTGCAACTCCGCAGGCGGATCGGCGCCGACGGTTCCTGGAGACCAGAACTGCCTGTATGCGGATGCTCATCGACTCGTCTGCGATATTGATCCGGACCTCTACATTGCCCCGATCTCTATCTGTGGGTTGTTGGGTCCCGAGTTGAACAACGACGTGCAGAACATCGTCAACAGTTTGGGACTGGGGCTGCAGCCGAGAGATGCGCCTGGATGTTTGCTCGCGCCCCCCACCGGGAGCTTGCCTGCGGCTCCTCCCGTCTCTGCCCCAGCGTCAGGTCCTGTCGCAGTCTCAGCACCCGCTGTCCCAGTTGTTACCCCGTCGGTTCCATCGACACCGGCTTCGCCTTCAACACCGGCCCCTCCTTCGACGCCAGTTGATCCGTCTTCGCCTGACATTGTCATCTACCTGGCTGGTATCACTATCGACTTGGCGCTGCAGCTTAGTGCCGCTGCTGGCTCTCTCGATCCGAACACCTGCGGTGGTGATCTCATCACACTGATCAACAACCTGGTGAAAAGCCTTCTGGGAAAGCCGTTGCTTGGAAAGGGCGCCATCATCAGTCGTGATCTGTTGGGTCTGGACGGGACACTTGACAGCCTTGGTCTCGGTGGAGGCTCGCTGGATGGTCTGACGTCCGATCTGGGACTTGGTTCGGCTGGCTGTGCCCTCAGTCTTTGCGGATTGACGCCGACGATCAATGGTGTGGTGAGCGCCCTGGGTCTCGCTCCCAGTTCTTGCAATGCGGGCTCGCTCAATCTTGGCCCGTTGCTCGACGACTTGGATAGTGCAGTCCAAAAGTTGCTCGGGAGTGCAGCGGGGTGCGGATGTGCATCTAGTCCAGCGGTCACTAGCGCGATCGCTGGTTTGCAGGCTAACGCGACCACGGCGGGGACCGCCAACATCGCACGCGCTGAGCGGGCTGTCCGCCGAGCCGCCCGCGCTCAGATTCCTCGCCGTCATCATAAACTTCGTCGGGCGGATTCGAACTCGGTGCTGGCCCCGGCGCTGGTTGGGCCGATGACGACTGCTTTGACTGTGACCGTCTCGCTGACGAACGATCTTCCGGCCGGTGCCCCGAAATGCGATACGTTGTTGTCGAGTCTGAACTCGCTGTTTGGATCGACTCCCACGACGCTGACGGCGAACATCTACATCTCGTTGGCGGCGGCGAAGACGTACCTGACCGAGTTGGAGGGCTGTGGGTGCGACAGCACTGGGCTCAGCAAGCTGGTGCAGCAGCTGGTCGACAGTCTGAACGAGATGCTGGGCCATTGTAAGAACAACTCCCCGACGGTTTCGTCGACTGGGAAGTGCCCTGAAGAACAGGCTGTGTGTGGATTGCTCCCGGGGCTGTATCTCAGCTCGACAGTCCGATGCGCAATGCAGGATGTGACCGGTGTTGCGTCCACTGCCTGTTTGACTGTACCATCCTTGGTGGTGGACACCTCTGTGTTGTTGCCGACTTCTTCGTCGCCAGCGGTATCGGCCGATCCACAGGACGCTCTCGTTGTGTCGGCCAACCAAGTCCTGGCACTGGCTCTGAAGATCAACCTGGCTTGCGGAAACCTCCCGGCCAAGTCATCCGATAACGTTCTCGATCTGAATGCAGCGGTGAATGCGCTGCTGCAGTACCTTGTAGGCGACGATCTGCTTCATGCCACATCGCTCGGCAATGTTGGCGGTGCGCTGGGTGGTATTCTGAGCGGAAGCGATGGGTTGGAGCTGCAGCAAGTGTCTGTGGACAGTCTCGTGCAGGAGATTCTCGCTGCGCTGGGACTTGCTGGCGCGGATCCTCACTGCGGATGCAATTCTGCTGTCAACAGCATCACTGCCGATGTGAATGCACTTGGGCCGGCTGTAACTCAGTTGCTGCACGCGGGCACATGCAACTGCGGCAATGCAGCCCTGCTCGGTCTATTTTCGTCTGGTCTGACGAGCAGTGTCGTCAACGGCTTCAAGCTTCTCCGCGTTGATCTCTAAAACTGTGACGCATGTTTTTTTCTCGCCTGAATTCTGTGTAGACTTGGATGCAGGAAACTCTGCATTCCTTCGCTCTTTTCGTCTTGTCACCTTTTGCACTCTTTGTACGTAGCTACCGAAATACATAATACGATACCTGCCTTTTTTGGTCCCGAGCCGTCGGATCAAATATCGGCTGATGTTCTACTTTGACCCGGGACGGTCTGCAGACCTCGGCAAGCATCAGACGGTGATGTCATCCGCCGCCACAAAGCCGGTAATGCCCGTCGTGTAATCACCGCACTGAGGGCGTTTGCATCCGTCTGCACCGCGTTTCACTGTATAAAATATTAGTTTCATTTGGGAGTATTCCCGGAACTTGTGATAATCTAATCCGCGTCTACCACAATTTTACCTCATTTTGTGCGATTTTTCTCGGACCGGCGCGTAAAGGAGCGGATATGATTGGTCCGGCCGATTGATCAATTCACGTGTGCGTCTGTGATAAAAATGCCAGCGTGACCGCCCCCTCCCCTCACCTTTCTCCGCTCCATCTTTTGAGCAATGCTCAATTTCTCCAACAGGCCTGCGGCCGCCATGCGCGCGCTGCAGCGCATGGCCGCCGGTATGGCCACTGCTGCTCCCCGAATCGGTGATACCAAAGTTGCCATGTCGCTGCTCGAGAAGGGCGCCTTCATCAACTACCAGCGCATCGAGGATAACTTGGCTATCGTGCGCGAGAGGTGTGTCGCGCTCTGCCCCGTCTCTGGGGCGCGCTGCTGACGCTTTGCAGGCTGCGCCGTCCATTGACGCTATCGGAGAAGATTCTCTACGGCCATTTGGACGACCCTCACGGGCAGGATATCGAGCGAGGTGTGAGCTACCTCAAGCTTCGTCCCGACGTGCGTATCTTCATTTCCGTCGTCCCTCTTCTCCACATCCTTCTTTTTTATCGTCTATCTCGCGTTAGCTCGCGCTCTAGCTACCGTTCGTTATGACTCGCGCGACCACTCCGTTTTCCTCTCTCTCACCCTGAAATCGGTTCGTAAAGCTGACAACGACCTTCGTAGCGTGTTGCCTGCCAGGATGCCACCGCTCAGGTCAGTACTGTCTGACCCTCGTGCTTATGCTGGTGCTGACGTCACTAGATGGCCCTGCTGCAATTCATGTCTGCCGGCATGCCTACGGCAGCGGTCCCGACCACCGTGCACTGTGACCACCTTATCGAGGCGCAGGTTGGCGGCGTTAAGGATTTGCAGCGCGCCATCAACATCAACAAGGAGGTCTATGACTTCCTTGCTACGGCTACTGCCAAAGTGCGTCCGGACGCGGTGAATTAACATGCTTCGGACTAACAATGTCGTAGTACGGTCTCGGTTTCTGGAAACCCGGTTCTGGTATCATTCACCAAATCATTCTCGAAAACTACGCTTTCCCCGGTGGACTTATGATCGGCACGGACTCGCACACCCCGAACGCAGGTGGTCTCGGCATGATCGCGTGCGGTGTTGGAGGCGCCGACGCAGTCGACGTGATGGCGGACATTCCTTGGGAACTCAAGTGCCCCAAGGTTATCGGTGTTAACCTTACTGGCAAGATCGGCGGCTGGACTACTCCTAAGGGTACGAATCTCCACTTGATACTCTTCTCGAACTTCTTTTTGATGGCTGTCTCGGCATTCAGATGTCATTCTCAAGGTGGCTGGAATCCTCACGGTCAAGGGTGGCACTGGTGCTATCGTCGAATACATGGGTCCTGGTGTCGAGTCGCTCTCGTGCACGGGTATGGCTACTATCTGCAACATGGGTGCTGAGATTGGTGCAACCACCTCGATGTTCCCCTTCAACAGCCGGATGGCCGACTACCTCAAGGCAACCAACCGCCAGGAAATCGCTGCTTACGCTGAACAGTTCGCCCACAACCTCAAGGCTGATGAGGGTGCCCAGTACGACCAGGTCATCGACATCGTGCGTTCATCCGTGTCCTCTTTCCATCTTCTTTGCTCATTCGCGCTAGAACCTTTCCGAGCTGGAGCCGCACATCAACGGACCCTTCACTCCTGATTTGGCCACCCCCATTTCTCAGTTCGCTTCCGAAGTCAAGAAGAACGGATGGCCGGAAGAGATGAAGGTTGGCTTGATTGGTTCCTGCACCAACTCTTCGTATGAGGATATGTCCCGCTCGGCTGCTATTGCCAAGGAGGCCGCCTCGCACGGATTGACGATGAAGAGCAAGTTCACGGTTACCCCTGGATCTGAGCAAGTTCGGGCCACTATCGCACGTGACGGACAGATCGGCATCTTCGAGGAAGTCGGTGGTATCGTTCTCGCTAACGCGTGTGGACCTTGCATTGGCCAGTGGGACCGTCAGGATGTGCCCAAGGGCGAGAAGAACTCGAGTGCGTTACCTTCGTCGTCGTCTTGGATGTTCGCTGAATGAACTAGTCATCACTTCGTACAACCGTAACTTCACTGGACGTAACGACGCCAACCCGGCCACCCATGCCTTTGTTGCCTCGCCCGACATCGTTACCGCCATGGCCTTCGCTGGTGACCTCACCTTCAACCCGCTCACCGATACCCTGAAAGACTCTGAGGGCAAGCCCTTCAAGTTCTCCGACCCGACTGGCCACGAGCTCCCTCCCCGCGGATACGACCCTGGCGAGAACACTTTCCAGGCACCGCCTGAGGACCGTGCTTCCGTCCAGGTTGCCGTTGACCCGAAGAGCGACCGCCTGCAGCTCTTGAAGCCCTTCACTCCTTTCACTGGCGAACCCAAGGATTTGCCCATTCTTATCAAGGTCAAGGGCAAGTGCAGTACGTGTCTCACCTTGCGTCGTCCGCTGCCCTTTGCTGAGGCAGTGTCGCAGCTACCGACCACATCAGTGCTGGTGGACCCTGGCTCAAGTACCGTGGCCACCTCGAGAACATCTCCCGTACGTAGTAGCATGGCACATCCCTGGAGTATGTTTTGCTGACGCGGTTCTTCAGAGAACTGCCTGATCGGTGCCATCAACGCTGAGAACGGCGAGGCCAACAAGGTCAAGAACCAGTTCACTGGCGAGTTTGGCGGTGTTCCCCAGGTCGCTGCCGAGTACCGCGAGAAGGGCGTCAAGTGGGTCGTCATTGGTGACTCCAACTACGGCGAGGGTTCGTCTCGGGAGCACGCTGCGCTCGAGCCCCGTTTCTTGGGTGGATTGGCCATTATCGTCCGGTCGTTTGCTCGCATCCACGAGACGAACTTGAAAAAGCAGGGCATGCTCGCCTTGACGTTTGCTGATCCGGCAGACTATGATAAAGTGCAGCCCACTGACCGTGTGGACATCGTTGGCTTGGAGTCGTTCGCTCCGGGCAAGAACCTGACGCTTGTTGCCAAGCATGCTGATGGATCATCCGACGTGCGTTTTTGTGCTTCTGCTGCCTATGCGATTTTCTAACCACGTGTATGCGCTTGATAGGAGATTGCCCTTGCTCACTCTTTCAACGAGGGCCAGATCGCCTGGTTCCGTGCTGGCTCTGCACTCAACTTGGTGCGTTGCTCATTGCCTTGTCTCTAAGTTCCTTGAATACTCATGTCATGTTTTTTCTTTATTACGCAGATGGCTGCTAAGGCTAAGGGAAACTAGATTAAAGTGTCGATTTGTTTTTATTCCATTTCACTTTTTCATCCAAACCTGTAATGACGAAAGGAGCAATAATGAAACATTCAGTCGAAGTTAGGATGTGAACAAGCTGGGGCTCGTTGCGAGCTCGGCGAGGAAGACCTTGGTCTCTGCCATGATGACGAGGCGGCCTTTGCCTGCGAAAGCCTGGGAGGATGTAGTCAGCAAGCCAGGCCAAGTAGGAGGAAGCAGTCATTCGAGGGAACTGACCATGTTGGCGGAACTCACGCCCAGGAAAATCTTGCCCAACAGTGTTCCGACGGCGTTCCAGACCTGCGATTGGTTGGCATCAGCATAAGACTGGATGCCCAGTACCGCTGTTTGTCAATCTCACATGGACGCCATCAGCACAGCCTGCGTAGACGTTTCCATCCGTGTCGACCTGCACGCCATCCGGGATGCCTGTTCTCGCGGTCAGAACAACGGCAGCCGGCGGGGAAGCGCGTTATTATCAATCTGCACCAACCTGTGTCGACGTAGGCGAATATGCGGCGGTTGGTAAACGCGAATGACTTGGAGTCCACGTCGAATGCGTAACTGGAGCGAGCGCGGGAATCAGGAAATCAGATGACAGCCCGCATGGAGGATAAGAAGAGGTTTCTGACATGGTCGCTGGGTGCGTCTGATTAGTCCCCAAGAAGCCGCCGACCGCGCCTGTGTCCGTTCTGTGGCAGAGAAGGAAAGAAGGAAGGAGATTAATCGTCGGCTTCGAATGCGGAAAACGTTTGGCTGATGGGCTGCTCACATGAACGCTGTTTTCCCGTCCCCGGAGAACGCAATGCCGTTGGACTTGTCAAAGTCGGTCGCCACGACACGGACTTGGCGGGTCGTCGGGTCGAGGACGTAGACCTGACTGGGCAGCAGCGGCAGGGGCCGGAAGTGGTTCAGCCAGCCGTAGCTGGGCAGATCAAGTACAGTCAGCCACCGGATTTCGGAAGCACTCCCACAAGGAGAAAGCAAAAAAGAAAAACTCACACCGTGTCGGTGAAGAATATTTTGCCGCTGGGGTGCACTTTGATATCATTCAGCGAATTGAATTGCCTGCCAAAGAAGTTGTCCACGAGGACAGTCGTGTTGTGTGGCGCAGCCGGATTTACGCGCACGATGGACGGCGGGAGAGGTCCCCGGCCGGAGTTGACGAGGAGGAGGTCCCCCTGGTACGGCCCCGTCCCGCCGTTCGTCATCTGCACAGTGTCGGGGAGATCGAGCTGCAACGCGCAGTTCAGCCCAGCCCAGGCAGCATCCGCCGCCGCGGGAGATCTGAATCCTGCATTGACTTACTTTGGTGACGGGGATATTGATGGCGGTGCCGTTCAAGCTGGCTGGGAGATGCTGCAGGTCCAAGCGCCCGACTTGATTGTTGTGATTGATGTCGCTCATGCCAAGCGCACCACCCGAGTTGCTCGCGAAGAACATCGCGTCCTGCGCCGCATCGTAGATGGGAGCTTCATGTGCAAACGCGAACGTGGCGTTCGAAGCGATCTCGGTGATACTCGGATTCGGGCCCAAGATCTTCAGAAACCCCGCGTCAAATATTTGGAAGAACGGCGGCGTGGTGCCTGTCGGGTTGAAGGCAGCGAATGCGTCCTCGCGGAAGGTGCCATTGTTGCCCAGCACCGCGAACGAGGCAGGGCTAACAAACTGAATACAGGGTCAAAAAAGCCAGAATGTGAGTGCGCGGGAAACGACTCCTACCACGGATTGGGCTGGGACTGCGAGTGCAATAGAATCATTCCCAGCTGCGTCTCTGATATGATAAGCAAGTGCGATAGCCAAAGCGCCGACGGAAAGCATCATGAATCGCGCAGAAGTTTTGGAGGTCGAGGCGCCGGCGATCGTATTCACTTCCACTGGACTCATGGAGGCAGGGCCTTATTTAAAGGTGCGAATCATGTCATGAGCTCCACGCGAGACTGCGACAACCGGCAAACGCTTGAGGGTCGTCAGACATCACGCGGGGTGGTCGTCAGACCGGGTTTTCATCTCCAGACGGCCATAATTAGTGGTTTCTCATGCACCGAGTCGCCGGCAGTTACAAAAAAAAATCTTGTGGGGTGAAGGGAATGCGCAGATCTCTTGGAAGTTGACTGTGTGATACACACATATGGCCTGCGACCTGGTTTCCATTTGGGTGGCCTGTTGTTTGCCGAAGCTTGTACCATGCCGTCAGTGCCGAGTGTTCCATCGCGTGCCAACTTGGCGTGGAAGCAAAGTGGCCCTCTGATGGATTCTATGAGCGACGGTGGGAAGACTGTCGGATTCCCAACTGCTTGCTTTGCGAGCCCCATGTCATACGAGGGAGTCTCCGCTGTCGACATGTCTATTTCGGGTGCGGACCACGCCATCCATAGCCTGTTTCCCGAGTTCCAGATGCCATTTAAAGCCACAGAAGTCAAGAGATCCGCATGGATTAAATGTGTCCTGGGGACGTAAAATACTAGGCCGTCATCTTGTGATACTATTACCAGCCCGTCCCGAGCTCTTTCGCCTTCCACTAGCACCATGTTCCCGCAGATCGTCGGCGTTCGATGGTTCAATGTCGCCGTGCTGCTCCTCACACCGATGCCGGCTGCGTACGGACTCTGGTATGTGCCCGTCACGCTCAAAACCGCCGTTTTCGCCATTCTGTACTACTTTTTCTCCATGATCGGTGGGTTTGGGCCGAGCGTGCGACTGCCGCTGCCGCAGCTTTGCTGACCGCTCCCTGGCAGGCATCACGGCTGGCAAGCGACGCGCTCCTTTCGGCTCGCTGGTGGACTAAGCCTTTACGCGCAGGGTATCATCGTCTGTGGTCGCATCGGTCCTATAACGCGTCGTTTCCGCTCCAAGTGTTCCTCATTTTGGGCGGGACCAGTGCCGTGCAGGGCTCTTGCTACTGGTGGGCGCGGGGCCACCGCTCCCACCACCGCTGGTGAGTCCGCTCCCCGATCGCTCGCACTGCGTTTACCCGAACCGAAGCTGCATAGGACCGACACGGAAAAAGATCCATACGACGCTTCGGTAAACCCAGCTCTTGCGAACCCATCGAGCGGCTTACCTCATTGATTGATCCAGCGCGGCCTCCTGTGGACTCACATCGGGTGGATTCTGTTCAAGTCCAAGCTGCGTTCGGGCCCGGTCGATATATCCGACTTGGGGCGGGACCCGTTACTTCGCTGGACGCATCGTTACTACTTCCCGCTCGCTGCATTGTTTGGCTACATCGTGCCCGCTCTGGTACCGATCTTGTGGGACGATGTGCTGGTGAGTGGGCCCTCGCCTCGATCGATCCAGCCAGCGTGAATCAAGCTCCATTCTAGGGCGGAATCTGTTTCTCGGCCGCTCTCAGGCTGACTATTGCCCACCATGTAATTTCATCTCCACTCCAGGCAGAACGCCGGCTGATTTGGGCCAGTGCACCTTTGCCATCAACTCGATTGCGCATTACCTCGGCACAACTCCGTACGACGACACCCTCAGTCCGAGAGATCACTTCTTGTCCGGTGCGTTGTGGCTTGGCGCACGATTTCACATGCTGATCCAGATTGTGTGTAGCGATCCTGACGATGGGCGAAGGATACCACAACTTTCACCATCAATTCCCCATGGACTACAGAAATGCTTATCTCTGGTATCAATGGGACCCCACAAAGTGGTTCATCCAGCTCGTCTACTATTGCCGGCTCGCGAGTAATCTCCGGATATTTCCGAGCAATGAAATTGCCAAGGGCGCGCTCACCATGAAGCTGAAGCAGCTCAAACTCGACCAAGACGCTATCCGCTGGCCGACAGAGCCCCAGGACCTTCCTGTTGTGACTTGGGATACCTGTGAGTGGTTTTTGCTGTTTTCCAAGCTTTTTTCTTGAATGTACGGTGACAGTCCGGAAAGAGTCGGAAACCCGTTCACTGCTTCTGGTATGTCGAGTTGAGCTGCCCTCGGGATGGTATGTTCAACGTCTCCAGATCTCGGGCTTCATTCACGACCTATCCGAATTCGTGGGCGATCACCCTGGAGGGCCGCTGTACCTCACGAAGAACGCTGGCAAGGACATGACCGCTGCATTTTTCGGAGGCGTCTACCGGCACTCAAACGCCGCTCATAATGTGTGTGGCTCATCATCACGCGCGATGGGTGTGTCTCTGATCTCACCTCCGAAAGCTGCTCTCCATGTTCCGAGTGGGTGTTTTGGCTGGAGGCGGCTGTCCTCCGGACCAGCCTCAGGCTGTTCCGCCATCACAGATCCTGTATGTAGCAGAACGCGCACGTGACCAAAAGACTAGCTAGAATGCCGTCCATTTGTAGAGCGCACGGATCGGAATCCGTCACAGAATCAAGCTGTTCATAGACTGGCGACGTCACTGCGAAGGTCATCGTTGGAGTGCTTGGAATGTGCGAAGGGTTCGAAATGATGGGAGTGTCGGAAAGGCAAAATGGCAATGTTTCTGCATTTGCAGAATCTGTCATGTTCGGATTTGACTTGGCACCGGAAAACTTGAAATAGAGCTTCGTGAGCACGTGACCGTGTCAAATTGCGCGTGACTCCCGCGTGACCACAACGATTGTGCTTGGACGCGATCACCATGTCTGCTTTGACTCCCGCGCTGCCTGTGGATCAGCTGGAATCTCTAAGGTTCAAAACCAATCAGATCATCGAGTCCATAATCGGTCTTCAGAGAACTATCGAGGCGGGGTACTCAAACTATATGCACCCATGGCCAGACATCCTTTCCAAGTATAACATGCTGCTCTCCCAGACTCACAATCTTTCGAATGCGCTTGTTGCACCCGTGCAGGGGACATCCCTCACATTCGACTCCTCCGGCGCGCCTCAGATATCCCAAGTCAATCGCGCCAACCCCTTCGAGTCCATTGCTCTGCACCCGTGTGTCGGCATGCCCGACACGCAGCTGGATAACGAGGTGATTCCGCTCCTCCGGAACCAACAGACAACGGAGGTGCTGCGGGCGGAAAACGAGACCGTCAGGCGTCTCGCAGAGCACATGGCCACGCGGGGCTCTCTCGGGGTGCTCGGGGCTGCTCTTCCAGCCCCGACAGCCCTTGGGGTACTTCCCCCGAAGCCAGAATACGAGGACGTTCTTCGGGAGTGCGATCAAATTCGGGGGATGCATGACCAGCGCGTCGAGCGGGCGGTCAGGGCGGTGGCGATGTTGCGGGAGAAGTTCGAGCTCAAGCAGCGTGTCCAAGTTGAAGAAGAGGAGCCCGAGGAGTTGACTTGGGACCCGCGACTGGGCATGCCTATGGAAACTGGGGCTGAGGCCGATGCGGAGATGGATGAGGGCGACGAAGGGATGAGCGATGACGAGGATGACGATGGAGATGGGGGTGACTCTACACGGCGTGGTGGGGGTCCGCCCGAAGTCAATGGCTCAACCGTCCTCATGGATATAAACATGTATTAGTTCAGGGATATCTTCCGTGCCTTGTGCAGAATCTCCTCACACATCATGGGGAAACATACCGCCAGTCACCATCAGTCACTTATCGTCACTCACTAGTCACGGTGACGGTAACAATCCAGCAACTCGTTTTTATTCTCCACCGCACGCAGAACGTTCTCCATGTTGCACGGTCGTCTCGCCTCGAGAATCGGCGCGGCAGCCAGCCCCCTGCTGTCTTCACGCCTGTACCCTTCTTCGGCCTCAGTCTCTCGCGCCGTCTTGTCTGCAGCGACGCGTCGTACATTTCTGACAACCGCGCGCGCCTCCTTCCCCGCCGGAGCTGCCACCAAGCCTAAGGCCAAAGCTACCACGACGAAAGCTAAAGCCTCTACTGCTGCGAAGAAAAAGCCTGCCGCGAAAAAGCCTGTGCGCAAGGCATCTCGCGTCGCGGCGAAGAAACCGAAGACCCCCGTGAAACGCAAGCCCAAGAAGAAGGTTGTGCCCAAGAAAGGTATGTCAATTATTCTCGCTGTCTCATCGCATCTCTGATCTTGCTTTGCTCAGCCCCGCGCATCCTCAAATCGCAGGGCCCGCCGTCTCGAAGGTCATCGACTTTCCTCGTGTTCTTCCAGGAATACATGGAAAAGCATGGCTCGGAGAGAGGAGGATCGATCATAGACTTCAGCAAGGAAGCCGGAGCACGCTACCGTGCCATGTCTGACGCGGAGAAAGAGGTGCGCGTTCATCGTTTGTGGTGGTCACGCGCTCATGCCGTCTTAGCCGTATGCGGTGAAGGCGCGCGAGCAAACTGCTCTGAGACAGGCTGAATATCAGAAATGGATTGAAGAGGCTGACCCCGACTTCCTTCGTCGTCTCAACAAGCAGCTCAAAGCGTCGAAGAAGCGCAGAATCGTTGATAAGAACCGTGTCAAGAAGCCTGTTTCTGGTTACATTCAGCAAGTATCCATTAACCCCTTTTCTTTCCTGTGCTCATCGTTCTCTAGATATTTCCTGGATAACTTCAAGGAGGGCACTCCCGCTGAACGAGGCAAAGCGGCTGGTGCTGGTTGGAGACAATTGTCTGAAGCAGAGCGACAGGTGCGGGCTCTATCTGTTTAACGCAATGTGGGCTGAATGGTTTCTAGAAATACCAAGCGCAAGCGAAAGTTGCCTTGGACGAGTGGAAGGCAGCCCAATCCAATGCTTGAACACATTCTGTTATCGACTTATCAGCTTCCTACTTCACCATATCCTATCCTACCAAATTCTACCTGTATTATCAACGATTCCCGGCGCTTGCAGCTATTTCATATCTTGAATCTTTTGGCATATCGAAAGTCCCTCCCCCCTCACTAATAGCACGGCGCATCGACAAGCTTGGCGGCACTTTGCTTCAAACGCTCACGAGCCCAAACATTTTTCTCGCCATCCGAATCGCGGTGCTCTCGAAGCACGACAAGGGCCAGGAAGACATCGTACCAGACCCGTTTCGTTCGTTGTCGCGGGAACACAATTAAATTGCCATCTGCGCCACGGGTGGCGCGATAAGCTTCCCAGAACGTGTCGCTGGCGTCGAGGAAGAATGTTTCGAGCAGTGGGTCACCCCACAGTGCATGAGCGACCGAGGGCAGTATTGCGAAGGCGTTGAGCTCGCCGCTGGCCGCGAATGCCAGGAAGACATCGTCCGCCGAGCCCGTGAACCAGATCAACGAAGGAACTTCGACGTCTGCGAACAGAAAGGCGGAGATGGCACGAGCAAGGGCGGTGCGCAGCTGCGCAAGAACGGGCTCTTCGATGCTGGCTGCCGAAGCGTCCAGAAGAGACTCGAGCAATGACGTGAAGGTCTCTTGCCACTCGTAGGACGGGTTCGAAGGGGGCGTCGCCGAGGGAAGACCGAAGAAATCGTTCATGGCGCCGTTGTGCAGCTCCCCGAGGTACTTGCCGAGTTGGAGGTCGATGTACGCTTGCTGTTTCGCGTTCAGGGCTCTTCCGGCGCGCGCATCGGCTAGTGATATGAGGCGGGAAGAGACGAGCGGGTATATGGGAGTGGTCAGATACATGTAAGGCAGGATGTCATCGGGATCGGAGAATTTCGGTTCGGGGATGGGGATCGTTGTGTTTTGTCGGATTACAGAGATGATTTGGGGAAAGAGAGCCAAGGAGTTCGGTTTGTAGACTTCGGACGCTTGGTCTTCATCGGCGTTCGATACAACCAGGAAAGTCGAATGCGTCGGTTCGGCATTGGTAGAGATAGCCAGATCGAGCAGGTATGTCGTGAGCAGGGGATTGTAGCTGCACACGATCGAGTAAGACTCGACTCTGTTCATGCGTCTCAGTAATTAATGGTCACCTAAACCCATGCGACACCTTGATGAAGTTGACGATGGTAGCGGGTGTGTCACTCTCTGACGAAAGGTGCTTATCGACGACAGCCTGTGCTTGTTCAATGGTGATCGTAGGAGGAGCCATGGTGGATGTATTGAACATCCCGGGCCCGGTCACCTTCGATTACGAGCCTGAGGCTAATCGATAATCTGACCCGCGATGTCACGTGTCCCATTCACATTCTTCTCCAACCCCACATCAACGCCAGTCGGCCAGCAGTCATATCATGGGCGAAGTCGTCAACGTCGTTGTCGCATTTGCGGTGATTGTGTTCGTTGTTCGATGGCTGACGACGGGCAAGTCCTTTGGTGGTCTTGTGCTTTCGTGTCCTGAAAGTATATACAGGCAGCAATGATTCACCCACTGCGGCGGACGCGCTCGGGTTCAGGCCAAAGAATGTGTCGCAGGATATGGTATGTGGAGCTTCAAAATTCCTCGTATGCTGCTCCTTCCCAATGTTCGAAGCTGAACTGGTCGCCTTACAGATCGACACGATATCGAATATGTTTCCCGATATACCTCCGTGTGTCCTGACCTCCAATCCAACTGTTCACCCCTGATTCCAAGGCCCGGTCCAGAGACAACATACGCTATGACCTCTTGAGGACTGGAAGCATCGAGCTGACGTCGAACAAGATATTAGAGCGCGGGTTCTTGGAGGCCGTGCGTGGCGCTTAGCTCACACTGACCGGCGCCAAACATCTGATTTCGTAATCTCTTGCCAGCCGCCGGCCGCTTACTTCACCCTCTATCCTCGGAATCCACCCGCTGCTTTGAATCCGGCATCGAGAAACTCTCAAACAAGCTCTGCTAACTCGACCGCTCTGAAACCCCAACAGAGTCTCATCGAACGCTATGGGCTGCAACAGCGCGTCACCGAGGAGAAGGCGGACGCTGAGTCTCCACCGGAGAGTGACGTCGGGGGTAAAGCTGTGTGGGAAGATAGTGCTGAGAAGAGGGAAGCCAGTCTAAGAGAACGTAAGGCCAAGATGATTCTTGCAGCCAGACAGTGCGTTGAAGAACTTTCAATGCTTCATGTCGGTTTGATTGACGTGCATTCAAGGCGAATGTTGGCTGCTCAGCAACAGAAGCAGGCCCCGTCTTGATTTCCTATTGCAGCTGCACCAGTTCATATTTCTCAATGCAGTTTTTCCCATCTCAGAAACTTCAGCAGGGAGTATTCATCCCATGTGACCTAGTGAGAGAGCGGATGCAAACTTACGAAGTCGCGTGTTGTCTAGATGCAGAGCAACACAGCAGGCAGGGCAAAAGCCGCGGCCAATATCCCAGCCAGGAAGATACTGTTTCCGAGCGGTCACCCAGCAGCGGCGGAAGTTCTGTCGCGGGTGGCCGAGACGATGCGGACTGCTGTCTTGTTCGCGCGAGTTTCGCACGCGGACAGACTCTAGGTGCCGTCTTGCGCTGCGATCGAGTTCGTCTCAATGCAAGTCTGCCATTGCTCTGCGAGTGAGCCCACCTGCGCGGCCGTGACCGAGTCGATGTCCGAGACGAAGCTCATCTTAGCATTGTGCCCACAGCTCCTGCCTGAGTTGTTTGAGATGGAAGCGGCGATCCCCCCGAACGCATCACAGCATGTGCGCATAGTTGCGGCGCTGTTGCCCCAACAGCCTGCCATTTGAAATGAGCTATCGGCTTGTCAAAGTGACTAGTGCGATAGCACCGACGATATATCCGCAGGAACTTTCGTCACGGGAGATTTTACTGAGCTCATGGAAACAACCGGATTTTCACAAATAATAGACAGGTTCTAAAGGAAGGGACAGGAGAGATACCAGTGCGAAGTCGCAATGAGGAGAATGACTGTGCGAATGTTGACACTGGATCTATGTATGTTCAACTCGAAATGTGTTCTAGGAGAGTGGCTCAGGCTTCTCAAATCTGCGGAAAAACAAGCTCTCAAGCGCGTCGACGTGTTCTCCAGCATACGTGCTCCTAACGCTGAACGCTGCAGCCACTGGATTGCTCAGGAGATTATACGCTCAGCAATTCCACGGGAATAAAGCCAGGTGTGTAGGTCATGAAACTTCTTGAAGAAGCAAGTGCTGTCCACGTCACGTGAACATCCTCCTCCTCCCTCCGACACTGCCGTTCATGTCGTTCTCTAAAGCCTTCTCTCCCGCGCTCCGGGAAATCCGCATACTTTGCTCACAAAGCGGGGCGCCTTCCGCCGGAACGCGGTGAATAGTTTATTTCCGTCTCGCCGGTGACATGCTCACACTGCGTAGAGAATTCATCCTCTCAAAATACCCGCTAATCAAGCAACACAACCCCGACCTTCCGGTGCTGATACGAGAGGCTAGCGGGACACCTGCACGAGTATTTGCTCGATTTGGTGCGTCCTCTGCTCGGTGTTTCCCATACGTGTGGTGGGAGTCTGACTTGCGGCCAGAAATGGGAGTGGAGAAGCACGTCGAGCTGGATAACTTGTCGGCGAAAGACGTAGAAACGAAGGTTGCGTCCCTGCTGACGTCGTAGAGGAAGGATCAGCTACAGCAAGTGAACCTTGCCATGAATGTATCTTTGGATAGACCAACTTGGTGCGATGTCAGTTCAGTTTGTGCATTCAGAAGTGTCCATTATCTTGGGGGTATATTTACGGGGCGGAGTTAACAATACAGGTACGCGCGAATGTCCTTGTGCTCATTCTCATCTCACACTACCCTTACCTCAGGTTCGATCTCTCCAGCCTTACGCTTGATCTCTTCGATGATTCCTTCGCCGTGTTGTCCTGCGCGTTCTCGCCCGACTTCCCTGTCATGCATCCTCTTGACGCCCCTCAGGAAAACGGCGCTATACAACAGGGTCAAGGTCCCGCAGATGAGCGCTGCGGCCACGGTGACGATGAGTGTGACCTTCGAAGAGCCGATGAATTCGCCGTGCTGCACACCGTAGACGTTGACAAGCGTCGAGACAATGCCCGCAAGGGAGTTGAGAGTGCCCGGTCTGCCACCCGGTCAGCATCGCACACCACTGAACTTGTTCACTTGTGAACTCACAGGAAGATGCGGTTATTGAGCCAGATGAAGTTCTTGTTCCATCTCCACCACAGCCAGACCATTCCCGCAGCGCCTATCCCAGCACACAGAAATGCTATGACGAAGCTGGACACGCGGATGAGTTGATGGCGCATCGAAAGCGCATGGACGATACTCACAGCGGCGTGTGCTGAATGGCCCCGATAAACCGCCTCTCGGCCTCACTCGACGTGCTCGTGTTCGCCTTCTGCAGGCTGGTGAACGTTCCGGGCAACAGGACGAATCCGGCGAGCAGAATCCACGTGAAGAACGAGGCGAGCATGTTGTGCAGCCGGGGGATGCCGTCCAGCGCCAGAAGCATGTTCATGTAGCGCGTGTTTTGACTGTCGCCCCGCTGGAGGGTCTGCCGCCGCCGCGAAGTCGGAAGTGTGGGAGTGAATCCCGAGTCGTGTCGCGCCATTGCCGGCGGGGGCAGTTGGACGCTTGAATTTCTCGTAAACATGTCGTAGAATTGGGTCGTGTAGGAAGATTAGTAGGGCGTTTGTGGGTATATCATTATGAGGATCTCTCGCTGACGGGTTTGGCGCTTTTATACGAGCTGGAAACCTCCTACGTCGTTGGATGATGCTCCACCAGCAGCCAGCCACTGATCACGGAATGAGGCGCAGATACCATAAGTGGCCATGGTCGATACCACGGGTGTCTGGCGATCCCATTATCGTATTTCAACAGTCTCAAGCCTGATTCAATGGCAGATGACTAGGACTCGCAACCTCCGAATCTTCAAGTTCTCGAGCTGATTGACATGCGTGGCTGTGCGTCCCATCATTCCTCTGTCCCGACTTTCATGCCTGCCGGAAGATGAAAGCAATAAAGAGTAAGTACGACTAGCGACGCGTTTCTACTCCCACACTCCGAAATCTGAGTCCGCCCACAGGTGTCATCCTAACATGGTCCGCCCCTGCCCAATCGTCTGTCTGTGCCCCCGCCTGACCGTGCGCTCTATGCACTGCGCTGCAGTGACCCCGCCGTCAAGGAGATCCTCCTCTCAATGAACGAAAAACAAAGTTTCATCATCGAGGACCTGGACGAGTACCATCTGGTCATCAAGGCGGATGAGGAATACCGCGTCAGACGCGAACTCGAGGTCGAGGTGCGTAACGATCCGCTCATACTCCCAGTCGGCCTCGTGCTCAAACACGACGCGACGGTTGCAGCTCGAGAAGAACACATACACGCTCGAAACGTAGCGAACGAAAAGGGGGCTATGTGCGGCCATGGAAACGTTGCGGTTGGATACACTCTCTACGGTCATTACACCATTGTGTATAAGTACAGTCCGTGCATGATATAAAGAAGATGATAAGTAACAGATGCAATACAGTCTCGGATATGTATCCGTTTACTTCAGAAAAGACGCTCTTTCGGGCCAACCGCACGGATCCAGATTTCCGCTGGGCGACTGCGGGTACTTGAGCACCAACATTTCTCGCACATGGATGCAACAGCACTGACCTCTTTTCTCTTAGGATCTTCCAAACTTTCCTCGCATCCTTGGCTTCCTTCAGAACGACCGTCGGCTGCCCGCCAGCTCGCGGCGGGAATGCACCCGGGCACCGGTCCTGCAGGTCCGCGAGCGCTTCATTCGTTCCCTCCGTCTCGACGACGATCGTGCCGTACCATCCCGGATCAACAAACAGACCAGCTGACTCGGGAATCGGGATCCGTGGTGACTCTGGGCGTGAGCCGCGGCTGGGCGACATCGACGCACGGTTTCTGGCGGGAGGCCGGATGACGAACGAGGATCGGTGCACCCATCGAACGACGTTGTGCACGTTTCCTTGTGGTCTGCAAAAGCGAAGGAGGTGAGCTCGATGTGCAGTTCATGTATGATGTACTTACGTCTCCGTGCGGATGCGATCCTGTAGTAACTGCAGATTGGCCGCAATCTCGTGTCCCCAGGGTGAAATGTCCATGTGCGCGACGGGATTGGTGGACGTCGGTCCCGTGCGGATGACACGGTGAAAGTAGGACGGCGGGAAGGCCAGAGTGGGGAGATACTGGGGAAGATCGCCGACCGCAGAGTATTTGTAGTCCAGATCCTGCGGGGTGTTAGCAAGCGCAAACCCTGGCCTCGAAAGCGCTCACAATCAGATAGCTGCCATCCCAGATTAGTCTTCCTACGTTGCCTTCATCGCCGACTGCAATATCCCACACAACATCCCCGACGCGCAGCAAGTTGAGCACACCAGCGCGCTTCAGTTCCGCTTCGCATTCCAGAACGCTCTTGTCTGACAACCAATCTCCATCGGGCGAGGGGACGAATACCCTCAACAGCGGGGCCCGCCGCAATTTGAACAGAGGAGAACGGAAGGGAGCAGCGTGTCCGGGGTGGGAGTGGTGACTGCCCCCGAAGGGAGTGGGCGAGGGTGCGCGGCTGGAGGTTCTCGAAGGACTGGATCGACTGGATGAGTACCCGTTGCTGACGATTCTCCTGGGAGGAGGCATCGAGTACTTGAGCGCAGCAGCATCGCTCGCCTCCCTCTCAGCTTGCGCTCTCAGCCGCAGCACAACACGGGTGTAGGCCCTCGTCGAAGAAGTCAGGCTGCGAGCCATCGTGAGATGAACAGGATCCCTGACATCTGGAGGAAGGTTGAATGACTGAACGTAAGCATCTGCAACCCTGGAATATTCGTGACTGGGCAACGAAACACCGCGCATGTAGTCATGCAAGTCCTGCAGCAATCAAGTCAGACAAGATGGCTGATAACCTTACACGTAATCAATCTCACCAGAAGGGTCAGCTCAAGAGGGTCCGGATCAGCCCATGTCCACCGTGCATAACCGACAGTCCTCAGATACCGCTCCAGAGCAGCCTCGCGAAGATCCTTCGTCCCGACGAATGTGATTCGGATCTCCTTGGAGACGGCAGACAGGATGCACCACTCGTAGAACGACAGATACGGCAGCAGTGCCGTGAGCAGCTGGGGGTGGGCCACAAACAAGGCTAATGGAAACGGACCTGGGATCCTGGTTTCGCGCACTTCGACGCCGAGGACCGAAGGGGGTGGCGCCTTATCGAGCACATTCCCGCGCCGCTGCGACCGGGCCGCCCGATAATCTTCCGGAGAACTCGGTGCCGATGGCAACGACGCGACAGTCCGCTCTGGGGTCGAAGGAGCAGTTGCGTTCTCGGACACGACAGTTGCTCTCTCGGACAGGTCAGCAGCTTTCTCGGACACGCTTGCTTTCTCGGACACCTCGGCATCCAGCGACTCCTCAGCGGAGGAAGACACGGGCGACGAGACGCTGGGGGCCATCACCCTGACCCCCTCGATTTTGGCGAACGGATCCTCGTCCAGCAGAAGCATAGACTGCCTGTTCACCTCAGGCACGATCTGGGGGATGCTCGGCTTGCGTTGCGGGGTGGTAGACCGAGGTTTCACCAGCGTGCGATGCGCAGTCGGCGGCTTAACGTCAATCGGTTTAACCTCGATTGGCCTGACATCAAGTGGCCTGACATCTACTGCCCTGGGTGGAGGCGAGGGGCTGCGTGCTGGCAAGTTCTGTTGGGGTGGCGAGCGAGGTGAACCGAATCCATTCGGCATTTGTGGCGGTCCGACACGCATCGGAGATCGGGCAACAGAAACGCGCCGAGGAGGGGAGGGTGAAGGGGAAGGCGGTGCAGGAGTCGGGATGAATGAGACGGGAACCGAGAGTGGGGGAGGAGGCGCTGAGATGGGCGAGGAGAATCCGTTTACCGGCGACGAAAGCTTGTCCCCTGATTTTGTCTGGCTAACTGGAGGCGGCCCGTTCGCTGGGAATCCGTTTGGTATCCTCAGCGGTGGTGGTGCATGGGCCTGCTGCCGTGCGTCGCCCCAATCATCCAGCGCCCTCGAAAAGTTATAGTCCAAGTCAAAGTCAAATCCCAGGTTGGCGTTGTTGTCCTCTGGTTTCAAAGGAGGAATGCGGTGGATGGCAGCTTCAGAAGGGGGGGAAGGATACGCCATGCGCGGATCATGAGTGAGCTGCGGTTTCTCGGTCGCGGGTTCCATCGCCGCAAAGATGAGCGGTTTCCCGCGCACAGGGGGCGCAGAGACCCGCTTGTTTCTGGCGGATCCGTGAGCGTGATAGGTCTGGACATCGATCGAGCTGAGCGTGACGCCCATGTTGTTCTTGATGGGTGTGTCGGGAGCAGCAGCAGCAGGAGACGGACTGGCGTATCCCTGGTGAGGTGATTGGTTTAATACACCTGCGGGGATGACGTCTGACAGCTTACCGGGTTTGTTGGCTGCGTAGCAGATGATAATGAGGGGTCATACTCCTGCGAAATGTATCACCGAGTTAATAAAGCAAAAGCATAAAGTGAATTCGAAGAGAAGCGCCAATCCACCCAATCGGGCAGGCCGCGATAGCGACGCGCTTAGTCATAGACGACGGCGCAGACCGCCAGTCTCGCCTGGGCGTAGACGACAACGACTACGCGCGCGCGAAGAGCAACCGCTGAATGGAAGGGACATTACCTCGTATGGGGCTGTCCGCAAAGTCCCTGAAGCCGCGAACGATCCAAGTCGGGGTTCGCTTGCGCCGAGACCCGGGGTGGTCCTGGCCTCAGAAGCAGGAACGATTTCAACCGGAGCACCAGAACCAGAACCCCCTGCGTCAGGGAGCTTGTGTGCATTTCGGAAATCCGGTGCCCCCGTCTCGTTGGGATACCGGCCCATCGGGCCTTGCGAGGAGAACTCCGGTTGGACACGTCCGTTTGTCGTCGTGAATCTCTGGGGCGCCGAGCCCGGTTGCGGGTACCCACGCGCGGAGATACGTCGGTTGGGGGGCAGTGCGGACGAAGGGGGAGGGGCTGCCAGTGGATCGGGGCTGCGCGATTGCAACGCGGGCAGCGGCTTGTCGGCTACATGCGAGAGGCGTCGATTTGGAAGATCCACGGGGGCAGGCGAGGCGGATGGCGGCTGGGGAAGCGTCTGTGAACGGGGAGGCGGAGAATGCCGCGAGTGAGGAGGTACGCCGCCGTTCGAAGCAGAAGTTTGCGAATAGTGTATTTGAGGCTGCGTGTAGACTGTTTCACCCGGCCGTCGTGACTGCCTCATCTCATCACGCTGTTGTCCCGTGGCCGCCTTCGAACTACTGCCCGTGTGATTGTTGTGGCGTTGAGAGGCAGACGCCAATGACATCGGCCCTGACACACGCGGCCCTGTCGTCTTCGGAGCGGCATCCTGGGCTTGCAGACTTGAGGCGAAGCGGGCGAATAAGGGGGGCGGAGCGGCGTTCAGAAGGGGCGGCGGCGGGGGATTGTCGGCTGGAGGCGGACCCGGGTCCACCTTCTTTTTGCGGAGGAAGCCAGCCATCACACAAGTAGGGGATTATGTTGAGAGATGGGCGGGGTGTCGATCCCAACTACCATGTAGGTGTGGAGGGGATGCCGCACGCGCAGGCCGTAACAGCAGAAAAGTGTGGTTGTGATGAAGTCGTGATCGACGTCGATGAAAACAATCCACGTGCTTCCAGTAATCCAAAATTATCTAATCACAGCATCAAACCTTGAGCTGCATGGTTGTTGTGTTCTTCCATTGCAATTGTCTGTCTCAATTGTACAAGTAAGGGTCGTTACCTGACGTTGCTTGACTGTTGCGAGACAGAATCCTTTTAGCTTCGAGTGCTCCCTGTCAAAGGGGCGAGCCGCAGTGCGGTAATGCGTCTCTCGGTTGCGGAACTCTCCGCCAAGCGTGAATCCTCTCTCCTGGCCGAGATGCATCTCGCCGTTACGACGCTCGCATGTTATACTTGCCGCTGGTTTTCCGCAGATGATCCACGCGTGCGATTTTCTACGACGCATCGCACCCCTTACGCATGATGCATGACCATGTGTACCCGCAATTTCCGTGCTTGCAGGCCGTGCCTCGCCCGCTGCGCTGGTCCCATGGCGACTACGTGATGATGAATGGAAAGGTTCCGTTGTCCGTTTCCATCATCGTGGCTGCGAGACCGCCGTCGACATCGTCATTCCATGTCCGCGCCTGACGTCATGGACCGGAATCAGCCGGTCCGCGCAGCTTGTTGTTTCAGTCATTTCCTCTCACGATTAGGTTCAATCTGACGCGCCACAAGTGGCCGAAAGGGAAGATAGCCAGTGTAGAGCATAGGTGCTCTCATAGAATGGGATTCATACGACTACGTACGAATTATTCAATGAATTAGTTGATCGTAGACTTGTAAGAGGTGCTGGGAAAAACGGTCAGTCCCTCGCAGATCGTCTGCAAACATGGTTGGCACGCACGTAGTGAAGGTAGCGGAGCCCGAGGTGGCTTCGGTGCCGGCCTGGAGGACGGTAAGGAACTGCGACGTGGCAAAGTGGCCCTTGGAGGTGAGGTACTGATGTTGCTGTCAGGAATACAACATATGGAGAAACCAGGGTGTGTGACAGACATTAATGAAGGTGTAGAGGTCACCGCTGAAGGAGGTGATGACGCCGGAAGTGGGCAGGAACGAGTAGACGTCGTTCGAGCCGTTGGAGCCGTAGTAGAGGTTCCACGAGTGACCAGCGAACGACAAGCCGGAGGCGATGGGGACCGGTTGACCCTGCGCGTTATACTTGGCCGAGATCGGCCCGGCGTTGAAGTTGGCGAGCCAGATCATGATTTCGTGGACGTTGGATCCACCGGCGCTGTTGGAGGTGAACAGATCGTACGCAACATCAGCGACCACGTTGGTGTGGTCCTGCTGCCACTTCCACGTCGACGGAATCGAGCGGATGGCCGAGATCTGGCGGTTGATGCCCTGGTTCAGGCCAACGTTCGTGTAGCTCTTGATGCCGTTGCCGCCAGAGAACGACCAGGTCGAGGCCCACGCGATCGCGCCACCGCTCAACGAGCTGATGTGTGCACAATCCGAGCCGGAGACGCCCGGGCCGAGTCCCCACTGGTCTAAGTAAAGAGTGTACGGGGAGGCCGAGACAGAGTCGTATTGACCTGCATCACAATCAGTCGGGCAGGTCACAGCCAACCGCGTACAAAACCAGATGCTCACCGCAGTGCTTCGAGGTGTCGACAGCACGCGACTCCAGCGAGGTCTCAACAGGAACAGCCGCAGCCAGATGGGCGAGGAGGAGGACAGCAGCGGAGATCTGGGCGAACATGGCAAGGAGGAAACAAAAGCAAAGACGAGGACGAGGGGAGGTCGTTGTCGATGCACTTTCTGGGCGCCTGCTAGTTATTTATTGAAATTCTTCCCGGGCTTCGGAGAAATTGATTTGCATACTGTAGTGCGCCGCTATGGCGACAGCGTCGGGAGGACCACGCTGGACCACAAGGACAAGCCTAACCCCAAAGGGTCCGAGCCTTGATGAGATATTGACCATGGAACTGTCGGCAATTCCTAAATTCTGCACGGGACTGATGTTTGTACTCGATCATGCACGCCGAATGCGCAAATTTGAAGGGCACGCATAAACAGAGCTTGGCCGCTAATCGAGAGAAATCGTGTTCAGGTCAAGCCAAGTCTATCGAGTCTGGAGAGGAAGCCTGAAAGTGCAGTGTTCCCAAGAGAAGACGGGCCTCGCCAAAAATAAGAATTCAAAAGCCGCGGCAGCCGACGGCTCGACGCACGCGATCTGCCTTGGCGATAATCACTCTCGCGTAATCTGTGCGGGCTGGGGTCATCCTCCTTCATCAACCATCGAGTAGGCCCAAGTAAGTACGTACTTCCCGGGCAGGCTGTCCGAAGCATTGTTCGATTCGACTTTGCATAGGGTCGGAGAGCACAGAAGCATCCGGCAGCACTTGGTGCACGAATCACAATAGTCAGAACAACCTTCCGTCCAATTTCCTACTGACATGTTACCACCAAAAATCTAGACGTTTACTAGAGCCAGCTACTCATCGCGCCACATTCCTGGAATTCTGCCGGACATGAAACCCTCTCAGCGGCCTCCGGGTGTCGTGCAGCGCCTGCACCGTCCGCGGCTGGTGTCGTCCACCGTCTCTAAACGGATGTACATCGCTGACACACGCAACTTCGAAGAACTCCGTGTCGAATATGCGTTGGAGTGCCCAGGCACGTGCAATGTCACGCATCGACAGCGCAGTCTGTGTGCTCGGAAAGATCAGCTGCGCCTGCACGGTGCGGCATTCCACCAGAAAATGGAGGTCGACCTGCAATCGCATCAGACTCAGACGGCGTCACGAGTGCGGCAGGATTGGGCATCACGCACCGGGTCCTTTGATTTGCGAGCCAGGTTCGCTGCTTGCACAAACGAGACGGCCGCCGCAAGCGTCGTGAAGCGGAAAAACCCTGTCAGGCACAATGTCGGATGGAACTGCTGCATGCGGTTCAAGATGGGGACGAACGCGGCCCGCCAGCCTCGTAGATACAGTGGCTGCATGTAGTTAGCCATGTCTTCGTCCGTGCACGGGCCATTGTGGACGCGGCCCAAAGAGAGGCGAGGCAAGGTCCCCAATTGAGTTGCGCAGGGTTCCCAGGCATCGTCTAGCCGATCCTCAGCAGAACGGCTCCGGCTGCGCTTCAAGGTCGACTGGATGGCCTGAGCAGTGGGGGGATGAGGTGCAGACGATATGGCCAGAAGAGGGAACGCGTCCCCTGCCTCGATACTCGAGTGGAATAGCAATTCCGTCCCGAGCGCCAGTCGCAGGTCGTAGCCAGACAGCCCCGGAGCTACATCGTCCGGCTTGATATAGGTAGAGTCTTCGCTCAGAGACAACGTTCGCTGCGTATATGAGCGGACCAGGACGTGCTGGCTCTGCGCTCCCAGGAAAACCGTGATTCTGGGCTCGTGCTTCGCATTAATAGTCAGAATCGAGCATGGAAAGGAACACCGATGCTCTCACCTTCTCTTCAACCGCAATTTTCGCCACATTACTCATGAAGTCTATGGTCCCCGTGCGGTTGAAGAATCTAAACTTCTTGCCGAGGACGGGGACTGTGCGTGTCCGTCTCTCCAAGGTATCTCCCGCCAAGACAATACTCGGCATCTCGGTATATACGTTCCACAGGTACTGGTAGAGCGGGTCCACATATTCGTCAAAGTTCTTCTGATAAAGGGACGCGACCGAATCGAACAACCCCGGAATGGGGGGTGCAGGTTTTGGGGGAAGCGGGACGCGTTTTAGATCTGTCGGACTTGAGAAAAACAAGGCGCATCCAAGCACGAAACTTACTGGAGGGAGCCCAGCGGCTGCTATGCCTGAATAGACCGATGGCGCAACGAATGCGAGATACTTGCATCCACAGAACTCACTCCGTCTGCATCAGCACCTGTGGGATATCAGAGAAAGCCCCCAGTGTCAGCGACGGGAGATCACGCACCCAGGACCGCTCAAAATAAGTGTCCCTCTGAGTAAGTCTGCGCTCGTCGACCACCTTTGACGACAGCACAGTCCGAGACGCAAAATTGTTGTGATTGCTGACGTCAGCTCACCCTTCCCGGTGATCGCGTGATCATTGACTGACACGCCACCAGCCGCACAAGTCTTGCACGAAGCATGTCCCTACACAACGAGATCAACCTCAAGAGGCTCCTCCGCCGGCTGGAGAAGTCTGCATCCGAAGCTCACTGGAGCGACAACTCGTTCAACGCGTGGATAGAAGTGCAGGGGTCCCTCCAGGTACCGCTTCTGTGGCCCCCGTCTTTTGCACCTGCGTCCCTGAAGGATGTCCACAGAAGGTGAAGCACGCCAAGAAGCTGCTTGCGGATGTCGAGCTGGAGGACTTCGATCCGACCCCGTGTGTACAGTCGCGCTCGACGGCTCCGCGACTGATAATCTCGTAAAGCACCTCCGCCCAGCGTTACGAGGAGTGGAGGACCCGGCTGGACCGTCTGGATGCATTGATGAAGACCTACGAGCAGGTAACGCGTCTCACGAATCATGCGTGAGGATAATTTGGATCGAGCACCGCGCAGACAACGGCACCCAAATCTACAAGACCTGTGAAACTGCTTCCCAAGCTCCCTCTTCCCGCAGATCCTTTGCCGACAGAACCGCCCCCTGGCCCTTCCGAGGTATCTCCAACACTCGATCCAGCTTCTGCTTCGCTGTCTACCGCCACCGTCCTGGACAATCTACTGGACTCGGCGCGGGACGTTCCCCCTCCAGCATACACACCGCCAATACTGTCGTCTCAGAAGCCCACCAAGTCGACCGCATCAAGCACCGCATTGGAAGCCGGGACGACAGCCAGACAGCGCGCTATGGGCGAACAAATGGCGATGATGGCCGAACAGCTCAAGCGCAACGCAGTTCATTTTTCGGACTTATTGGAGAAGGACAAGTTGGCGATGGAGGAGGTCGACTCCAAATTGGAGGGCAACTTCGGTTACATGCAGAAAACGCGTATAATGACGCGTGATCTCAGAAGCAAGACCGGGTCGACGTTCTGGTTGACGATGGTGTCCATCATCGTCGTTTTGCTCGCATTCGTCTTCATGATTCCGTTCATCCGATTCTCAGGAAGATAGCCGTCCGTAGTACAACGTATGGTTTATACACACGTATTATGTTAACCATCATCCACACTTGAAGTACTGGATAAGCAAGGAGATATTAAACGGCTGCTAGGCAAGGCGAGGAGATGATATGAACAACAAAAGGAACGACGAAGACGGAGTACGTGCAGGGTATCTTATTGGAATAATTCATCAATTTCGTGGAACAACAAGTTGCCTACAGCCTGTGGCCTGGAACAGCCCAGAACAGGAGGGTCAAGGCGGCAACGAAAGCAGCCACTAGAATGGACACCCAGATGGCTCGACCCAGCAGCAGCTTCTTCACGTAGGGTTCGCGAATCCGCAAAGTGCGGAAAGGAGTGGTTTCAGACTGCCCGAAGAAAACGAGGATCGGGTCCAGCTCGTATTGGTGAGAGACCAAGCACAAGACAGCAATCGTGAATGGGATGAAGAGCTGCAAAGATTCAGTTAAATGAAGTGATAGAAAGCAACATGAACCACGCACGAAGAATCGCTTAGACTTGGGCTGCACGTCAAGGAATAGGAGAGAGAAGGCGGCGGCAAGACCGACCCACAAAGTCAATAATCCAACGACCAGCCGCACAAGCGAGGAGATGGGTGTGAGATTTCCAAAAGCCTTGGCCCGCAAAAAGCGTGGAAATGCATCTTGCTCCATTGCCCTGAAGCAATACTCCTTCTGTGCATGGAAGAGATCCGGGATTTGTGCCATTAAGCTGAGCTCTGCAGCATTCCGGGGCTCTTGGGAAGAGGAGAGAGGGAAGGAGTGGACGCGGAGGGACGGGGGGAGGTAGATCTCGTGGTTCTCGCTGGCGTTGACGGTGTTAGCGGCTGGAGAAAGATATCGGTAGTAGATTCGCTCTGCGCTCGCGATCAGATTGAGCCGGGTGATCGCGGCTGAGCGAGGAATGACGGTCGGCGCTCGCGATGCGCGTTTCATCGTGAATAGGGTCGGTGTGCGGCCTTGGCCATTGACTCCAAACGGCGAGACGGAGCGGGCACGGCTACCGTACGGATCTGGAGATGTTGAAGCAACACGGGTGTGCTCCGAACCGATTGGCCGCGGGGATGTTGATGCACCGTACTTCTCGTCTGTATCGGCCAAGTATCGCCTGTCCGCCTCACTCAGGAGTTCGTTCGTGCTCGCCGTACTCCGCTTGGTGGCAGCCCCGTCCCCATTCATTCCCACGACCGTGCCGTAGATAGAACCCCGCCGTCGCGCGTAATCCCAGTACTGAGGCCAGTCCTCCTTGATCGTGCGCCCCGACTTCCGCACATCCTTGAAGTATGCGCGACAGAGATTTTCGTGTTGCTGGACATCCAACCAGAAGTCGAGAATATCTTCGGCGCCCTCGCGTTGGAGGAAAAGACTGAGTGGGCGATAACAATTCTGCGAAATGAGAGAGCTGGGCGATACGCACTAGAACATGAAGAGATCGACGGGTGGACGCGTTCGGCGCGACAGAACCTCGGTAAACGAAGGCAGTCGGTTCTTGCGGCTGTTCGCCCAGTCCTCTTGTTGGCGCTCGTCGTCCATCACGGCAAGAGAATAGTCGGGCAACTTTGCAGCTGTTTGTTCGGTAACCTCTTTTCCCAGATCACGACGATCAGACTTTCAACAAATGAGTTCGAAGCCGAAGTGCGTGTTTCGGTTACCGGTCTAGGTAGTGCGAAGTACATACAGTACGTGCGGAGAGGGTAACTAGGTATCCCACTTTGGCTCAGAGCGGGCTGGCGAGAATTCAACGGTTCCATCCTGAGCATCCAGATAATTTGGTTGGTCTCGTGTTCAATTACAGGAAACTACACGTTACAGATACATTACTTGTGTCCTTGGCTTTCGACTGACAAATCTTCTACTGCTCTACTGTACGCGAAGACGGAACAGGTGCGCCGGCCGCAGATGGTGATGGCGCAGTTCCGGGCTGGCTTGCAGTGCTGGTCGCAGTAGGAGTCGGATTCAGCTGATGCGTTGTAGGAGAAGTCTTTGTCGTCGCGTCTGACGGCGCAGCATCGATCCCTTCCTTCTCTTGCACTTTCTCCTTCTCTTTCTCTTCAGGATTGGCGAAAGGGTCCTGGGCCTTCACCTGATCTCAGCAAGGATCCAGCGGCTTTGAAATGTAAGCTCACTGCATCGGCATCCAGCTCCTTCTTTTTCAGTTCACCAGTCCATCGGTCATGGCCTTTCGTCACAAGTTCAGGATTCTTGGTGACCTTGCCGACGACCTGTTCCTTGAGTGCAGTGACCTTGTCTGCGAAACCCTGCGATGGAAAGCATGAGATGGATACATAACAGATCAGAATAGGGACTCGCCGGCTTCTGGTTGTAATTCGGGCCGTAGCCTACAGCTCCTGCGTGCTTCTGCTCTGGGTAAACCTCGCCAGAGCCAGGTGGTTTCGTGGAGTCGTCGGCAGCGTTATTCGTCGAAGACACGTCTCCCGAGGCGCTACCTGTAGGAGCAGGGCCACTCGCGGAGGGTGTTTCTTGTGTCGGTGCTGCGACATCGTCTCGCGACGTCTGTGGCGGAACGGTGTTGGAACCGATAGCAGACGGATGGACACCGTGCGCTTGAGTGGTTTGAGTGGGTTGAGTGGTAGTAGTAGACATTGTGCTTGAGTCCAGCAACCATGTCGATCTCCTTAAGTACGGGGTACGCAAGACAGGCACCACAGCATGACGAGACCCATGACGTCCGAATGTTCAGGTGGAGGTTTGAATGAATCGAGGAGTGCTGTGGCGGTGTATGTTATTTATAGCACATGATTAGTCACTGTCGCTGACTGTGAGCATCATTGTTGTGGCACCAATGCCTTGAGACAACCTGAGTGCGGCGTGCGCCCTCTCAATCGTTCCTTCAGCGTCAAGCAAAAATGGATACCGCTCGTTGAATCTCATCGCATAAACCGTCTAAGAGGCCATTTCTCACTGCTAGAGTCTCCTGGCCGCTGCACGTCATCAAGAAAGCAAAAGAACCATGGGCACGACTTCAGTCGAAGCTAGGTCTATCATGTTTGAACAATATTCACATCGTCCCACTGGAACACATGACGGGCCCGAACGTGCGTGAGCTTGGACCTCCGCTGGTATCTTTGGGATCGGTCTCGCATCTTGAAGGTCCTCTTACCTCCCTGAGAAGCGACGCGTGCTCCTTCGATCCGCAATATCAACGAATCTCTGAGATGCCCTCAGCTGCAGTCTCAGGGTATCCCCCACCCTCAGCGAGGTATATCTTCTATTTTAGAACCGTGTTGGAAATCTGCCACTCAAAGAAGGCACGTCAACGCGAGCCACCTTCGGATCCTTTGGAGAACATTCCTGGATGAACACTTTGCTTTTCTATAAGATGTCGACTGTTTCGTACACTGAGCAAGAAGATGCCCCGGTTTGGCGCACGACTCTTGCTCTGGCTGGCGGTGGCTTCTCGGGCCCAGGCCACCGACTTGACTTCTCTTGTTAATCTGTTCATCGGAACGGCCTCGGGCGCCAATGGCGGCAGTGGCGGCAATGCATTTCCAGGTCCATTTAACCCACAACTATGTTCATAATCCGGCATTCATCGAGCTAAAGGCGCTGCCGTCCCACATGCTATGGCGAAGGTTGGAATCGATGTCAGCACCGCACCACGGCAAGCTGGTTATGTCCACGATAACAGTTCAATCACCGGAATCTCCTTGATGCACGACGAAGGAACAGGAGGCAACACGAACGGCGGATACGGCATCTTTCCGCTCTTCCCTCTCACAGGATGCAACTTTACTTCCTGCCCCGTCGGAATCACTGCACGTGCCGCGCTTCGTAAAGCCGGAACCGATGGCAAGTCTTGCATGTCTCCATTCGACAGGATGGGGCCTGACTAAGCAACAGCGGCGGTGCCGGGCTATTTTACCACTACTTTCACCGATGGAATCAAGCTGGAGACTACGTCGACCAGACGCTCTGGTCTCATACGCTTTACTTATCCTACGACTGGCCCCAATTCGGTTGTCGTCGATCTCACCAATGATCTCGGGCGATCTTTTACCGGTGGAGGGCTCAATCTTAGTGCCACAGGACGCATTGAACTTGGAGGGAGTTTCCTTCAGGTCGGTGATGATAGTCTCGTTTCCACCAGCATATATCGACCAGCACGCAGAGTTATGGCCTTTCGGGCTACACCGTGTATGCCTGCTATGACTTTGCGGCCCCAAACCATCCCCAGAAGATCTCTGCTTACGGAACCTATCACTCAACCACACTTTCTGCACCTAGCCAACTGACGATCGTCCGGAACGGCACCTCGCTCAACTTTCCGCCATCGGGAAATCTTGTTGTCAGCCCAGAGCAAGCTGGAGCTCTGTTCCAGTTCACAGGTTCTAAAACTGTTCTGGCGCGCTTCGGGGTGTCTTTCCACAATGCCGCACAGGCTTGCATCAATGCGGAAACGGAAATTCCGGAGTGGGACTGGAACGCGGTCCAGACTGCTTCCGACTCAGCTTGGGAGAACGTGCTCTCGCGCGTGGGCGTGGATACGACCAAGGAAGACCCGACTGTTGTCGAACTACTCTATTCTTCGGTGAGTTCTTGTGCACTGAGTTTCCCTCTTCCATTAACCTCAATCGCCGACAGCTCTACCGCGCATCGCTTGTTCCCGCTAATCTGACGGACGAGAACCCGTACTGGGTCTCTCCGTATCCGTTCTACGATGCGTTTTTCTGGTGAGTGCGAGGGGGAGCATCGGATCCCTGCTTCATAACACAACAGTTCCTGGGACACCTTCCGCACAGTCCATCCCCTTCTGTCGTTACTCTCGCCCGTGGAGTGGTCAGAAATCATCAACGCTTATGTCGATGGATGGCGACATACTGGTGCTTATTTCTGCCCAGAGTTTCTACTCGACACTGATCGTCGACAGGTTATATTCCCGAGTGTCGGGCGAATACAATGCCGTGCGTCTTGTCATGTACACTTCAGAATTGTGCATATACTCAACTGGGACAGTGGATACGTCCAAGGCGGCTCCGATGGCATGGTTCCGGTTGGTGACTTTGCTGTGAAGTATGGAGCGCACGCATCAAAACTCGGAGTGCCTGCCGACGATCTGTTCCAAGCTCTGCTCGATACAGCCCAGAACACGGTACTTGATTCACCTTTTCTGCGAAATACTGGCATCTCTGATAGATCTTAGCCCTCCGATTGGTATACTATAGGCCGGCAGAACACAGCGTGGATTCAGTTCGGATATATTCCTACCGACTGGGTCGACCCGACCGGATCGGTCGGTCTACCCACGCGGGAAGCTTCCCGAGCATTGGAGGTAAGCTTCTTCGCTGCCCCCAGTGCATATATCGACCCACTTACCATACTAAAGTACGCGGTCGGAGACTTTGCAGTGCGCCAGGCCGCAATCGCTCTGGACAAAGCACGCGGAGATGTCGTTACGTTCTCCAATCGGTCCATGAATTTCGTCAACATGTGGAATCCCAACGTCACCAGCAATGGCTTCTCTGGCTTCATGCAGCGGCGGTATCCTGTGAGGGCTGGTGATCTCTCGCTGACTCGCAATCTGATGCCAGACATAGAATGGTACATTCGCTTTTAGCCCCCCGGATGCATGCAGCCCGGTCGATCCTGTCGCGCATTCATGTGCTCGAGGAACGGACAACAACGTTGGATTTTACGAAAGTGCGTCGTCAGCCAATGGACCATTAGTGCTGACCGCTTAAGTTCCATAGGTTCCTCTTGGGAATACAGCTTCTTTGCGCCACAGTCCATGTCGACCATGATCAGACTGATGGGTGGGGACGACACATTCATTGCACGATTGTAGGTCGCACTTGAGGAATCTGTCCATCTACTGAGTTCACGATTGCAGAAATCTGTATTTCTCAAAGGGCTACTTCTATGCGGGAAATGAGCCTGGCTTTCAGACGCCGTGGCTGTATCACTACGCGGGCCGCCCAGATCTGAGTGCGCTGCGGGTCAGACAGGTCGTCTATGAAGACTTCAGTACTGGCATCGGCGGGTGAAAATAACTTTCTACATCCCGCGGATTGTGTCTGACGCAATAGTCCAGCATTCCTGGCAACGACGACTCGGGTGCCATGGCTGCTCTGCTGGTATTCCATCTGCTCGGACTGTATCCAGTTCCGGCCTCAAAGCAATTGCTCATTGGCTCGCCCCTTCTTTCCGCTTACACGCTGCGGAATGACTTCTTTGGCACCTCGACGTCATTCAAAGTGACCGGGTTCGACCCCGCCAGTCTCACCGCATCGCCTCCTGCGGACGCTGCGGTGTATGTGAAAAGCATCACGATCAACGGCAAGGCGTCCCCGACTCTGTGCTGGATAAATTTCGACGATGTGATCGGTGGGGGGACGATCGAGATCACTGTTTCGTCTGACGCGAGTGCTGCCGCCGCCGCCGGGTGTGGAAAGGGCCCAAATGCTCTCCCAGACTCGCTGGAAACAGGAGGATTCGCCGCGTAGTACAAAGTAAACTCGTGTTCGAACAAGCAACAACTGGAAACTGGTATCTGATGTACAAGACAAAGTTCAAGGTTTGATTTCCACTATGTTCCAGGACGCTTTACTTGGAGAGCATCATCTGATGATGTGATGAGAGGAGAAAAAAACATCTGTCAGTGCAGAACGCCCACCTTGACGAACTCCTCGTAGTTGATCTGCCCATCGCCGTCAACTTAATAAGGTTTAAATTTTCATCATGTCGTGATATCAGGAGACCACAAACCGTCAGCCTCACGAATCATCTCATCAACCTCAGTGTCGGACAACTTTTCTCCCAAGTTGGTCATGACATGTCTGAGCTCGGCGGCGCTGATGTAGCCGTTTCCGTCTTTGTCAAAGACCTTGAACGCCTCCTTGATCTCCTCCTCGCTATCGGTGTCCCGCATCTTGCGCGCCATCATGGTCAGAAACTCGGGGAAGTCGATCGTGCCGTTGCCGTCAGCGTCGACTTCGTTGATCATGTCCTGCAGCTCGGCTTCGGTGGGGTTCTGTCCCAGCGAACGCATGACGGTGCCGAGCTCTTTGGTGGTGATGGTGCCATCGCCGTCTAAGATGAGGATGAGCAGAGCTGCGCACGTCCAGAGGCGAGCCACGTACCTTTGTCGAACAGGGAGAATGCCTCCTTGAACTCTGTGGAGTGTAAGAAGCATCGAAGGGGCTGTCACTTGACCAGGCTCACCGGAGATTTGCTCTGAAGGCCCAAATTGTGAATGGTCTGTTGTTATCATACGGGAAGGATCGCACCTTCAGACTGCAGAAACGGGGTGAGAAAGACAAGGGCTGCAAAAGAGGGGACGTACGAGTTGGTCAGCCATGGGTGGTTGTGGGCAAGGTTGTGGTAAGGAGGGAGTTCGACAAACTAAGTACGATGCAGAGCGATATGGTATTGATTGTGATGATGGTCACATCGATCCGAATCGTTTCCGATCGCTATCAAATAGATAGCAACAGCTTGGACCTTCAACTGTTTTTGATTGACCTCTTTTGTCCGTGGGAGCTTATCTGGCGCGTCTGCTTTCAGGAAAAGCGTGAAGCATTGCTATGGGCTGCCACCCGTTCCCCATATTGCCTAAATGACCCTACTCCTGCTGGTATCGATCGTATTATAATCTTGCTTAGGATCTGGGAACGGTTCTGGCAAGGATTTTACTGACATCGTATATGCTTGCCAAATACAGTAAGCATCAATGAGCAAGCCCTTATAGGCTTGTGCAGATTGCGTGCACAATGTATGCCAGGTCCCAGCGGCGATCTGTCAAGGTGCCGTATTTATCTGCAAGGGGCTGGTCGCATTTGTCGATGCACATGCTTACAGGCATAGAGCGGCAACTGCAGGCAGGGTTACCATGAGAGAGCCAATCACATCAGTGCGTAATTTCTCTGGCTGAATTGGTGGATTCTGTTCCTCTGATCGAGTGCAGCAGCAAATGAGATCAGATTAAAGCTAGATCCGCTTCAAGGTGTACATATGGGTAGTCTTGCAAGCGACACATCGGTTTCCCCACTCGCAGGCTCCCCACATTACGTGCATGATCCCAACTTTACACGTTGCAAGAGCCATACGAAATGATGGGATCACAGCGTTTTGATTGACAACCTCCATCACAGATTGTCACGCTCTGCCCCACCTCTGTGACTTAGCGGTGACCGCCGGGACAACCAAAAATCATCCGGAAACTCAACGGAAACCCTCACCGCCCATCTCCTCCATCTCCTCACCTACTCTACCATCCGCATAACATAACTCACGGCTTCGCGCCTACGACCTTCCTTTGCCTTTCTCTTGCACCAACTCAATTGTATAACTGTACTGTTTATGCTGCGATGTCAGGTCCCGCACACAAGCACACTGGGTCTATCTCTGTAACGCAGAACCAAAAGGCCCAACTCGCCAACGCCTACAACGAGCTCGGGAAAGAGCTCTCTTCGAGTCGGATTCGTGTGGTTGGAAATTACACCTTGGGGAAGGTCATTGGCGAAGGTGAGCACCGCATCCTCTGATGCATCTCCCGCCCACCAACTGCCTCGCGCTCCGCTCTAACCACCTGCTCGCTACCATAGGTGCCTACGGTAAAGTGCGCATGGGCACGCACCGGCTGACGTCCACCCGCGTGGCCATCAAGCAAATCCCGAAGGAGGTCTCCGCGTCGCTCACGCGCGAGATCCACCACCACCGGCAGCTGCATCACACGCATGTCATCCAGATGTACGAAGTCATCGCGACGGAATCGCACATCTGGATTGTGTCCGAGCTGTGTCTCGGTGGCGAGCTGTTTGACTATCTCGTCGAGAAGGGCCGGCTCGCGGAGGACGAGACGAAGGTCATCTTTGGCCAGCTATGCCTCGCGGTGGCATATCTTCACGATAAGGGCATCGTGCACCGGGATCTTAAGCTGGAGAATGTGTTGTTGGATGAGCGGTGTCGGGTCAAACTGGGTGACTTTGGGTTCACCAGGGAGTTTGAGAGGGGAGCTTATATGGAAACATTTTGTGGGACGACTGGGTATGCGTCACCCGAAATGTTAGAGGGCCGAAAGTATCTAGGACCAGGCAGGTGCAACCGCTGATTACTGTGCTCTCCTTGACTGACCAATCCCTTCAAGAGGTGGACGTGTGGTCCTTGGGGGTCATTCTCTATGTTCTCTTAACAGGCACGCTCCCTTTTGACGATGATGACGAAGATATCATGCGTAAGAAGATCATCGTTGGTGAATTCGAAGATCCTGAGTGGCTCTCTGAGGGTGGGTGGCTCCGCAATTCTGGAACCTCGTTCTCATAATCGGCAGATTCTCGAGATCTGATTAAGAACATCCTCCAACGTGATCCTGTGAAACGTCTTGCTATTCCCCAGATCTTGTCTCACCCATGGTTCACTCGTGCGGTGGCGACCAGGACGGACACGGTCGATTCGCATCAATCATCGACCGCTTCTGTGTCGGATGTTTCTGATCCGAATCCTTTCTTCTCGGAGGAGAATTACTCGTCGACACCCACCACGCCGGACGAAAAGCCCGAAGACAAAGAGAAAACCACATACATACACCGCACAGCGAGCGAGCTGACGATTCGAAAGACGGATTTGGAGCTGCTTCATTCGAAGCTGGTGGCCAGTCTCTCGCCCACTGTTCAGGAAGAAGATGAAGTATCGCCTCCTGCGAGACAGCCTTCGAGCATGTCCTTGGGCCCACCGCCGGTGACGCGCACCCCAGCGCGAACGAAACGGCGATCGGTATCATCTGTGGTGTCGGATCCGGAAGAACCTCCGGAAGAAACGCAGGTGTTGACTCCCGATGTCCCAGCGGCTCCCAGTGATCCGTCCCAGCCTCAGATCAGTTTTGTGTCTATGTTGGGCACTCCAGCCCCGATGATCTTTTCGACGCCCCTGGAGCGAGAGCTGTTGAATTCGCTGAGTGTGCTAGGGTTGGATACGGCGCAGATCGTGCACTCTGTGTTGAGTGACGCGTGCGATTCCGCCGGGGCCCTCTGGTGGATGCTGAAACGACGGTCGGAGAAACAGACCACAACTCTGTTGGACGAACGACACGCATCGGTTGGCACCCAGACTGAGCCTCCGCGGGCCAAGACAAATGGCTTCCCGCCCCAGTTGTCGTTTGTTCCTCCGACACCGACTGTGATGTCGTCCATGCGACCGAGTACGCCTCCGCATGTCATATCCCCACGAGCCACATCGCCTTCACCCATGCTTTCGCCTGCGCCTTCGACGATTCTGACGGGAGAGTCATCCTCGCGGTCCCATCCGTCAACGCCCGCCGGCAGTGTTAAAGACAAGGAAGGAAAAACTCGCAAGGGGCGGTCAGGCAGCGTCAGCATCATGCAACGGGCGACTACTGCTCTCGAGGCTGCTGGACTCGTCCGCAAAAAGTCGGCCGAAGTGATCAAGGAGAAGGAGGATAAACGGGAGATGCCGGAGCGCAAGTCGAGTCTGGGCGAGAGCTCTCATGCCAGCGTGGCGCCGTCGACATCGTCAAAACTGACCAAGTCGCCGCCGCTCAGGCCGTCGAAAGACAAAGAGCCGTCGACACCGCCGCCGCATATCGACATTCACCCGATGGCCGGCTCGCCTTGGGTCTTGACAGGCTCACGCGATTCGCTGCCACAACACGCTCCCACACCTGCCAATTCTCCTGGCCCAGATGTTCGTCCGTCAGTTTCTGCGCCAAACATTGTCGAGAATGGATCGACGGGCAGCAAAGGGTCTCATCGTCATCGGGCGAATCTGCTGACCACGTTCCGGCTCTGGTTCCAGGATGAGCGCAAGGGCAAGCGAAAACAGGGATCGGCCGTCGCATCGAGCACCGGACCACCGCTCTCTCGCAGCAGTTCGCAGGCTTATCCGCCATCTTCCAAGCGCGGGGGACGATTCAATTCGCGAGGACATCGGCAGAGGCCATCGGCATCGTCTAGACGATCAAGCAGTGTCAATTCACGCCGCTCCTCGATCACGTCGGTCCAAATGATTGTGCTAGACTCGCCCCAAGTGACGGGTCGCCGCTCGCTAGGCAGTCACACCCCGAACTCGGAGCGAGGGGAATTTATCTCGTCCCGCCCGTCGTCCATCCGCAGTTTCTCGATGCAACGCCACCGCAAATCGCCGTCTGCCAGCTCCGGCGAGTTCCGAACGGCATCACCGATCCAGAAGTACCATCACCGGCACGGCAGTGGCTCATCCACGCGAGTTGTCAGGCACATCCAGACGACGACAACTTCGACGTCCCGCCCGCCGCATAAGCGTTCCAACTCGGGGGCATCATCAACGCATTCGCCGGCATCGTCGCGGCCAGGCTCGTTCTACGAGCTGCCTCAGTTGCAGAGATCAGCATCGGACGTAGAGACTTTCAGGACTGGATCACCGTTCAAACCCAACTCGAGACCGCATTCTCGGACACGTGGCACATCTGTCGATGAGACGCGCAGGACTATCAGTACGACGACGACCAGCACGACGTTCATTGCGCAGAAACGAACGGGCGCCTTTGCATCCGCGTCTGGGTCCATCGGGCGCTCAAGTTGGAAGAAGTCGTGGGGTCTCGAGCCGCCCGGGTGGCAGTCGCGCACTGGCTCGGTGCCCGTTGAGGTGCTGGCCATGTCGCCCATCTCAGATGGCACGACCATCCGGGATGTGTTCTCCAACTCGACCAGGCATGGTCTGGGGCTTGGTGGTCCGACGCTGGGCATGTCGGCTGGAGATGAGAGTGACTGGGTGGATGAGGACGACGATGATATTCCCATGTTTGCTGGAGGTCTCGGCCAGGTTTCGTCTAAATCGGGTTCTTCGTCGTACCCGGCGATGGAAACAGTTTCGCTGTCCCCCGCACCCCGAAGTCACCGCGCCTCCGGCAAGCGCACTGGGGGCAGTACAACGACCACTGGAGCGGCCAATAACACTGGGTCGCGCCAGACTGGCAAGGGCCACTCGCCCATGGTCAATACGGCGCCGCTGCCGTCAGAGCCGCATTACGAGTCAACGTCACGGCGGCAGATTCCGAACCACGGTGGACGGAATGGCCCGGCTGCGATTCAGGAGGAGGATGAAGGCGAAGAGGAGGACGAGTGATCTGCCCTGGCCGTGCCATGTGCGGTGCGATATCGTGTGCTGTTTTGTGGTCTGTATTTATGCTACGATCCCGCAAAGACGTTTTCCCTTCGCTTTCAGTCCGAGTACATTACCATTTTACCCATCTTCTATGTCATACCATCTTACTGTAGTATATCCTATAAATTTTCTGCGTGAGCGAGGTGTGGAGTGTGGGTGTGTTGAGCAAGTAATACAGCATGTAATGTACAGTGCGTTCCTTATGAGTATCTGATGTCCTATAGGCCACTTGCTTTCCTGGCGCAGGTGGTCGGTTTACCTGTCTGCGAGGGTTGCGGCGCACCAAACATGGTGCCCAAACTGGTGCGTAGCGAATCGTACACAGCTTGATGCGGCGCAGGATGGATCGAGTTGATTGTGTGGATGTGGATCAGGCCAGTGAGGGGGGAGAATGTGTAGGTTGAGTTTCTGAAACGAAAGAGTGGGACCAATCGTGAGTTCCCATACAGCCAGTCCCGGAGAGCACGACTCACACTTCCCATTCTCCAGCGGCTCCACTGACGCGCGCAACCCCCGTAGCGGAGAGCCCGATGGATAGCGTCTTCTCACGAGAGTGGCGTGTGGTCGACGGTGGCGGGGCGACGACGCTCACCTTGTTCAGCACGACCCTGAGATCAGAGTACAGCGCGTGCATCGTGTGGCGCACGAACACCGCTGACGCGAGGTACATCGGCATGCCTGTGGGCCCATTAGAGAACAGCGTCTCAAAGCAAGAGTGACTGGATATATGCCTTCGATGTTGAGCGTTTTGGGCAACGGCGCAGGGAGTTCGACTGGCGGCGTGTACGACAGGCGGATGTTGGAGCTGTATATGTTTGAGCTGGGATCCTCCTTGTCGCGCTCTCCCGCGGCGGACGTCCCAGGGAGCCGTACTTGCACGATGCGGGCCGGAATGGGGCTCCCCGTCGCGTGGTCGATCGACGTCACCAGTCCCGTCGTGAAGAAATGTGGGAGTGTTTCTTGAAGAACGAATATCGCGCGTCCTGCGGATGCTCTCTTTTGAGTCCACCGTTGCCATGAAGTACCGCACACTATACCGCACCTGTTCTCAGGTCCCATTCCTGGTCAGATATCGGGGGCGGCTGATTCGGGTCCGGCAACGAGTCGGGTGGTCGGTTGGAGCGCAGGCCGAGCGCGGCGACCGCCGAGTTGGCACGCGCACCAGGTATACGGTAATTTCCACCAGGAGAAGGATTGCCTTTATTCGGACGCAGACGACAAGCCGAGCGCAACATTTGCTGCAGAGCTCATAACCGCGTCCGGCAGATGTGTTCGTGTGTGGCTTCGCTGCCTGATCCGATTACACAAGCGCATCACCGACCGGAGCAAATAGTGCGAGATATCTGAGTGCAATTACAAGCGGATGTGATGCTATGCATGTATCAACTAAAAAATGCGCCAGCGACGCCAGCGAGGGTGCTGGCGACCGTATTAGGATCCAAGCCCGACACCAGCCCTGATGCGATGGTGCCTGGATCCACACCCAGCGAGCTCGGGTCAAAACCAATGCCGCCAGTGTTCAACGAACTTGGATTGAAGCCCACGCCACCGGTGTTGAGAGAGTTCGGGTCGAATCCTCCAGTATTTCCAGTCGGGAAAAAGTTCTGCTGGGGTTGGCCGCCGAGAATGTTCTGTTGCTGCTGCTGGCTGCATGTGTGGTACAGCTGGCCCAGTCCATGGATCGCCGAAGTAGCCATCGATCCGCCTGACCCGGGAGAGGTGGGAGACGCAAGACCGCCCTGATTCGCGGCGAATCCCGCTGCAGTCCCACCGGCCGCTGCTGCGAAACCAAGGGGCGCAGAGGAGGAGTTCACGGGACGAAGTGTTTTACTGACTGTGGTCACATCGCCAACCCAGTCATTCGGTATGTTCCACGATGCGGAGCCGTCTCCGTACGCGACATAGTACTGTCCAGCCGCATGAGGATTTAGCGCCACGAACTGCCTTGTCATTCAGTATGTCGCGCCCATATCGGAGCAGATGGTAAACTCACAGCAATCCCTTTCCGCTTACTAGTCTCGGCACTATCTCTTATCATCCGCTCTACATCGGGGTAGTGGTCAGCCACGTCGAAGATAACGATTCCGTCGCTGAATAACACCACGAACGATCCGTATGCACCGAGCGCCACATTTGTAGGATGAGCTTTCTTTGCGCGACCTGTTATGTTGGATTCGAGCTCTTCAGGGAGATGTTGCCAGCTAAAGCCGCCCGGAGAGATGGTAAAGTAGCTGTGATTGGGACCGAAGACTGTGCGAGTGATGTGCTGCCCGTCCTGGGCAATCGTCTTCATGAAGGTTGCGAGTTTCTCATATCGGGGACCAAGGAAGAGTTCTGCGAAAATAAAAGATGTGATTCGAGACGCGTCGAAGGCAGTGTATGCATACCCTCGTAGTAGTCGTCTCCCCGCTTGGTTTTCCAAGCCATGCTGAACATGCCTGGTTCCATAGGAAATGCCACATCGTAGGGGAACTGATTGGCCTGGGGATGGTTCGGATCCTCAAATATGAGGCGCAGAGGTTCGGGGAGGGTGTTGTTGTCGCTCCTGGGCCGTGTCAATGGTAGAACGACCATGATCTCCGAAATGGTTCACCATGCCCAGAGAGAGTCTGACTTGCAGAAGAAGGCACCTCTCGGGCCGAAAGAGAATTGGCAGTCCATGGGAGCTCTGGACAAGGATGGGCGCGGACACGATGTCGATCCGACTACCAGGGGAGGTTTTGTAGTCCCACATGCCTACAGTCCCTGGTGGCAGTTGACAGCTGAGATAGATTGGGATTGACAGCCATCTCTCTCTGATCGATGATCCCGTCTATTCTCGGACCCTCGGACAGGAACTGAAAACCTTGTGCAAGGTTGAAGCTTTGAAGAAAAATTATACAAAAGAGCGAGACGCTGCAGTCACGATCCATGAGAGACTATTTGGCAGTCATTCCTGTCTTCAACTAACTGATCACTATGGAATTCAACTTACGTAAGCGTCGCGAATCGAATTGAATGAGTACCTGTCACACGTCACACCGCCCATCGCCCAATTGCCATTATGTAAATCGTAGGATCTCGAACGGGCAGCCGACTGCCAGCCGTTTCACGCTGCTTCCGAAACGATGGAACGAAATGACCAAGTACGAAATGAAATAGCCGGCCTCACTGCCGTGTGGAGCCAAGTTCCGAGCAGATAACAAAGTGGGGCTGCTGTATCTAGGATATCTTTTATCTGTATGTCATGGACGGCGGCCTCTCATCAACAATACGAACACGTGACCGATGTTGACGCGCTTCCCATCACAAACCTCACTCTGTCATTGTAACTCTCACTGAGGCCTGACAGACGCTCTGCAAATCTTTTGCCCACATTTTCTACGCCGCCATGTCGGGGTCCCACACCCTGACGCTTACAACGCTGCTGAACAGCCTGCACACGCACCTACAGACACAAACCCAATTGCTACCCACGCTACACGCCCAGCTAGGGCTACCAGCATCCGCACTCGAAGATGAATTGCAGGCACTCCAGGAGCAACTCATGCGGGGTGTTGAGGCGCAGATTGAGGAACGCCAGAAGGAAGTCGAGGGGTGGATGGAACGCTGCGAAACCGTAGAGGTCGACTGCGTGCAGTATTCCAAAGCCCTGGGTGGCAACGCGAAGGCGACGGGCAGCAGCCTCGGGGAGCTGAGAAAGGAGAAGGTGCTGCCGATGCGTTTTGAGATGGTCACAGAGTATCAGGAAAAGTTGCGCCAGGTGCGTGTCAACACGACACTTGTTACCATGTATCGAACCCGTGTGCAGTTGTACCATACCAAACTCGAACAGCTCAACGTCCTCGGGGGCCGTCTGAAGGCCATTTCCCGTATCCTTGGACCTGACTTCTTCTCTTCGGATATCGTAGACGATGGCGAATTCCAGGATGTCAGCCCAGACCGATTCTTGAAGTTGGAGAAAGAGCTCGCACGGGGGAAAGCGGAAGTGGTCAGTGGCAATCGCTCTTTTTAGATCCAATCTAACAGCAAGGATAGACAAAGCGACTGGCGCAACTGACAGAGACCTTCATACAAATCGACTGGCTATATACCGAACTAGGAATGGGTCCACCCATCGCCGACGAATCCGCATCGTCTCGTGCCATATCTCGTTCGAGAAGTAGCGGTAGCAACCTGGATGATCCTTTCGTCTCGCCAACTGATGCCGAGGCATTCCACTACCGAGTTCTCTCAGGATTCATCGAACAAGCAGTGACTCTACCTCAAGACACCCCGCCCCGTCTTGATGTTGACCCCACTCCGACGCTTGTTTCCTGGGCTACTGACCTACGGGCCGCGCTGGAAGACACAAAACGGCGCCGGGAAGCACACATCCAGGCCATGTATGATCAGTTGGAGGGGCTCTGGAAGCGCCTGGGCATCGCCGAGTCGGACATGGATGCCTTCGTCGAGCATCATCGGGGCAGTACCGAAGATACCGTGCTGGAGTACGAGGAGGAACTCGAGCGCATGCTCGAACTCAAGCGTGACCGCATGGGCACATTTGTGCTCAGCGCGCGCGAAGAAGTTGAGAAACTCTGGGATGAACTCATGGTAGGCGAGGCTGAACGCAGCGATTGGCATCCATTCTACGACGGTATGTGTCATGTCGCTTTCTTGAGCTATCGCTCATCCGTCTGTAGATGAGCACACGGAAGATCTTCTCACGGTACACGAAGATGAGATCCGTCGACTGAAAGAGGAGAAACGAATCAAGGCACCTCTTCTTGCGAGTATCCGGCGATACTTTGATATTTGCGAAGAGGAAAAAGAGTTGGCTGCGTCGGCTTCGGATCAGAGCCGACTGCTGGGTCGCGGTGCTCGAGATCCTGGACGGCTTCTTCGCGAGGAGAAGATGCGCAAACGCGTGTCCAAGGAAAAGCCGAGAGTGAGTGTTTCATATTTGAGATTGGTCGGACCGTACTGAGATGTGCCCCCATAGCTTGAACAGGATCTCATGGCGAGTGTGCCCTCCTGGGAAGAGGAAAACGACCGACCGTTCCTTGTACATGGCCAAAGCATTTTGCAAATCCTCATGCAACGGGTCGGTGCATCGGACCAGGAGAACGTTGGCCCCGGAAGACGTAAGCCATCGCCCGGAATGCGAGCTACGAGTGCTCCAGCCAGAGCCACCACACCAACGCACTCATATGCTCCGAAATCCGGTGGCGTCGTCACCCCCGCGGTCCGACATGCTCCAGCAAGTGGCAACTCGCTTCCCAGTAAGCGCCAGCGGACGGAAGTGACGCCTGGATATAAGCCGCCAACTGTGCTCGGCGCGCATCGTGGGCTGAACAACAACCGATCAACCTCGCCGACGAAGATCCCGACAAACAGATCAGCGGGTCGGAGCACTGGCCCGCCAACGGGGATCGCGAAGCCGGGTGCTGGGATGCACGCACAGTACCAGGCACTGGGGCATGGCCGGCAACCGACCACTGGCTTTGGCCGAAGCACGTCTCTGAATGTGTCTACTTCCGCCTCGGCTTCCTACGCTAGCGCTGGGCGTTATGCGAGCGGCAGCCAGGCCGCATATAACCCTGCTGTATTGGCAACCAAAGCTGCTCGAGCAAGAAGAGAAAGCTTCAGGCCACGTGCCAGCATCGATGCTGAAATTCAACGTGACCTCAATGGTGCCTCCAAGTGGGGCTTCCCGGGAACTACGGTCGAGGAAGCCGACGAGGACTGCTGAGTCCACCGTGCATTTGTCTATGTATACATCTTTAAATTTCTCATTTTGAACGTGTAAAAGTATGCCCCTCATCTGTACTACGACTCCTGAACAGAATCCAGATTGACATTGCTGATCAAATCCGTCCATTGATCCAGCCCATCCACAACTCGCTTGCACTTGATCCGCATGTCCCTCTCTGCGTCTTCCCCCAGAGGCAATCTCCCGGGCCACGGCCTCCCCGCGGCTTTCCCCTCTCCCCGGACGACGTCCGCGAGAAGCTCCATCGCTTTGACGCGGTCGCCTTTCTCCGTGCCCGGGACCGCCGCGAAACGCGCGATGCTGGTCTGGCGCATGGTGTCGTAGTCGGAAACAGGGTTCTCTGTGAAATACGGGTTGCGGTACATGCCGTTGTTGAACGCGCCTGGCTCGACGAGCAGGACGCGGATACCGAGCGGTGCAATTTCAGCTGCGAGCGTTTCCGCGATCGAGTGGACGGCGGCTTTAGACGCCGAGTATTGACCTGCCGTACACGCACGCATGCATCCATATCAGTCTCGACGATCATGGGCGAGTGAGCAAGGTTGACTTGCCGAGACCCTGTATTTACATGAGAAATGCGCGAGTGCAGAACGGACGGCTGCTGCACGCGACTCACCACGAGCTCAGTCTTCCATGCGGAGCGACTGCCCACGATCACCACCGTGCCCGATTTCCGTTTCCGCAAGTGAGGCAGACAAGCGACGAGCACGTCGAACGGGCCGAACAGGTTGATCTCGAATTGTCTGCGGAGAACCTCCGTGCTGTCGTGTAGTGTTCACGGTTCAGATCCGCTGCTCGACCCAGCGCACATGCACGTACCCTCCCTCTTCGAGCAGCCCGGGCAACCCGGCCCCGGCGTTGTTCACCACGACATCTAGCCGGCCCCAGAATCCCGCCGCTTCATCGACAACGGCTTTGATCGCCGCCGGGCCGGAGGTCACGTCCAATTGACGCGTTCGGACGTTCGGGTTGCCGGCCCACACCGTGTCGATGTCGCTCAGGGTGCGCGCGGTCGCGATGACCAAGTCTCCGCGTGCGAGGACGGTGGAGACGAGTGTCTTGCCGAGTCCCGTGGAGGTGCCTGCGATCGAGATTCACTTAGTTGATTCGGCGTGCGTGTACATTTTCTTGAGTTTGCAGCACCTGTTATGAACCAGACGAGAGGAGAAGCCATGGTAGAGTGAGAGTGGGCGCGCCCGGTGTCTTTCCCCTTTGTAGTGGGGGGTGCGGGGTAGGTACAGATCCCCCAACAGATCGCAGTCTGCTTACAGATTGTTCGGGGACCGGCCTATCGGGTTGGTCATCCGAGATGTACTCCTCAGAGAGAATGATGAACATCCATGTCAAGCAGTACGATAGCAAGATGATAGCATACATTCCCATCTTAGAACTCATTCTTCAGCCGTTCAAAGAAAGTCTGCACGTCCTCCTGTGCAACGATTTTCCCTTCCTCCGCAAACGGCTTCAGATACGTTTTGAGATCGTCCCGCATTTTGTTGAATGCAAGTATGCCGTCAATCGCACGTTCTCGAGGGAGCCTTTCGAGGGCTCGCATCCCTAATTCGTCGAGAGAGAGACCCGAGTCGGGGTCTTCGGGTGGTTCGTAGGTCTCTTCTTCTTCGAGTAGGTACTGGTTGGCCTCTAGAGAAGGTAGACACTACAATAGATTGGGTCATTTCACTTCGCCTAACACACAGAACAGAATGAACGAACCGAGTCACAGCGACACCATCGCTCGCGAAATCCATCAGTGAGAAACACGTCGCCAGAGCACAGAGCTGGGTCGTCAACATCCAGCTCGGTCTGTGGTGCCCGGCAAATTGTCGCTGTGGTCGTCGTCGAGGAGCTCGCTCCAGATGAATCGGCTCGAGCCCGTTTGATGACCTTTTCGCCCTCTTCCTCCCCAGCAGCCCGCTTCGCCGGATTCGACACGGCGGCCGCGTCGTCGTCTGGAACACCCAGCTTTCTCCACGACGCCTCAGGGGAGTCACGCACCACGGCGATCGCCCCCAGTGTTCCGACGATCAGTTTCAGGGCAGGGATCCTCGAGACGCACGTCCGACACACGAAGGATTCGTATTCTGAAGCGGTGATAAGGGGCGGAGGAAGGCCAGACGAGGAGGCCTCCGATGCCGCGTCATCAGTTTCGGCAATCCCTGCACGCTCTACTTCTGCCTCTGACGCTGCAGTTCCGGGTTCGGGTTCGGGCTCAGGCGAGGTTTCATCGTCGGGGCGCGTGCGCAACATGCAACAGGATTCGTGAAACCAATCCTCGCACGACAGGCATTGGATCATCGGCTCGCGTTCCGTTTTCGCGTCGTATGGTCGTCCGCAGCGGCAGAACTGGTTCTGGAAGTTCTGACCGTACGTGTTGAGGGCGTTGATGGGTTCGGGTTGGGGACTAGTGTGATGGAGAGTGCATGCGTGTGCAATGGCTTCAGTAGGGCAGTCGCAGCGGAAGTTGCGTTTCGGAAAGCTGTTTTGAACAGAGAGTTCTGAGCCGTGAATCGAGTGAGACGGTGAGAAAGCTTACAGCTCTACTTGGTTGTGCTCGGTGTGGCAGGCGATCGAACACGCAGAACAGATCCCTCGCGCTTCTGGACATGTAAGACACAAGTAGACGGCTTGCCTACAGACCACAGACTCGGTAAACTGCGCCATTTTAGAAAAGCCGCTCACCTTATGTGTCCCAGTGCATAGGTACATTGGTTGAACTGATGGGGTAGTGCTAAACCCTGCAGTGGAAATTGGCGTATGCGTCAGACATGCCAAGACGCAGACGTACAGCCTCTTTGATAAGCTCGTCTTGAGACGCGACGTACTCGGCGAGACCGAGAGTTTCGTTCGTGTCGCTCGAGTGCGACGACATTCAGTGTGAGATCAAGGTAGTGTCACGTTCGCGCTGTGACGAAGTTGTGACTTAGCGCGTCATAAGCGCATTCGAGCTTTACAACTTTTCTAATTTCTATTCAAAGTTCATCGATAGTAGTGAACCCAATATCGACAGCTGCCCTTAACTTGTCTCCGTATCGAATACAAATGGTTATCGAACTGACAAACGATGTCAGCGACCACCCGCCGGGGTTGCAAATTTCGAATACTTACAGAAATGCAGTAAATGCAATGGCAGCTCCCAACGCATCGGTGATAAGAACACCGTTTTTCTCCATCGAGGGAAGGACCAGAGCCACGGCGATGGCCAGAAAGCTCGAGCGAAGAGCGCTATGTCAACAAGTGAGAAACAAAATATGATGGGGTTACAGAATGAGAAACGCACGCGCCAGCGGCCATCACCTGGGCGCTTTTTTCGCGCATGATGTCGACAGAGTAAGCCGAGTTGGGAGCCAAGACGGTGTCGACCTATCGGGGAACCTTGAGACACTAACGAGGCGCATAAACAACTTGCAGCAACTCACACCGACTCCATTCACAAAGAAGCAGCACAAGTTGAGCGCCAGTCCCAGCATCCCATCCGGCCCATATTGTGTGACCAACCCGGAGCCCAGTACACTCAGCGGAACCAGTGTGGCCGCTCCTATCCGCGAGCCTCGTAGCCGGTCTTCGGGGACCCAGACACCCCCTCGCTTTTCACGGTACTTGATGACTATTCGGTCAGACATCCATCCTGCGAGGGGAGCACCGAGAATGTTTCCTGCTCCCATGGGAATGAAGCAAGCACCGATGAGTGCAGGATTCGTGATTCCGTAGCGCGTTCCAATTGTGTGGGCCATGGGCACTTGGAGGCCGTATTCGGTAATCAGAGTAGCGGCGGTCGAATATGTCTGCAGAGATTGAGCCCACCGGGGCCTATCTCAAGAGAAATGCGCACCGTCAGCAGGATCACAGGACTCCGCAAGTACCACAGACACTCCAGCGGATTGAGCCAGGCCCATCGGAACCTCCCATCGTCCTCTTTCCCCTCAGCATGTTCCGCCTCTATCAACTTCTCCCAGCCGGTGATCCCTGGATGGCTTGTCTCAGGCAGATACAACAGCATCAGCAGCCAGAGAAGCGCTCCCGACAGACAGAGCCCGAACTGAAGGTAGCGCCACGACGTGTAATGCGCGACCCAGCCACCGACGATTGGGGCAAGCGCGTTGCCGAGCAAAGATGCCGCGTGGAAGATGCCCATGGCAGTCCCGCGCTCGGTGAGGGAGTAGATGTCGGCGATGATCCCTCCGCCGACGGACATGCCTCCCGAAGCTCCGAAAGCCTGCACGAATCTCCAGAACAGAAGCTCGGGTATGCGAGTGGAGGTCCCGACTCCCAAAGAGCCGATGCAGAGCAAAGGAAGACCGACCATGTACATCGGCCGGCGGCCATCTGGCTCGCAATTAGTGAGGAGGTCACTGGAAATGGATGGCAGGAACACACAGAAGGAGGAGTACGTCGCGAAGGTCATGCTCCCCACCGCAGCACTGAAGATCGATATGCTGACCGCGAGACTGCGACGTTTGAGTCATGCCGAGCTATACTTGCAGGTCGCGTCCACACACCTGATGACCTTCGGTGTCGAGCCCAAATCATGCGCGATTTCAGGGATGGAGGGGATGAAGGAGCCGCCAGCAAAGACTATGCGCACATTGAGACATACCCGGAGTACAGAGAGAGAGAGAGAGCAAGCGAAATGAAACGCACGCGGAAGAAGCCCGCTGTAGCTGACCAGCGCACTGATCGTCCTTTTCTGCGAGCGTGAGAAACGCGCGTACGCGACTTGTGTCTTGGACAAATTGGACGGCGGAGCCGCGTCACCCAAGAGCGGCGTCTCTTCGTCGGTCATGAAGGAAGGTGTTCAAGAACCCGGGAAAACGATTGGAAATTTGGGATCAAGTCATGAGCCCTGATCTTGCCGAGGGAAGATAACGATAAGAATGGGAGTGAGCAGAAAACGAGGAGGATCAGTGCATCGGCCCCTGATAATATTGGAGCAATAGAGTGTAGCAGAGGTGAGAAATGGTTGGCCATGATGCATTGCGGTTCAAGTACAAAGTTGATGAAGTAAAACCTTGAATAGTAGCTCCAACTAGATCATCTTGATCAGCCTGCCATCATTAGTAGATTAGATCGGGGCTATACCTGGGCCGAGTGACAGCTTGTGACACCGAGAGATGAACGTCTTATTCGATAAACACACTGTGCGTCTGTGGATATCGGACTCCATTGGGAGGGTCGTGGACAAGACACATCTATGATTTAGGTGAGGGAATGTCCGGCACCGAACTAACTCTTCCCGAATTGAGCAACAGCGGTCTTGTGGAAGGTACTCTAGCGTGAATCAGACGCGTATGGGACCGGCCCGGTCAAATCCTGGTTTGGACTGACATCAACTACAACTAGTACAGTCGAAACCGCGCCTTGCTGCAACGTCCTCTCAGCGGTCGCCCGCCTCCATCCCTCAACCAGCGAATCAAATTCAACACCCAAGCCCAGTCGACATTCGGCTAGAAGACGGATTGCCCGGATTTGGACTCGGAAAACACACGGAACTCGCTTCGACATATATACTGAACATACGATCCACGCCCATCCGAAACCGCTCCAACCATGTCAGCCTCCTCGTTCACCAACAAGCCTGACCCTATTCTGCTGACCCTCTTCGCGAACCGCTTCATGAGCGTCGCGGAGGCGATGGGACGCAGCCTGCAGCAGACCGCCATCAGCACAAACATCAAGGAACGTCTGGATTTCTCATGTGCGCTCTTCGCGCCGGACGGCGATCTGGTGGCCAATGCGCCGTTCATCCCGATTCACCTGGGCTCGATGAGCTTGTGAGTGGTCATTGCGTCTAGTGCGACGGGGGCGTTGATTGGAGATGATCATGCTAGTGCGGTGAAGTACCAGATGAAGCGCCATGGAAAGACACTGAAGGAGGGAGACGTGCTGATGACCAACTCCCCGCATGCTGGAGGCTCGTACGTCCGCTTCCATTCTACCGCTAGCCGTGCCATAATCTGGGCACCCATCCGATCGCAGACACCTTCCCGACATCACGGTGATCACCCCCGTCTTCGATCCCAGCACCAAGGAGATCATCTTCTTCACTGCGTCCCGAGGGCACCATGCTGATATCGGTGGAATTCTGCCAGGATCCATGCCCCCGACATCCGTGAGTATCTTCGAGGAGGGCGCGGAAATCGAGAGCTTCAAGGTCGTCAACGGGGGCATCTTTGACCGAGATGGGTTGGTAGACTATATGGTGGACAGGCCCAGTCGGTATCCCGGTAGCTCAGGATGCAGGAACATCAAGGATGTGGAGAGTGATCTGAAGGCCGTCCGTGTGCTTGTTCACTCTCAATGGCGGCAAACTTACCAGTCCTGTATAGCAAATCGCAGCCAACCACAAAGGCATCCAGCTCATCCACGCCAGTCAGCATCGTTGCCTTTGTTCCGTTACGACGATCCTCTGACTACACGATCACAGTTGTGGAAGATTACGGCTTGGAAACTGTGCAAGAATATATGTATCACATCCGAGCCAACGCCGAAGCGTCTGTACGGAATCTTCTCCGTGACGTCGTCAAGCGCATGGGGACGACGACGCTGCGGGCGATCGACTACCTCGATGACGGGTCCCCGATCCAGCTCAAGGTCGACATCGACGAAGCCAACGGATCGGCGGTGCTGGACTTCACCGGCACCGGCTGCGAAGTACGGGGAAATCTCAACGCGCCAATCTCGGTCGTGCATTCCGCTGTGATCTACTGCATGCGGGCGATGCTGGACTTGGATATCCCGTTGAATGCCGGGTGTCTGGTGCCGATCGAGAGTACGTATTTTACCATGGCTTCTCGTGGGGCGGCGATGTGGAGCATGACATGACATTCACTTTTCCAGTCATCATCCCTCCCAAATCATTGTTGTCGCCTTCGCGGACGGCCGCTGTCTGCGGAGGGAATGTCCTCACCTCGCAGCGGATCGTCGATGTCGTGCTCAAGGCTTTCCATGCCGCTGCAGCCAGCCAGGGGTGCACCAAGTACGTCTGTGTTGCACTAGTGATTCGTTTTGCTCAAGCAATCTGCAGCAACCTGACATTCGGGGCCGGTGGCAAGGACAAAGAGGGCAAGAACATTGCCGGATGGGGATATTATGAGGCAAGTATCTTTCCCGGCTGCGTGTGGTCTCTGCATGCTGATCAGGCATTAGACCATCGCCGGTGGCTCGGGTGCGGGCCCAACATGGCATGGCACCGACGGCGTGCATACACACATCACCAATACCCGGATTGGTATCTCCTCTTCCAACCGCTTAAAGTTTCCATTGGCTGAGACCGCCACAGGGGACGTTGAAATCATAGAACGCCGGTATCCAGTAATCCTGCACCAGTTTGGCCTGAGGGCAGGATCAGGTGGTCAGGGTGAATTCCGGGGTGGTGATGGAGTCATCCGGGAGCTGGAGTTTCTCGAACCATTGCAAGTGTCGTTCATGTCTGAAGTGTGTCATGTCCCAGTTTCTCTTTGCCCTCGCTAATTAACGCCGAAGCGTCGAACCCGGCAACCGTACGGAATGGAAGGTGGCGAACCTGGGGCACTCGGGCGAAACACATGGATCAAGAAACTGCGGAAGGAAGACGGAGACTTGACAGAGGACGCGAATGCACTCTCACGTGATATCAACATCGGCGGAAAGGCCACAGTTTGGATGGGCAAGGGCGACCGGCTTTTGATTGAAACTCCTGGAGGAGGAGCGTGGGGCGCGGCGAGATCTCAATCGGGGTCACAGGCGAAACACCAAGCCAGCTGGGAGCCCCGTGGCTCATTCGCAGAGCGGGCAGCAGCGCAGGCTGGGTTCTAAGCAGCCATGGATCGAGTTCTAATGAATTGGATTGTGAGTCTAGGAGATTGATAGCAATGGGAAGCCAGATGTGATATATATACAACATTGTTGATGCGTCATCATATAGATACAACCGACGCTAATGCGCGGTCAGAGGTCATGAAGGATTCGATTCGTCTTGGGGCATCATCAGCTTAGTTTCCTCGTCGGCCGAGGGTGACCGGACGAGATGTTGACCTCGACCGTTGGCGAGATGGGATCCAATTTCCCCGACTTGGGCGCCAGTGCGAGTCCACCCCATTTGCTGAACCAGTCCTGCACGCTTTCCGTCGAAGAGTACGAAAACATGTGGATCTCGTCGCCCCACATCGCCATGAACCGCGCCTCGTCGAGATGGGCCCAGTCGCCCTGGAATGCGGCGGTTCGTCTGATGCGCTCGTCCCGCGCCTTTTGCTGCGGTCCCGCGGGGGCACTCAGCATGTGCCGTTTGCGGCCCTCGTAGTCCTGCGCGTGATTGCACCGGGTTTGACGCAGCTCCTCGTACGCTGACAGCATCCGGGGGATCTGAGACCGATTTTGGATCCTGGAGAAGAGAGCACCCATTGTTTCTGCATCCTCGATGGCCAGTCCGGTACCATGCTGACCGGTAGGCTGCAATGTGCCGTTAGCATAAAAGACGTCGACAGTGTGCACAGACGCACTACCAAGGGATGGGCTGCTTCTCCCACAATGACTATCCGTGCTTGATCACAAACACACGACTCGAGGATCGGTCGCTTGACATGCACTATCGCAGTCACCTTCTCAACCAGCTTCATCATCTTCTGGACTCTGCTCGATGCATGAGAAAGAGACTGGGCAGGGGAGTGTTGGCAACGCACCGAATATCATATGCGCTCCAATCGATGCCGAATTCATTGATATCGTATTCATTCTCCCATGACTCCTCATATTTAGCAATCTTTTCGGGTTCGACGTCGCGCAAGCCGATGACGATGGAAAACAATTTCCCTCCGGACTAATCAGGCAAATCAGTGATGGGCGTCGTGGCAAGCACCGTTGAGACTCACTATCAGGCTGCCATGGAACAAGAGATTCGGGCCTAGCCACACCCACCACTGAGAACGACTCATGAGCAAGCCGAACTGGAATCGAGAACGCGTCACCCCACCTTGCCGCCTTGCGTCAGAGCCCGCAGATCCTCATCATCCCGCATCCGGTCGGTAGGGATCGCCATAGTAAGGCTCATATTCCCATCTTTTTCGCCCAGGATAGTTTCCCCTGCCACGAGATTCCTGACCTTGCTGTCGGGCCCGTCGGCGCCGATGACGATGTCCGCGTACACCGTCTCGCCGGACGACAGTCTCACGCTCACGGCATCGCCGTCGACCGCCTCAACCTCGGTGTTGTACCTAAACTCCACACCTTCGCGCGTCGCGAGAGATAGAAGCATGGTCTTGAGCTCCCCATGCTGCAGGAAAAGGAAGTCGGCCATAAGATCCCGAAGAAAATCCTCGTGCAATGGAATCGCGCCGAGAACTTCGCCGTTGGCTTGGTGGAAGAGGAATTCGGGGCACTTGACTGCGGTCTTGGCGAGCCGAGGCCCCAGACCCCAGTGATTGAGAATGCGCGTCATGTTCGGTGGCGACCTGGGGCTGCTCCTCAGCAGGGGCTCCCCAAGACGGAAGCTACAGTCACGCACCGTATCCCAGTCAGACTCTGAGCGCATGCAAAGGCAGTCACATCAGTTCTCAGGAAACATGTACACACGGGGCGCCACCCACCCGAGACGACCCATCGCTGCGTTCCATCACCGTCACAACATGTCCAGCGCGCTGCAATGTGAAGGAGAGGGCGATGCCGGCCAGCCCACCGCCGACGATGACGACCCGTAGAGAGCACCCGGCCTTGTTTGGGTTGATAGCTAGTTGTCCAGGCATGCGGGGAAGGAAGTGCGCATGGGTCAGTGGCACTGGTATTTATTGACCAGTTGTTGCCGAACATCAGAATGGGGATGACAAGTGTGTGAACCTTGCAGCTCTTTATCATGATCTATCTGCCTTGTCCGATTTCGTCTGTTCCGACCTCTGCCGCCAGGAGCTCGCTTGTTTTCGCCGACTGCCAGCAAGTGGTCGTCTGGAGGGCTGGATACCGCAGCTCTTCGTTTGCTCGAACCTTGGCGGGTACAACTTCTCGAGAACATTACATAACGGGACTTCGTCGAGTGTGAATCTCAGCTCGGAATGCCGCCGCTTCAGAACCCAAGGATACCTTTACTGGGGTTCTTTCATTCTCAAGATAGCGACAATCTTCTGGAAAACTTGTCTTGGTGCATGCAAATGAAAAGTTTTCGGCCGCAGATACATACACACCCTCAGTTCTCCTTCCTCCTGCTAGTAGAAATCTGCAGAGCAAATGTCCGCGGAACACGACTTGAGATATCATGGGCAAAGCATAACAATATATACCTATGTTGAATCTCCTCAGATAATCTCCGCCTCGGAATTGCGGCGTGCTCGGATCTTCCAGACGCTTGGCCACGGGAAACCAAACCCAGGTGAGACTGCGAGCACGTTGTTCCGGTTCAAAGTTTGGCGTACAACCTCCAGCACTCAGGGCGGGGGGTATTGGGAGATCTCGGATACCTCGCTAGATTCAGCCTCTTCCATACGCTCTCCAGGTGGTTTGGAGGGCCCGAATCTTCCAGGGCAAATCTCAGTGGACGATGCCAGTCTGTTTGTGACCTCCAGCCCGGTCTAGGCCCTCGTAGTTTCAGTAACCGTCACATGCTCCAGCGTTCTTCTGTGTACACTGCAAGTCACAAGTCTACCACGAGGACCGATTTACGCGCGGGAGCCAAAACATAGGCATCAAACTTGATCAGATTCTCTCCATATGGAACTCTGTCGGTGCACACCCATCAAAACGGCCTCATCGCTTCTCTACAAGGAAACCTGAAAGAGCCCGCAAGGAAGACCAGAAAAAGACATGGGAAATGTGATCACGTGTTGATGCGCCGCTATCCACAGCACCAGTTGAGGGAGAGGATGGGGAGAAAGGGGGCAGTGGTATTTCCGGGGTCGTGTATCCATGAGTCTGGTTACTACGACCCCCCTGGAATCTGAGCAGACAGATCGTTCACTCGATTTTCGCGCATCATACAGCGAATGCCGAACGTCGCATCTTCAGGCAGTCAATTCGATCTGATGACTTCTCCGTCCGTGAGTGAGTTTGGTCAGCTACCCGGCTTGACGGTGTGTTGACCTTGGAGTAATTCTTTGGAGAGCGTCGGGCCCAAGGTCGGGCCCGCAGAAAGCTCGACTCCGCTTAATCAGATATTGAAAGTAGGTGACGGCCGTGGGATATCGAGCGGCCCGGGCGGGTCCGGAAACATTTTGACCTCGACTCTCTTCACCACTCTCCTTATTGAGTACTAGGCGCGCCGCCCGTCGAGTTCACTGAGAGCCAGAAGATGCAATGCGTCTTCTGCGCTTCCATGCCACTTTCGAGCTCTGTCCTCCGACAAAAATCTGATCACATTCCCATGCACGGATACCAGCCACTACTCGTCGCGCCACCTCCATCTTGCATCGAGTTCCCTTGCCATTCTGCATGCTACCATGCACTTTCATCATTGAACATTCATGCCTCCTCAGCCAGCTCGCTCTTTTTCCGTGGCCGAGAACGCCTCTCCCAGTTATAGATCGACAATTAGAAGTCGTCTCATCTGTCGACGGGCTTGTGCTCGTTGCTCTCATCCGTCTCGCTGTGCTTCACTTTCTTCGAAAATAACCGCTTCGAAAATAACTGCTTCGAAAATAAACGCAGACTGTTCCTACCACACTTGCCTAGAAGGTGCCAGACTCGCGACGTTTTTCAAATGTCTCAAGATCCTATTCGCAGCCCTCGAGCACTTGATTTTGCAGCAGCGTCGTGACGCAAGTCATCTGATGAGAGCGCCAGAGTGGCGTCCAAAATCACGCGATCTTCGCGTCTCGTCCGAGCTGTCGGGCGTGCGGGCCAGCAGGCAGCGGTGACACTGACACGATCATCATCCGCGCGGTCCTCCGCGATCTTCAGGGCCCACTGGGTTGTTCTATGTGTAGTGTGCGATCCTGTGCGATCACCTTACACCATCAGCTTCTGCGCGGCGGCGGAGATCTCGCCTTGAAGAATGGGGCGGATGACTCGCATGATGCATCATCACGTACGCTCTCTCGCTGTTTCATCTGTCATCATTGTCGTCAGGCCTGAGCTCAGCATACGAGAGTAGCAGCGCTGACTGACTGGCTGGCTGACAAGGCCGGCGCAGTCACGACCGTGGCTGCGGTTGTCGATTCCGTATCCTCTGTGCGAGCTGGTTATGTTGCCCTACGTTCTGGATGTCGCTGTCCGCATATTGGGCTCTCATTCCCCCAGTGCAGAGAATGTCTCGAAGTTATTACGATAGAGCAGATTTGGCGCGCGGATCAGACTCATGACCAGAATTAATTTCGCGCTGGCACGAGCAAAAGCAAACGACCGCTTTGGAAGACGACTGAAAGAGTAGACTAATAATATACTTGTTGCATAAACCTGGTCTCATCTGCGCACAATGAGAAAACAGGGCTTGTCAGCGCACAGTAGTCAATCTCTGTGCTAGCCAGTTCCGACTTGGCACGTTCTTAGCACGGGGTCCTTTTATTGCGAGTACATGCAGCGCGGTGTTAATTACGCGAGCTGATCATGATGTCGTTGCCAAGAGCACCTATGTGGGGAGGGATATGATCGTCGGGATAGCCGGTATGAGCCCGTCCTGCTCTTTCTCATTCTCTCTGCCGCCGCCGACTTGCACATGGTCAAGATCGTCACTGGACCGCCAGAAAACGTCTCGCACGAAGACATCATATGGCTGTACAGAACTCTCTCTCGCTTGACAGGCGGTCATCAGTGCTGACTCCTTCTCTTCCGCGCACCTATCAAGTGCGGGGCCACGCTTGGTGGGGTTGATCCTCAACTGGTGTTTATTGGGCGTTCTCTCGACACAAGTCTACATCTTCCACCTTAATTTCCCGAAGGAGCGCCGGTTTCTGAAATGGATGGGTGCGTCGTCGGCCGTGCCGTCATTTGATCTACCCCAGCGTGACTCGACTCACACTTCGTCGATCAGTTTACACTGTGTACCTGCTGGACTGGGCGCAGACCTGCTCTGTCACGTATGATGCGCTCCAGTGGTTCGTGCTCGGATGGGGCAGCATCCCGGACCTGTACGATCTCTGGAGCTCGTGGCTCAATGTGCCTGTACTCTCGAGCACGATCGCGGCGATAGTCCAGGTGCGTCGATGCCCGACATTTCAATCGCTCATCTCAATATATATCTATATATATCCAGGTGTACTATGGCTGGAGACTATACATCTTATCGGGAAGCCTCGCCCCGCTCATCGTGACCACCGTGCTTTCAGTCGTCCAATTAACCGGAGGAATCATGGTCGGATTGCTGGTGCGGCTGACCGCTCAGGCCGAGGTCCGCGACCGACTGACCATCTCCGCAGCTCACATCCGATGACACCGAGATATCGCGCTCGCCGGGTCTCGTCGCGGCTGTCGCTGTGCGGCTCGGGGGCAGCCTCGCAGTCGACACGTTCATCGCAGGATGCATGACGTTCTTCGTGAGCTTTCCCGCGCGCCTTGGTGGACCTCCCATTGACTCTGCCCAGCTGTTACGCAGTCGCGAGAAGTCCAGCCGCGAGATGAATGGTGTACTGACGCGCTGTAAGCCGGACTCGCACAAAACATTCTCGCACCACGCTCTGACTCAGCTGGTGCAGTGATCCGCCTGGTCGTCGAGACCGGGACCCTGACGGCCATCGCCGCCGGCGTCGACCTGATCTTCTTCCTCAGGGCGAAGAACGGGCTGCACCAAGTGCCCGGCGTCATCCTGTGCAAGCTCTACTCGAACGCGCTGCTGGTGCTGTTCAACAACCGGCTGACAATGCAGCGCGACACGCTCGTCGTGCAGGACCTGAACACCGTCGAATTCAGCGGGACGGCGTGGAGCGGGACGGACAGCAACGACATATCGTCGCGCTTCTCCGCTGCTCCTGCGCGGCGCGGCGGGAATCCGAAGCTGCGGACGAGCGACAGCTTTTATGTGTAAATCACAGCGTATATTGATCCATCCACACGTATCTGACCGGCTGGTATCTGAACTAAGTATGTACATGTCTGGGTTTTCAGATTTTCTGAATGTTCATGTCCGAGTCTACGAGAAAATTCCTTCGTGATATCGTTTGAGGCCCTCAACATCAGTTGCGGCAGAAGCCGTCCGAGTTGGTGATGTAGTCGGTCGTGCCGTCGGGCTGCTTCTGGCCGCCGCAGTTGTCCGCGCTGCTCGCGCCGAGGCAAGAAGCCGAGAAGAGCGCGCAGGTCAGCTGGGGGCTGCCGTTCTTGCCGTTGACGTCGTGGTACGCTGTCCGGTGTAAGCACCACACCTTAACAAGCTGCTGAGAGTGTACGCACTGTTGAAGAACTTGCAGCCGGAAACGGAGTCGCACATCGCCTGGCACCCGGCGACGGTGTCGACCAGGCCATACGTGAGGTAGCTCGAGTCCTGCGTGGCGCACGTCAAGTTGGAGAACGACTGGCGGTACTCAGGGGGCGAGTTCGGCGGGGGCGGCGGGGGCGGGTACGGCGGGGGGCAGTGCAGGCACAGGGGCAGCAGATCGAGCACAGCGCAGAGCACCTAGTCCACGGCATGAGACATTTCCCCAGGACGAACGGAAGATCACGAGAGGCGGCTGCTTACCCCGTCCAGGATGGGGACGACGACCCCGCCGACGAGGCCGCCGCCGTAGTACCAGCCGGGCTTGCAGCCTGGCTGCCAGGGAGGGATCGGCGCGCCGTAGTGGTTCGCGACGGTCAGCGTCAGCGCCACGCTGAGCGTGTCGCGGCTCTCGATCTCGACCTGCGCCGCTGAGGCGGCAGAGGCGGCGACGACGAGTGCGGAGAAGAGTGCAGTGAAGCGCATGGCGGTGGTGGTGGTGGTTTAAGCAGCTGAGTGAGGAGGAGGGAGTGCTGGAGTTGACTGGCTCTGCGGCCGCCCTCTTATACCCTTCAGAAGACCCCATGTAGAGAAACGGTCCCGAGAAAATCGCGCAAGATCTGGAAGACGATGTCCTATTGCGGAAAACACAGAGATCCACCCGTCGGGCAACGTTCGCTTTCGACGACTTGCCAGCGCGTAGAAATCCGAGGAGGGATCAGGATGTTGATTGAGGTATGTGGCACGGGCTTGTTCAGAATGTACAAGCTTTCACGCGCCGGCGAGCACGCGGTGCATGGCTGGCAAGCGTGTCGACGTGATGAACTTACAAAGTGTGGAGCGGGAACTGACACCAGAGAATCGCATTTTTAGAGACCTCGATGGATCGGTGCATGGACGGGTGCAGGTCCCAATGGACGCACGTGATTGATCCGCACGATATCAGTGGCAGTGGATTTCATTTCGAATTTCTGCTTCTCTTCGATTCCGAGAGCGCCCTGCTGGATTATGCAGCAGCAACCGCCGCCGTTTGCGAGCTGGATATCTGCTGCTGACTCGGTCGTTTGTTTGCTCAGTCTCCTCTCCATCTATCAGTGGCATCTTACAGGATGCACTGAAGGGTGAAAACTGGCATGTCTCGTGTTCTCATCTTGCAGGACGATGTGCGTGACTGGCAGCCTGCGTTCGCCGTGTCCCCGCGAAGGCCGTAGCACGCATCTCCCACATGCGATGCCTATTTCGATGACGTAGTGCGTGCGTTAGCGCCGCGGTCTCGTGGTGGGACACCGAACGGCACTGCCCGTGCGTCATGCTTAGGGCATCGGCCCATCGGCCCCTCCGACTGGAGGACACAGATAGAGCAGATCACGCCGAGCCGTCGTCGTCGTCCTTGTTCCCCGCGAATCAGCTGTGGGCCTTCGCGGGATCCCCAGGTCTCTGGATGACCTGAGTGAGGAGGTGTCATGTCGCGCTGTACAGTAAGTAGAGAGGAGATGCGGATCACTCCGCTGCATTCAGCCCGTCGGGTTTGTGGATCGCGTGCATCCCAGCAGCCACCGACCTGTTCACGCTTCGGATGACATCGAGAGAATGCCCATGGATCTACCACGGGTGCTACCCTGGTGGAGCCAGTCCTCTCCGGTCCGTCGTCTGTGAAAAGAAAAAGAAAAAGAATCCAGTCCGACGTCGCGCTCGTTCCGATGGCGAGAGTAAAATGAGATTAGATGTATGCTGGCTCACTGGGTCCCTTCTTTGACGCGTTACGAGACATCCCTCGTCCGCATGATCGAGGCCCGGTGGAGCTCTGGGCAGGGGATGACTCGAGCTGCAGCAGGCATCTCTCCCTGAGACGCAGCAGAGGGTCGCTCATGCCGCTTCGGTGCTGTCTCGACAGCGGACTTTGACTGATTACACGCCTATAATTACTTTTGGTAAGAATTCGGCACAATGTCGGTCTTGCATCTGGAACAGAACAGCGTTTCGAAAAACGACGCGTCATTAATCGTTTGTCGAGGTAGTTGGCTGAGACTGCCGAAAATAGAATACCAAAGGTGGCTCTAATTGTTCTCATTAGATTCATCAGGTCTTGGAAGGACGCCGCCACCGGGAGGACTCTTCCAACGTTTCGGCCCCGGATTGACAAGTTGAAGAAGAGTGCAAATTCAACATTTTTGATCTCAAAAGTGCGCACTTTGATCCGACGGTGCTAATCACATTCTTCGTCCTTTGATAGAGTGGACTGTCCACGTCGTCATGTGACGAAGCCGAATGTCAAAGCCCAAAAACGGAACACGTTTCGTGTCGGGTGTCCAGCTTCCAGTTACTTCTGTGCGTCAAGCTCTCTGAGTAAAGTCAAAAACTAATAGCCTGGGATAATTCGGCTTCGTGAGGGAGAGTGGGGCCATGCCCGCGATCGCCGCTGTTTTTCTATTATCTCTTCCTGCATCGAAGCAACGGGCTCTAGCGGGATGCACCAAGCTCCGTATGCCTCAGATTTTTCCACGGACACGAATCGGACACGCTACTGGTGCCGCTCGAAAACCGCCTGCACATGCAGCGAGACTGCTTAATCGCTCTGGACACGAGTTCCGGGAATTTCGTGCGAGGGCGCGAGACCAATCCAGCCATGACATAGCTTCTCTGTAAGTATTCTTATCCTTTCAGACGCGGCGGCCATCGAACCAATCAAGCGTGGCAGTGACAGCTCTTATGTGTAGATCACAGTGTTCATATATCAACAAATATCCGACCGACCGACTATCTGAATTCGCAAAGCAACTAGTGAACTATCTGGGTTTTCGGCTTTTCTGGACGTTCATTCCCGCGCGAACAAGCAAACGATTCCTTGGTGAGATCGTGTGAGGTGAGGTCCCTCGTGATCAGTTGTGGCAGTAGCCGTCCGAGTTGGTGATGTAGTCGGTCGAGCCGTCGGGCTGCTTCTGGCCGCCGCAGTTGTCCGCGCTGCTGGCGCCGAGGCAAGAAGCGGAGAAGAGCGCGCAGGTCAGCTGGGGGCTGCCGTTCTTGCCGTTGACGTCGTGGTACGCTAAGTAGCGTCAGTGTTAGATCTCGGCAAACTGAGCTGGCGCGCACTGTTGAAGAACTTGCAGCCGGTGACCGCGTCGCACATCGCCTGGCACCCGATGACGGTGTCGACCAGGCCGTACGTGAGGTAGCTCGAGTCCTGGGCGGCGCAGGTCAGGTTGTGGAACGACTGGCGGTACTTGGGCGGCGAGTTCGGCGGGGGCGGGGGCGGCGGGTACGGCGGCGGGCAGTGCAGCACGAAGGGGAGCAGGTCCAGCACGGCACAGAGCACCTGGGTCACGGCATGAGACGCTGCGCCAGGACGGAACACGGGATCACGAGCGGCTGCTTACCCCGTCGAGGATGGGGATGACCACTCCGCCGATGAGGCCCGCGCCGTAGTACCACCCGGGCGTGCACCCGACCTCCCAGGGGGGGATCGGCGCGCCGTAGTGGTTCGCGGCGGTCAGAGTGAGCGCCACGCCGATCGAGTCGCGGCTCTCGATCTCGACCTGCGCCGCTGAGACGGCAGATGCAGCGACGACGAAGGCAGAGAAGATTCCAGTGAAGCGCATGGTGGTGGTTGAAGCAACTGACTGAGGAGGGAGTGCTGGAGTCGACTGGCTTTGCGGCCGCCCTCTTATACTCTTCAGGAGAACCTATTTCGAGTAGCGGCCCCGAAAACACCGGGCAAGATCTGGACTGCGATGCCCTATTGCGGAAAACACAGAGAAGAACCCGTCGGGCAACACTGGGATGGGACGACTTGCCAGCGCGTAAAAATACAAGGAAGGATCAAATCAATGGGGGTGCATGGCACCTACACAGAACGAGATTCATTCGCCGGCAAGTGTTCAGCGGTGACAAGCACTTGGACGTGATAAATGTTCTGTGGAGCAAGAACCACCACCGGACAGTCGCGTTTTTCAGAGGGCTCGATAGATCAGCGCACCGCGCAGGTCCCAGTGCATGCACGTGATCAGCTCACGTTATCAGTGGCAGTGTTTCCCATAATTGAATCACGTCTCCGAGGCTCCCTCTCTCGACTTGGAGGCACTCATATCGCATCCAGCCGCCGTGTCTTGGCTTAATATCTGCGTTTCATCCACTTACTCCTCCGCCCAGGCTTCATCTGTCAATGCCATGTTACAGGCTGCACTGAGGGGCCCACCCAGCCACGTCTCGTGTGTTGTTCTCATCTCGTCCGCCGGCAGCTCGCGTACGTTATGTCCCCATGAAGCAGCACACCGCAAGAATCTCTCACATGAGACTTCCATGTCCCATGATATTCGAAGGCACGTCACAACCGCGGTCCTAATAGCGAGACACGCCAGGACAGCACTGGGCGCGCGGGCTTCTCCTTCCGTGAGTGCTTAGGGCATCGGCACATCCGTCCGGCCGACTTGGGCAACCAAATCAATTTAGCTGCTAATCTTTATTCCCTGCGAATCGGCTGCGGGTCTTCGCGGCACCGCTCACGGGCGTCGTCCAATGGCATGCGAGGCGTCTTATCACGGCCTATTGGTCGAAACTGCTGCACACACACTGCAGAGGTATTGATCGGGCCAATGGAATCCACCAGTCGGCTTTCTGGATCTCTTGTATCTCCGGACACAGACTGGCTGACGCACGGGTGACATCAAGATTCTTGGCCACGGATCTAGCCTTCAACGGCTGGGGGAGCAGGAGCAAGCAGCCTTCGGGACGTCGTCCTCGACATCCAAGGCGTCTCCTGAGAAATACACTCTCAACCGCAGTCGCCCCGCAGACCCAGCACACAGCATCACCGGTAAGAGGCTCTGTTTCGTCGCCGGACGCACAGAACTGACGCGGGTTCTCTCCCTCGGCATCGACCTCCGGTATCAATCTTTCTTTCGTCATATCACAAGATCTCCTCCTTGTTGAAGCACATCCGTGAGCCACCAACAGTCGTGTGGCTCAGATCCGTGACAGGCCAAGCAGAGGAGCGTGCAGTTTTGGGGGAGCGGATGGAGGAAAAATGAATAGAGAGCAGGCCGTCGCGCCGTTTGCCCCAAGTGTGCGCAGAGCATGGTCGAGATGCATCTCACAGATCTCATGAGACAACAACATGAATATATTCAACACCAGTCCATAACCAATACCACACGAGACAATTAGAAGAAAGAAAGAAAAAAAGAACTATTGTTCGCTCGCTAGCTATTCTGGAGGCCACCCGGCCGCTTACCAGCCGTGGGTGGGTTTGTACGGGTTGGACGGGTTGGACGGCTTCGACGGCGTGTTGCGGCAGTACCCGTCGGAGTTGATGATATAGTCGATGCTGCCGTCCGGCTGCGTCTGGCCGCCACAGTTGTCCGCGCTGGTGGCGTTGAGGCACGACGCCGAGAAGAGCGCGCACGTCAGCTGCGGGCTGCCGTTCTTCCCGTTCACGTCGTGGTACGCTGCAAACAGAAACAACGAACGAGGGGTCAGCCGCAGCGGTCAGCGCCGAAAATCAAAACGCGCCGCGCACAGTTGTAGAAGTTGCATCCCGGCACCGTGTCGCACATCGTCTGGCAGTCGGCCACCGTGTCGACCAGGCCGTAGGTCATGTAGCTCGCGTCCTGCGCCGCGCACGTCAGGTTGTAGAACGACTGCTTGAACTCGGGCGGCGGCGGCGGCGATCCGTGCGGCGGCGCCTTGGGCGGGCTCGGGCAGTGCAGACAGAACGGGAAGAGGTCGAGCAGCTCGCAGAGGATCTGGGACGATGCGCATGAGCGTCGCTGCAATCAGCTGGCAGAGAAAGCAACGCACTCCTTCCAGGAAGAGGATCACTCCATCGGGCGGGCCGTGCTGGCCGTAGTACCAGCCCGGGGTGTGGCCGGTGACCCAGGGAGGGGTCGGCGCGCCGTAGTGGTTCTGCGCAGTCAACGACATCGCATTCGTGATGGACTGTGCGTTGTAGGACTGCGCAGACACCGCCGAGACGACCGCGAGGGCAGAGAAGAGACCGCTGAACCGCATGCTGATGTTAAAGCAACTGTTGTGAGTTTGCTGGAGACTGCCAGCGGTGTTGCAGGTCTTTTATAGAGAGCGGCACGGTCGTACGAGATATCCCGACCCTTGAGGCATTGTCATCTTTCTGCTCGAGACTGAGAAGCCCGACGGCCTCCGAGCGTCTGGCGGAAACGTCTAATTTGACCACGCTTGCCATGGCTGATGAAGTTTAACAGCGTTTCAAAAGCAAGCCGCTGTCGCCGAAGCATGAATTTCGACATATTCTGAGTGTTGAGAGCAGGATCAAGGGACATCTAGGTACAATTGCTGGCAAGGCGGTCATTTCATTGCTGCATTTGACACTCGAGGAGACTGTGCGGTGATGTCCACAGAATATCTGCCAACGGCTCTTGATTGAGCCTCGTATGACGCATATCGCGTCGAGCGCCGTTGATATAGACCCGACACCCGAGAGCAAGAGGGCGACTGAAAGGTTGGGAAGAGAGAGTCGAATAGGAGCAACTATGCACAGTGACGTCATTTCGAGTTCACTGCGATTTCCCTTTCCGCGGCGGCGACCTCTGCTCAGCTGGTAGATGAACCCTACAGCAACTATGCAAGGTACGATCTGCCATGTCCTGGGCCTCCCATTCTGGGCCTTCTGGAACATAACGATGTTCTTGAACTGAGATCTCCGAACAACCAAATGTCAGTCGTGCATCATGGTGCATGTGCGCACGTCATCCGGCCTACTTGCCATATGACAATGAATGGCTTGGTCAATGCGATATTATTGGGATACTTTCGATGTGTTCGGACACTCGCTGAGCTTGACTAATAGGTTATTTCGCTTCGGTATTCATTGCCTATCAAATCAGTCGTCTCAAGCATCGATCCTCACCCAACTCCGCACGGGACACGCCCCACTCGCCAGCCACCTACATCGCATAGGAAAGAACGAATCTCCGAGATGTCAGGCCTGCCAACTAGAGAACGAGACGGTCGCCCACTATCTACTCGCCTGTCCGGCACACGAAGCAGCACGTCGACTGATGAACGAAGACGGCGGCCCGAACACGCGGGATATCACAAAGCTCCTCTCATCCCCCAAAATCACACCACACCTAATGCGATACATCTCGAGGACGAAACGTTTCACGCGCACGATGGGAGAAGTCGACCAAATCGAAGGGATCGATACAACAACGAGACGAGGGGACAATCACGGAACGCGACAGCGACCACACACGAGCAGGTGCTAGACCACACACCCCCGCCACGGGCACCCCCGAGCCTGTCGGCCATAACCAAGTACATTACTTAAAGGGCGGAGAACGGTATTATCGGACGCTAATGTACTACGAACATGACATATCCCTAACATATCGTGCGCGACCACGGGGAATAATAAAACTGACTCAAAAAAAAAAAAATCAGTCGTCTGAGACTTGAGTTTAGGGCTGAGACACACCCATATATGGACAGATCTACACGTTCTACCACAATCTGGCCCGGATCATGTCATCTCCCCATTCGGACTTGACTGCAAACTGAGATAATACCGTTTGCGGGTATCAATATCCACTATTCAGTCCTACAGTGAGAGCAACGGCTCAGCAGTTCAATTCAATTTAAAACGTTGACAATCGCAATGAATTTCAGGGCAGGACTTGATTGATCAGGAGGACAACCGTAAATAACCGTATCAGAACAACAAGAGAACTTATGGAAAGAGCTAATGGCCGGACTTAACAAGCAGATAACTGAACGTGATCGAGTTCTGTGGGCCGTGTGGACCAAGCTGCTGCTGGTGGCCACAGTTGATGGCGTCCTTTTGAGCAGCAACGACACGGAACAACGAGCAGGTGAGCAGCGGCGTGTTTTTCTGCGGGGAGTTAGTCAGTCGACCGCTTTCATCAGAGGAAGCAACCACGCACGAGGCTGTCATTGTCGTGGTAGACTGGAGATATGGGTCAATATCCAAAAAATCTAGTCGCCTGCATCCACGTACAATTCGCACTCAGGCAGTCCTTGTTCACGCTGCACATTTCCGCACAGGCTGTCATGGCGGTCAGAATCAAACTCGCGGGAGCGAACGAAGAGTGGATCTACCCTGCGGGGAGTCGACCAGACCAAAAGTCTCATACGCATTGGACGGCACCCAAATCTGGATCGCACAGGTCAGGTTCTGGAACCCGTAGGTATAGCCCGCAGGACAGGGTGGCGGCGGTGGCGGCGGCGTCGGCTGGCTGTCCGGCGGGGGCGGAAGCAGCGTCGGAGGAGGCGGGCCGGGCGGGCAGAACGCGCACCCCAGCAGCAGGCGCAGGAGATCGCAGAGCAGCTAGATCGGAGGCGGCGGTGAGCAAACACACGGACTGAGCGAAACGAAACGAGGGGACGGACGTTGCCGAGGAGACTGCCGACGGAGGACACGAGCGACGCGACTTCCGCGGGCGCGTTGCTGGGCTGCCCGTAGTACCACCCGGGCTGGCAGCCGGTCTCCCAGGGTGGGATCGGCGCGCCGTAGTTGTTGCTGGGGCTGATGCCTACAGCCGTGGACATCACAGTCGCGTTGGGCGTGGCCATCCCCGCAGCGCAGGCGACGAGAGCAGACAGAAGACAGAAGACGTTGGCGCGCATTGTAGACGAGTTGTTGAATGTATTCGGCCTCCCCTGCACCTGCTTTTATACGCGCGAAAAGTCCAATATAACGGCAGAGAGGACTCTCCGCCGTTCGCCGTCTTGGGATGGCAGCTCTAGACTAGGGGCAGACAGCGAAGGATGGAGCTTCCGAGAAACGAAGAACCTTCACCAAGAGCAAAGCGATGAGTCGGTGTGATGGATGGCATGCCCATGCAAGTCGCCGATGGAGCCAGAAGAACAGCAAAACGCACCACAACGCTGCACGCATGATCACAGACGAGAAATCGTGCGTTTCTGCGCGTCGGTCTATGCGCTGGATTTGATCCGTGGCAAGCCAAAATGAACGGGAAAGAAGCACCAGTCGAACAGCTACAAGTAATCGGTGGCCCATGAAACAAATGGATTCGTATGGCACCAGATTCGAGATTGCCATTCCAGACCACGGCGCGCAGGCTATGCCAGGTGAGTCAACATGCAGAGGTCCCGAAAAACAAGCTTGGTCGACGTGCAGAGTGACTGGCACGGTCTCCACAAAGATGGGTCATTGGTACGTTTGTGCGCAGCATTCGGAGTTGCGTCGCGGGCACCACCAGTATCTCCAAGCAGCATTTTTGAAAATATTTCAGGTCCCGAACAAGCGAGGATAGATCCGGCCAGTCGACCGTTTGCACGCGCAACCGTCGTAGTCGAAGGACTGCTCCAGCGTCCGATCGATCCCCCAATTTTCTTCACAGCATGAGCGTTTAGAGTCCAATTAGGCTGCCCCGCGACCCGTAGCGCACCTGTGGGATGTGAGAAAGGCAAGGAAGGCTCCCGGGTGAGGGGCACCAGGCTAGCTATTCTCCAGTCGGGCGTCGGCCACACCACTTATGATCGGCTGACAGCAAGATCCGAGTGCGAGGCGTTTCGTAGCGCTGGAAGCGAAGGACAGAGACAGTCCTGCATTCTCGAGCTTCTTGGTGCAGCCACTGCCTGCACTTAGTGAGCATATCAGGTCCTTTGACTCGGAAAGTTACGATTGAAATGACAGCCTCGCTGGGTCCAACTCAGAACAGTTTAGATTGATGGGCCGACACGGGAAATTCGCTCGGACAGTGATCGATAGACTGGCCCCCTCCGGCCCGCGCTGGAGTTTCAAAAAGGTGTGCACGGTTAAAACAATCATTTCCGACATGAGTGCATGGATGGATAATTTTGGAAGGGCAGAATCATGAAAGCATGCAGCATAAGAGTACAGAAGATGCGACGTCCCCGCTCACCGACCCTTGCCTCCCTTCATGCCCTGCTTCGAGACCTTCGGTGCGCCAGCACCCGTGGGCTTCGACGCAGGCTGGACGTATATCAGCAAATGAAGACGCACAGATATAACGATTCAACGCACCTTAGCCTTCTTGGTCTCCTTCTCCTTCTTCTCAGACTTGGCCTTGGTGATAGCGGCAAGGCGGAGCTGCTGGCGCTGAGCGGTGGACTGGTTTCGCTTGGCGGCAATCGCAGCAAGGTCGGCACCGACGATACCACGCTGGTGCTTGACGGTGCGGCGGGATCGCTTCTTGGCGACCTCCTCCGTGATACCCTTTTTGTGCATCCGTCGGTAGACCTGCGTCCATGCGATCTTACGCGGGTTCTTGCGCTGCAGGAACAGGGAGGCGTTCTTCGAGGATGCGAAGCGGAAGACCTGTCGGGCGGGGGTCAGAGGCAGGAGTCCAGAGCGTACCGCGTGCGGCCCACCTTCGAGTCCCCACGAACGAAAAGCTTGCCCTTGGAAGGGTAGATACGGAAGCCGGAGAAAGAGTCGATTTCGAGCTTCTACTCATCGAGGGTCAGCGGATACCCGTGTTTGCGGTCGCGATAACATACCATCTGTAAACCAAAGGAGAGAATCGATCAGCATTTCGCAAATATACCATACTGCTAGACCCTGGTGTCGTTGCCCCCTTGGAGCTTCCAAACGCCATGCAACGCTCAACGAGAGCTCCAAAAGCGACTTGGACCAGGCAGACACGACACAGAGCACAAGGAGTGGACACTCACAGCGGCGACGAGGTCTTGAGGCGCGGCGGTCTGTCGAAAATGAGGATGATTTCGCCGCTACCGAAACACGTGATCGATCGATCACTCAGCTATACAGGTTGACGACGGGTTTACTCATCGCATTGACGGCATTACATAAGGTCAGTATCTGGAGTGTACTCTGCGGTCAGATCATTCCTTGTTTCCACGTCTTGGCGCTCAGACTCAGATCTGCATCGATCCCACTCTTGTACCTAGTACTGGTCTCTCTCTTCGCTGTCATTTCGATCACCCGAACAAGTCATCTGGTTGGAGAAGAGGCCGCTGGCTTGAACCGCTGGCCCACGGGGAACCTGCCGATAACCGTCTCTTGTGACGACTTCCGGCACATTGAAATCTCAAGGCGGACCCGTCCAATTCTCCGATGTATTCAATATATCCTTGGACCAAGTATCATCTGTCGAGGACCCCAATGGCTTGATTCTTTCGCTTGCCGTTCAATGGCGCCACAACACTCTAGCGTTCTCCGTCTCGACGTTCTGGTCTCCGCTCCAGGTCAAGCCTCACCTAGAAATCACTCAGAGATAAGGGATTCCCGAGAATTCTCTGTCCACTTGCAGTGTGTCGCTTGCAAGCACTGTGATCCTCCCCGATACGGTAAACATACAACGGTACATTGATTCCCACACATGTACGTATATGTATTTTGTTCCGACCAAGTTTACAAAGGATATGGCATGAAAGTTCGGGAGAACAGAGATAAAATAAGCGCAGAGAGTAGGTGGACAGGGTAGTCGGGCACAAACGGATTAAAGCCAGGATAGATATAAGCGGAAGGTGCAGCTCCGACACAGATCCGTATCACGCTGAGAGCACGCAGTCGACGATACATCTCAGTGCTTCGTAGCCTTGACCACAGAGACCACGATGATGATGATGATGACTGCAATCGCGGCGCCGATGATCAAACGCATCTGGATGGCAACGTTGTGGGATAGTTTAAGAATGAGCAGTAAGAAGCACAGACCTTCATATCTTTCCACCTTCAGCCGCAACAGGGAGAGAGAAAGGAAGGTCAAGTCGTGAGGCGCGGTAACTAGAATCAAGATACCGAGGGACATACCACATATTCTAGCGAAAGTTCGTAAGTATAGGAACAACGTCATTGCGCAGCATCACACACCTTTCGCACCCGGTTGGCTCCCCGGCGGAATCCCTGAGCGGACACAGCGAGATTGTCCGTCTTGTCCTGGAGAGAATCGAGCCGCTCGCCACGCTCCGCAACCTTGGTGATGTTCTCCCTCATGATGCCAACAGTGTCGTCAATCTGCGCCTGAATTGCTGCGGTCTTCGAGTTGCCGCCTTGGCCGCCACCGGGGGCGCCAGAGGAGCTGCCATTGCGCGGAAGGTATGGGTCGTAGGGTTCAGACCTAGGAAAGGCAAGTAAGTTGCGAGTTCGTGTGATTCGTCCATTGTGGGGCGATCAGGAGCGGAATTGGCAGGATACAGACATTATGAATGCGTGCGGGTCTACGAAAGACGGTTAGACTCAAGCGTGTGGTGCGGCGAGACGCCTCGAGACAACGTGCATACCGTTTCAAACGAAGTGGAGGGGGAAGGGGAAGCGTGGAGTCTGCCGTTGTTCCCACGACTGCGACCGTTGCCGCTTCGTCACGCTGTCACGTGTGTTCCCATGTGTTTCGCACAGGTTCACAGCACTGCCTGATGAGTTACACAGGCCCGCGCCGTCCGACATACAAATTCTGCATGACACTACAATTCGCCATCACGTCTGCACAATGACCCGTCGTGGGGCCGACGATCCAAGGTCGTCCGATCCCCCGTGTCGGAACTTTCCATACAGCCTCTGCTCGAACCCAGCTCACTTGATGTTCAATCGGATTGCGAATGAGTCGGGCTCCACAATTTAGAGGACGTGCACCGATCGAAGTCCTCGTAAGCTCCTCTGGGACCGTGTAGGGCTCAAGTTTGGACGACATGCGACTTCTAGCCGCGCATGCCTATGTAATCGACTTGCGTTGGGTAGCTTCGCGGTGACACCGTTCCCGTTTTGAGCGTACCGCCGGGGCTGCGAAGGTTACCGATTACCTTTGCACAGACCTTGAGGCGACGGCTCTGATACTCTCCGACTCCCCGACGTGACTCTCGAGTATGGCCACCACCTTGAATCTGGCTCTGGCGCTCTCGTGCAGCATTATGTTTTTGTGGTGTATAAACCGGGTCCGACGCGCCCGTGGTCTTCCCCCGGGTCAGCCAATCTCCTCAGGAGATGTTGGGTGTCTGATTTTGTCCAGGTCCTCCTGTCATTCCATTCCTCGGCAATGCACATATGCTCGGAGATGCCAAAACCATGCCCAAGCAGTCAGGTTGAATCCAAAGAACAACGAACCAGCCTCGCTCATGCTCAAGTCAGATTGTCGCTCTGGGCTCGTGCGTACGGGGACGTCTTTTCTGTGCGTAATTTTTCACTTTGTCTACGCCGTTTGTTGATCGAGACTCCCTCGACCTTCCAGCTGAAGCTCGGCTCGACAGATGTGATTGTCCTAACTAGCGCCACGGCCATAAGACAGATCATCGACAAACCTGGATGGGTAGGGAACTCTAGGCCGATCCATCTTACCGCCGGCCTCTGTGGCATGGGACCTGACTCGAGCCTGCTCTTCCTCTCGGATTGTGCGTTGCTATGACCCTCTGCAGTACCAGCTCCTGACATGGACCCGAGGTGACCTCTTGAGAGACACTCGCCGGACGATGGGTCGATTTTTCTCCACTCAAAACTCAATGGGTTTCCTTCCTGCACAATCAGCGGAGAGCGTTCTTCTTTTGCGCGATCTGATGCTGCGCCCAGAGGTCCTTGGTCAGCGTCCCTTACCCGCCGACACTGACCTGTTTCCAGAACTTTTCCCATTCAGTTCGCAGACATACCCACTCGGTTGCCAAGGTCCGCGGTTCAATACAGCCGGGCCCATTTGGTTATAGCAGTAACTTCCTGCAGATTATTGCGTATGGGAAGCGCGTCAAACGCTCGGACGATGAAGAAATGCAGACCTTCCATTCAGTCAGTTGACCTCAACAGCTCACCGAAAGAGAATTGAATGGGTCGACACACAGTCAGCTCATGATTTACTACAAGCATTGGCACCCGGGAGGTACCCGATTCTAGAGATGTTTCCCTGTCTGAAGCATGTGCCTGCCTTCCTGGCACCCTGGAAAAGGGACGGGCAAGAAATTTCACGCCTGCGAGCGGGACTTCACACCCAACTCTTCGATTCCACTCGACTTCAGGTCGCAGCAGGAAATGAGCACGTTATGAACTCCTACATCGGACAAAGCATTCATGCCGGAGAAACCACGCATTTCGATTCGTCAGTTCCTTGCGTATCTTTCGATTGAATGTCGCATTGACAGTCGACAGCTACATGGGGATCTCCATGCTTGACGCCGGCTCTGATACGACTGCAGCATTCATATTATCCTTCATACTGGTGTTATGTGTCTTTCCTTCGATGCAAAGCCGAGCTCGACAAGAAATCGATGACGTGATCGGACTGCGGCTTCCCGCTCTGGAGGACCTCGCTCAGTTGCCCTATCTCGACGCACTTATCAAGGAAACTTTGCGGTTCAAGCCTCAGTTCCCGATGGGAGTTCCCCATCGCATAACAGAAGATGTGAGCGTACGTTACCTTCAATCGTGCTGATATCAACGCTGTCCCTCACGCCTTCCTGCTCCAGTACAATGGATTTCGCATTCCAAAGAACGCCACCGTCATCCTCAACACATGTCTGCCCATCGCATCTCGCGTTCCGATCTTTCGCTCACCCCAAGCCGCAGATGGTCTCTTCCGCGATCCAGCATTGTTTGATGCACCAGAAGTTTTCAATCCCGAGCGGTTCCTGGACTCCAAGCAGGGCACCATTCCTGGATCGGATACAGACTTCCGGATGTCCCTCCAATTTGGGGCCGGCAGGGCAAGTGAACCTCGCATTCGACTTGTGTTCTCCAACTGATCATGACTCGTCTGCTCCACAGCGCGTTTGTCCTGGCCAATGGATTGCTTGGCAGGCGATGGTTCGAATTTCTCTCGCATTGTAATCCGATGAATGACTCGAGTTGGTCCCAGCAACTCGCGGCGATGCGCCTCGTCTGGGCATTCAGTTTCTCGGACGCCAAAGACCAAGTAACTCAAAAGCCAATGCCGCAGGATCTCGACTGCTATGATGCAGTGAGCCAATTTTCTCCGTCACTGAGTTCCTTAGTAATGTGGCATTCCAGGGATTTATCATTCACCCGCATCCTTTCACATGCACTATTCAGCCGCGCAGTCCTGACCATCAGCAGCTCATTAGTCAAAGTGTAGATTCAGCAGAGGATTTCCTCAGCCGCTATGACACTGCAGCAACGTAGCCGACAGCGATATATACATAGTACCATGTCTGTACAAGACGCATCCATCATACTCAATCGTACTCCTGCATGACCTTCTCCAAGTCCTCTAAATCAAACGAATCCATCTCTTCAAACGAGTCAGATCCCACCGGCTTGTCGGGCGACGAAGGCGGCCCCGACCGCTGCACGACCTGCTGCACACGGGGATGTACCAGAGCCCGCATATCCGCTGCCGCCGCCTTCGGGGGTCGACAATCGGGGGCGGTGGATAACGGTTTGATTTTCGGGGGCCGGAATTGAGACGCGGGCAGAGGTTCCTGGCCTGGTATGGTTTTCGCTCGCCGCATGCCGAGAGCCGGAGGCCCTTTGCGCTGCTGAGTCGCAGGTTGTGAGAGTACCAGGGGCGCGAGAGGTGCATCGGCCGTCTTGGGTACTTGCTTTCGCGGCGGTTGTTTCTCGATGATCATCGGATGATATCGAAGCTCGGATTTAACGCTCGTAGTTGTATGCAGACTGCTACGGGTGGGAGAAGCACCTCGCTTTGTCACGCGGGGCTCGTTCCTCGCCTTCGCCAACGCAGAAGGCGACGCCTCTTGCGGCGGAAGTCTGTTCGCTGGTATCGGCGGCGGTGGCATGAGTTCCAAGGGGCCCTCATCAGGCTCCGGGCTCGTCATAACGGTGTCAACGGAGTGAAACGACGAATTGGAGTCCGGTGAGGAGACAGACGACGGTGATAGCGATGGGATTGAGTTCAGCGACGACGCGCGGCTCATGGGTGCGCGCTCCCGCTCTTTACCCTTCACCTGACGCACAGACGACCCCGTGGAAAGCGGCTTCCGTGACATCGTGCTCTGTTTGACGCCCATTCTGCCACCGCTGCTGCTGCGCGGTGCTGGTGTGGTCGTGCGGTCCCCGCTCGCAGCGCGCAAAGCGGCCCGCTCGTCAGCCTGCTTGGAGACCCCCTGCACGAGCCGCATGAAGCGCACGGTATCCGGCGTCCTCGACGCCCCACTCCCGAATCCGAGCGACGGGGTCCAGTTTTCGGAGAGGCTCTTTCCACGCTGCGAAATGGACGCCCGGGTGCGCCGCTTGCTCGACGGGGCGGACAACTCGGTGGTAACGGGTGAGTCGAAGACGTCCGAGACGGTGAGCTGAGAAGTCGACGCCCCAGGCGAGCTCCATCCCCAGTTATCAGCCACTGAGGGAACTTAGCTGGAAGACCCCCCACCAGAGAGATAGGATGACAGCCCTACACACCTATCCGACCTGAATCGTTCTCAGCGGCCTCCATCATGAGCGAATCCAATGCCCGATTGCTGGTCTGCGACGCTCTCCACAAGACTGACTCGTCATCCTCGCCATGGGATGGGGCTTGCGGGTGAGTGTGGCCCGCGCGGGGATCAAACTGAGTAGCCACAGTGCGTTTCATAGGTGAGTGTTAACCAGACGGTGGCTACTAGCTGGCATCGGTGGAGGTGGAGAAGGATGGATAAAGAGACGAATGTCCGCAAAGTTCGAACAATAATAGAAGGTCACAACACCTGACTGTGACATAGCGTATTCGTCACGTGCAGTTTGTTATCTTATCGATAAGTGAATTTGCAGTCATACATCCCCGCGATTAATCAAGCTACATGACTGCATCCTCATCCGACTCTGTATAATCGCCGTCTTCTTCGGACTTCACAAAGATCCATTCCACTCTCTCCAGTGCTGGCGGTTTGACATACTGCTTCCGGGCGTCCTGGCTGGAATCTTTCAACAGGCCTTGCTTGCGAGCCTTCCATTGCTCCCGGAACGCCTCATCCGCTGTGCATTCAAGTTAAAGGACTTTCGAACGTAGTAAAGGAAGACACGGGCGGACGCACGATACAAGACGGCCACGCAACTATCGCACTCTCCTGCCCAAAGATCCCGCATCGGATCCTTCGCGTCGAGGTGGATGGACGCGCCTGGGCTATACGGCACCTGAATCGAGACGCTGGAGAGATGGGAAAGCGCGGAAAGCGCCTGTGAGTAATGAATCTGGCTGATTAGCACTTGCGGGACATGGATGACGATGCGGCCAGACACTCACGGGAAGACCCAGTCCATCCATGTACACAATGCTCGCGGGCACGGGTTCCGCAAACTCGGCGGAGGAGCATAGATGACAGAGCCCACACCAGATGTAGTCTACCGACAACAGCAGGCGTCTCAGGTCGGGGAACCGTCCCGACACCGCGTAGAAGAGGAACGGGGAGGGCCATTTGAGGTCCCGGATGTCGAGTTCCAGGATCTCCGGCAGGTTTCGGAATGGGAGCTCGTCTCGCACGCGTGCAGGGGGAGAGTGCCAACGGATGGTGTGCAAGCGTGTAAAACCAGTCAGATCCCACTTAGTCGCTGACGAGTTGTGCGATGTGCAGTGCATTTCCCTATCGTAGATAAATTTCGCTTCGGACCTGTTAAGCGAGCGAAAGCGTACCTGGTCCATACCGTCCGAACTTCAGGAAGGCTTCCATCCGTCAGAAACTTGAAATCTCCCGAGTCCGCACACAGAACGTAGAACCACGCCTCCAGCGCCAGCGCCCTATACGCCCTGCACGACCGAGACAGCGCGTTTATCGAGGACCAGGGATCTTTTCTGTCAGCACTCGAAGACAGTGGTGCGACACGGCAGGCAACGACATGGTTGGCGATTTCGCGCACAAGCTCAAGGGGAAGAGATGAGTGAGGCATTTGTCAGCCAAGCCCTACGTGATCTGGAGCGGAGATATCCGGGCAGACTATCAGTCAAGCTCCGTGCTCGGGCCGCCCATACTCTAGAACTCGTTACTCCTGGAGACGGACCATGACTTCGATCGAAGAGCTCCGCAGATTTCACGATGTCGCGTGCGATGTTGCGCGCCGAGCGGGGGAGTATTTGCGCCAGGACCAAGTACGCAGGCGCAACGTCAATCTCGACACCCGAGAGAAGCTGAACTCCGTCGATCTTGTGACGGACGCAGACGAGGGGGTAGAGAAACTCATCCGGTGTGTCCCTGAAAATTAGATGGTACCGAATCGTCTCCTTGCTGATGTTCGAATACAGAGAAGCTATCTTGAAAGAGTTCCCGGACCACGATGTGTGTACACCGTTCTTGTGCTAGTTACTCAGCAGTTCCGACCAGCGTGCAGTTCATCGGCGAAGAGTCCTACTCCGCAGGGCAGGAAAAGAGGTTTCTGCTGAAGGATGGGCCCACATGGATCGTGGACCCAATAGGCACGTCCAAAGCCCTATGGGTTATTTTCCGTCTACTTACGCGCCGTCGGCTAGATGGGACCGTCAACATGGTGCACATGTGTAGGCGCTCGAATTGCCTTATAATCCGGCCTCGATCTGATGCTCCTACAAGTCCCTATGACTGCAATCTCCATCGGATTCTGCCTGGAATCCATCCCCACCATCGGTGTCGTGTTCGCTCCCTTCCTTGGCGGCCAAGGTCCGAATCTACGCGTTTTATGGAGTAAGTACCCGCTGATTGGGTGCCAGGGACCCTGTACTCGGCGATCAGACATCCTGAAGGCGGCGCATGGATGTCCGAGTTTGGCCCGCAAGGTCCTCTGACGTCTCTTCCGCTTGTCTCTCCTGCCCCACCCCTACCGCCCGATGCACCGAAAGGGTTCGGTATCCCTTTGTCCTGCGTATCGGGCGAACGTTCAAGCTGCTTGCAGATGTCTCTTCTTCGGGGAGTACGGGAAGGACCGACGTGACCATCCCCAATCCAATCTCACGAAGAAGGCAGCCAATTTCGTGAACATGGCCACTGAGATTGGCGGGCGAGGCGGCAAGGGAGGAATGGTCCATGGCATTCGCAGCCTGGGAAGGTGTGTCTCCTTTCAGATAGGAATGCGCCCGGCTCTTACGCGTAGAAACAGCTCAACGATGGACATGGTGTATGTGGCCAGTGGCCAGGGAGATATCATGTTCGAAGGTGTGTACCTCAATCTTCTTCCTCTTGTCTTGTACTTACAATGATGAAGCCGGTTGTTGGGAATGGGTCTGAACTTCCTTATATGCTATTCCCGAGCCATCATTGACGCCTTAACAGGACGTTTGCGCCGGGATCGCTATTCTCTTACAAACAGGAGGCATCGTCGTTGACTCGAATCCTCCCGTCGGCCTGAAAGATACCGATCCCATTCCCATGGCCAATCTGGGAGGCAGGCGATACCTGGCTATCCGCGGATGTTCGCAAGATGCACAGGGTCGATCGGCAAGGGCTCAACAGGAAGCCCTGATTCGAACAGTCTGGAAGTCGACCGAACGGCTTGATTATCAGCGTCCTTCGTAGACATACAACACAAATCAGCCATGATAGGACATGGCATCTCTATCGAGGCTCATAACTCGCGCGTATTCCAGTATCAATCTGAACGTGGGTCAGACCCGAGGTATCTAGAAATCCATGACGACTGGAGACACACCGGTAGAAGTAAGCCACGAGATCCTCTCTCCGCCAAAAGGTTTTGCTCCAGATCCGGCCGGCAACAGCGATCCTGTGCGCCAGTTCTTCATGCGATCCAACTCCACCTGCATCGCCTCGGAAGAAGGTGAGCGCGTCGTGCAGATCTGAGAGGTCCAGCTGGACCGGAACATAATGGAGCCATGGCTGGATTCGGTCGATATACCTGGAGGCGTTAAATTTGAGCAAGTTTCTCAATGCGAAGACCGCCAAACGACCGACCATTCTGGATATATCGTAGACTTGAAAACCACCGCATTCGATGTGAGCAACCGCTTGAAGCGCCCGGACCAGCCATTTCCATCAGCGTCCATTACGTATTTATACTTCCCGGCCTGCCGAAGACTTTGCCATTCCCGCCACGGGAACAGCTCCTCCAACACTCTGCACGTCTTCTCATCGCACATGATGGGGGCCTGCGTGAACGCAACATCCATCAAGGCGGGGTTCACGTGAGCCTTCCTCGCTCGAACCGAGTGGCCGACGGGCGCTGCCGCTGCATCCGAGCCGACGGTGGGCGGCAGCAGTGCCAGGGTCCCCCGCAGGTCGTTGGCGGCGCGGACGAGATGGATGCGGTGCGAGTTGGCCCATCGCGTTTCGGCAGAGTAGCCCATGCCCGTGTTCCTGCCCCGCCAGAGCAGGCGCTCGTCTGGCTTGTCCGCCCACTCGGGATCATCCGACCGCGGATAGATGTCGTCGACCCAGCCATAGAGCGTGGGGATGCGGATGTTGTGGTGCAGCGTCGAAGTGCAGTGCGAGAACTCTGGGATCACCTCTTTCTGCGGCGTGGGACCCTTGCCATGAGAGAGGAATTGGCCATGTTGATAGAAGTGTCGTGGATGGAGACCTGTATCCAGCCACTCAGAGAAGGGCCCAGGAACGGAAACTCGGACTTACATGGGTCCATGGTTAGCCTGTGATCCCATACGAAGCTCTTCCCGGCCGACTTTTCCGGCAGCTCCCCATCGAGGTCGATGTCCTCTCGGGCAGCAGGGGCATCGGGACTGCAAGCAGCTTTCCAGCCGGAATGATAGATCGACGGAAACCCGTTGCGGCTCACATCTAAGCTCGCTCATTTGGTCAGTCGAAAATCGATAAACCAAGCACAACACGCTGACATCGACTTTCTGAAGCGGCTTTCAGAGCCGTCTGGAGCACACGATAGTCCGACATCTGGGGTCGATTCAATGTCAATGACCGCGGGGTGGACGATGGTGTGCCGACGCACCCGATTCGGGCCATCATGGGGCGAGAACACCGCCCTAAACGGCGGAAGAGATGCCGCGACATCGTTCAACAAATCGAGGATCCCCTCCGAGCTTTTCAAAAGTTCGTGGTAGCGGCTCGGTGTCAGCGACGTATTCAGCACCCGGACCCGATCCGTCTGCTCGGTCTTCCCAAGCGTGAACGAGTCGAACTTGCCCTCGAGTTCTTCGCGAATGACGCCGAGATCTCCGGGCGAGACTCCCCAGAACGGCTCCAAGTCGTGGTAGATCGTGTCGTATTCGTCTGGGAGCTGGACGTTGTTTTCCTGAACATAGATCCACCTGGCAGCAGGTGCATATTGGCAAAGTCCTGAGCGGGGATGCGAGGGCAAGGTGCTACTGACCAGTCGTCAAATCCTTTCGGAGGGCTGCGTTTGTATCTTCTCTTGTATTCCGCGACGGCCTGCGGGAAGTTGGTGCTGGCCCTGTCCCGCTTCGCTCGCCAGCTCTCTTCGGCGCTAGCAATGAGCTCAAAGATCGGATGTCCTCCTGCAGCAGATTATCCAGTCGATTCCGGACGATGGCAAGCGAACACACACCTTCCGGATTGACTTGGAGGAGACCGTTGTCTAGATACGTGTGCCGCCCGAGAGGGGCTGCTACTGGGAGTGGCAACTCCGGCACCAGGTGATTCTCAGCCAACGCGTCATCGTTCATAAACTCTACCAAATGTCTATTCCATGGCTCCAGAAGGTCCTGTAGCGGAGGCGAGAGATCCTTGGAGTAGAGGCCCAAAGCTACGATGATGCCTAGGATGAGTAGCAGTCGGAGAACGCGCTCCCGACGAGCTCGCATGACCGCTGAGAGACGCGGGCGATGATGAGACCCATGGGCGGCCGATTAAGCGCCGAAAAGACGACAGTGGGAGAGTTGGGAAGTATGTAGAAGAGTTCGGGGCAGATCCGAGAGATGCCGCAGCTTGGTCGATCTGAAATTCTGCATCCACTATACTTGCCACCGAGCCTCAGAGGAGAGCAAAGCAATCCTTTGAAGAGCTGCTGGACAAGTGAGGCATGTTTACTGGGAGACGGAACCAGGTTACGGGTGACGATGCGGAGATGAGTCGCGAACGGAGTCGCGTACGTAAATCACACGCACAGGCCCTCTTCCTCCCATTTTACTTACCTAAACACAACTTCCGACGCTCTTCCGACCCGATAACGAGGCCCTTCGGCACCATCATCCACGGCTTATCTGCGTGTCATCGCGCAAGAGTACACCGACGGCAAATATGCAAAGCAGCCTCAGATCGAGAAGACCCATAAATTAAAATATCATCATCACTGGTGCGGTGTGGAATCGAGTCACTTTTGAAAGCAAAGTTCCTCTGCGCCTCGTTGTCCTGTCCCATCGATCCGAACCTCGCTCTTCCCACCACCATGTCCAAGCCGACCCCGACCCCGACCACGACCGCGATCCTGCACCGTACGCCCTGGGTACCGCCCATCGCGGTCTCGGGCTCGGGACCCTACATCGAGCTGGACGACGGGCGCACGCTGCTCGACGCCGTCGGCGGGGCTGCCGTCGCGTGTCTGGGCAGCGGACACCCGGCCGTGAACAAGGCGCTGAAGGAACAGGTCGAGCGCATCTCGTGTACGCGTCGTGTCTCTCCTGAATGCGCCATCTGACGCCCCCCCCTCCGCAGACGTGTACAATATGCAGCTGTCGAACCAGCCGGCGGAGGAGCTGGCCAAATTCCTGATAGAGACCTCGAACGGGGCGTTTGAGCTCGTGGGGTACGCTTCCGGTGGTACGCCCCAACCGATCTCTCTCCCCGGAGGATCTAAGCTAAGCAACATATCGCGCAGGTACCGAGGCCATGGAGGGCGTCATCAAGCTGTCGCGGCAGTACTTCGTAGAGATCGGACAGCCCAAACGCACGAACTACATCGCGCGCCAGCTCTCGTACCACGGCAACTCCGTCGGCACGCTGTCCCTGGCGTACCACCCCGTCCGGCGCGCCCCGTACGCGGGCATCCTGGACACCGAGCACTTCCACCACGTGTCCCCCGCGTATGCGAAGCGGTTCATGAAGGCCGGCGAGAGCGAGGAGGAGTACGTCGAGCGGCTGCGCGCGGAGCTGGAGGCCAAGTTCATCGAGCTGGGTCCCGATACGGTCATCGGATGTGTGTTGTGCCCCGCCCTCCTCCTCTCACCTTGTCTTCTGATGCGCATGCACAGTCGTCGCAGAGACCGTCGTCGGCGCGACCACGGGCGTCCTGCCGGCGCCGAAAGGCTACTTCAAGGCGATGAAATCCGTGTGTGAGAAGTACGGCGCGCTCTTCATTCTCGACGAGGTGATGAGCGGGATGGGTCGCATGGGAACGCTGCATGCCTGGGAGTCGTTCGGAGACGGAGAATCGGTCAGTGACGGTGGCCTGCGGATGTGTGCTCTTTTCTGAATCTATTCACTCAGCCCGACATACAAGCTGTCGCAAAAGGTCTCGGCGGAGGGTAGGTGTAGTCGTCTGGACTTCGGAGTGATTTGCTGAACTTTTGCTCAGATATGCGGCCATTGGTGCTGTGCTTATGTCCGGCAAGATCGCCGCGGGTCTGCGTGCCGGATCCGGATTATGGGCGCACGGACACACGTATCAGGTGACCGCGCTCTAAACGCGTGGGGCGCGTCGCTAACGGCATCTCTCGCAGGGAAATCCTCTGGCCTGTGCAGCGGCTCTTGCGGTACAGAAAACGGTGAGGGATGACAATCTGCTCGAGAACTGCCGCAAGCAGGGAGCGTACCTGGGTGCGCCTTTCAGCCCGTGTCCCGATAGTCCTCGTCGCTGATAACCCGCCGCAGAAAAGCTGCTCAAGGAGCGGCTGCAGGGGCCGAACTCGCCTTCCGCGCCGTTCGTATTCGACATCCGCGGGGGAGGCGGCTTCTGGGGGATCGAGTTCGACTTTGACTGTCCCGAGGCGGCGGCGCTCGACTTTGGGGGCAAGAAGTTCGCGATGCTGGTGCAGGCCAAGGCGATGGAGAACGGGTTGGTCATCATGGGCATGACCGGGAACGCGAATCTCGCAGGGACCAAGGGCGATGTGATCTTACTTGCGCCGGCCTACAACATCACTGCCGAGCAGATCGAGGCGATCGTCAAGGGTTTTGGAGATTCGGTTGACGCGGTGCTCGCTGGCCATCAGTTGAAAAACTAGGATATAGTAAGTAAATATTGTACATATATTCAGGCTACCGACCACATTGTACACGCATATTCCCTTGGATGATCTATCTCACAACACCGCGCTGGGCGGTTCCTCGCACTCCGCCTTGATGCGCTTCGACACGCGATCCCAGAGCGTGCGCAGGCCAGCGATGCCCCGCGCGCCGTGCTCCTCGACACACTCGGGGCGGGAATCGGACAGACTGCGATTGAACACCTCGAGACTCCACCACGCGCCGTCGTCCTGTGGGCGGGTCGACGGGTAGCCCGCCTGCGTGATCGCGAGGCTCATGTCCACGACCGGCAGCCACGCGCCGCGGTCCTCCTCGCAGGGGAACAGCCGCGAGGCGCGGGACCAGGTCATCCGCGCCGGCGCCCGCGGGGCCGCCGGGATCGTCGCCGGGGGCTCGCACGGCGCGGCGCCGTCGGCGACCTGGTACAGGAAGATCTTGTGCGCCGGGATCGTGCGCGCCAGCACCGCGAGGTTCTGCAGCACCGCCTTGTGCGTCGGGTTGCTCCCCTCCCCGGCGAACGCAGCCGGGAGCGGGGGCCCCGCGGCGGGTATCGGCGTCGGCGAGATCGATTCTGGGGCGCGCAGGAACGTCGAGGGGACGGTCGGATCCGCGTACTCGTTGCCGAGCAGGTTGAACGAGTCGAGGATGATCCCGACGTTGTCCCGCCCCACGCGGCGCACGACGTCCCAGACCTGCTCCCAGTTGTCCACGACGGTCCCCCACGCCAGGCCCTCGTATCCGACGCGCACACCGTACCGGGCGGCGACTTTGCCCAGCTCCCGGAACGCGGCGACCTGCGTGTCCAGGTACTGATCCAACTGGGCCTGGGTCAGCGCCGGGTAGTACGTCGACGGCGCCGGACCGGGAGGAACAGTCCTCTCCGACGAGGCATGGCTGAAGCTGGGCAGCGGCGCCGTCTCCGGATCATACGGCGCATACGGGTGGTCCTCGGGCTCGATGAAGTTGGAGCAGACGAGGAGCAGATTGGTCTTCAGATGCGGCATGAGCCGGATATACCGCTCAGCCGCCGCCAGCGCAGCAGGGAGACCCCCGCCCCCAAGCGCGCGCGGGGAGTCGAAGTTCTCAAAGTTGCGCATCGGCTGGAAGACAGGGACACTCAATCCGTGGGCGGTGCACAGCGCCCCTATGGCTTTGGCGCACTCGATCTCGCGGTCGTCCGCGTCCGTCAGCGGGCGCGGCAGCAGGTCCTGGTGCCGGCCCTGCGCGACCTCCTCGACGAAGGCTTCGAAGTCCGGAACGAAGATCTCGACGCCGTCGTAGCCCTGCTCCGCCGCGACCCGGATCTTGGTCGGCAGATCGTGGTGGAGGTTGGTCCCCAGGGACAGGGTGGAGATGGCGAATTTGGGAGACATTGGTCGGCGGACGACTTGGGGACGCGTAGAGTTATTATAGTGATAAGCCAGGAAGTTTCTCCACGCGAAGTTCGGTGTCGTGGAAGTCATCATGGGGGATTCGGGCCCGGACGTCCGCTCAGGATGTTCCGAAGCTCTCCTTGAACTGATGGTCGTCGTCCCTTAAACAGCCAAGGAAAGGACGAGAGAGGGGTTCAAGTTCCACTGGGGGTTCCGTCATGGATTGTGACAATCGGCCCGCGATCAGGACTGATCAAGACATGTCAAGGCACGACCGGTCCGATGTATGTTTTCTTTCATGCAAAGTCAATCGCGAGTAGACGGTAGATAATTCGATACATTGCCTGCTCACCGTCTGTGGCCTGAGGCCACCGTGCGTCGCAGCCGTTCGCGGCCCACAATCGCTCCAGTTTCGTACCACGTCTCATGACACATCTCGTTAAACCTCTGAGACCCGGAGCTTGCATCCGACACGCGGAAATCGCTTCGGTCCTGCTGTCTGTCGCCTGCGCCCCACTCTCGTCGTTTAAGTTTAAGCAGCACAACAAGGTGGTGGGGATGAAAGAGCAGTCTAGCTTTATGTACTCGGTGATGGCGCGACGATCACCGCCGTCCAGACGGGGCTCATGCGCTCTGGAGGATATACAGTATCCAGACTTTCCGGCGCCTCGGGCGGAGTGACGTGACACGGAGTGGTATGCACGGCAGCGATCAATCGATAGCCCGTCGAGCACACCCAAGATGCCAATTCTCGGATCGCCCCGCAGGTTATTGCCAATCATCGTCGTCACATTCTCACGGTCTACGTTCCCATCGGACTCGGCTGCTCGGGGTTCTTAAATTCTCTGATCGAGGTGGGATGGGGCAGCGCTGGATCATATGTCGTCAGACTCAAAGCGTTCGAATTTCGAAGACGAGGACTGCGGCTTGGACTTGTGGACGGATATCTGGCTCCAGCGACGCCGTTTGCTCCCCCTCCCCCTCTTCCTTTCCCTTCAAAGGTCGTTTCTCCGGCTCTGTGGGACGCCGCTCCAATGATCCTGTTCGATCTCTCTCGAGTCTATCTTCACGAACATCTCCCCCATCTCTATGCACACCTGCTCCCTCTCTCCATCAAGTTGCTTCACGGCGGTGGACAAACTCTACAAGCGTACCACTGGCCCTCGCCCCGCCGCCCTCCTCGTAATCGCCCGCAAGTAAAGGACACACGCACATCTTTGTGTACGGCCGACTCAGACACCGGGAGACGTGTCATCGGCTGGCTGAAATACGGTGCCTTGTCTCTGCAGCTTCAGCTTCAGCAGCCTCCTGCGGTAGAATCCCTTTCGCCTGTGGAGTCCCTGGCTGGAGGGGCATGCGGTCCCCTTTGTGCTTAAATCCCTGGTAGCTTGCTTGCCCAGCTTTCCAGTCTCACTCGGAGCGGTTCTCCTTTGACTTGGTTCTCGAGTGATTCTGGCCGTGTAGAGTCTTTGTCTCTGGTGAGAGAGACCAGCGACGGACTGGCAGCCATACTAGTACTGTAGCACAATGTTTCTACCGTATCCCCAGAGCCTGAGCGGTCAATTACTTTGTGACAGGTGACGTGACAGAGGACGCGATCACGTGCTTTCAGCGAGAGTGCAATCAATTATCCATGGCCGTGCCACTTCAGACAGAATTTAGGCAGATATGCAGTACAAGGTCAAAAATGCACACAGAATAGAGTGCGATAACAGGGGTCGGAAATCAATCTTGAGATCCGGAACCATCATGGTTTCCCTGGGCCATAATGCTCCTCGGGAAGCCGGCGTGCATGGCAAGGTGGCCGAGCGGTCTAAGGCGCTAGTTTCAGGTCTAGCATTCCAGGAATGCGGTTCTACTAGTCAGAAATGGCGCGAGTTCGAATCTCGCCCTTGTCAAGCGATGCTTTTGCACCGATTATATCTCATCTGATTGTGCGCCGGCTCAACCCTTCCGGTCGTGACACGCAGACATGACGAGGGATTGGTCGTTGGACCGTGGTGCTCTGCTCGATGGTGGTCTGATCGCTCCGTGGTGGGGCTTAGCTTTCTTGACCGAGTATCTGTGAGACAAAAGAACAGGGTTCTTCAGACTCTGTGTCTCATCGTATCGCCCCGTCTTCTGCCGGCTAATCAGTGAGTGTGCCATATGATCCAAGAGCGAGGGCGATGACTTGCTTCATTCCCGTGGCGCAGCACGCCGCTCGGGTAGTACTCATTAATTTACGGTGGCTGTCACTTCACGAAGCTTGTTGGTCGGCGTGCGTTAATTATATTTTCAGGACTTGCCTGCAGGCAAGCGGATAACTCCCACGGATTATGCTATGTACGATTTGACTGTCACTCGGGACAGCGATCGCTATGTTGATACCCGATCCCATTAGATTTTCTTCTCTGGCAATTTGAGCTCGAGTGCCCCAGATTGCCGGCGTTGAACGGCTGATCGCTTGAACTGTGGCATCAAATCCACAAGTCCAACCGTGCGAAAGTCTTAGTCATCTCTCCGCTTGGCGGACAGGAGCGGATGCTAGATAGGCAACTTGACTGCGACAATCACTGCCAGGCACTGCGTAATGCACACAATCGAAGTGCGGGGAACGCACGACGGAAATTAAACGCTTACGAACTGCTTTGTGGGACACCATACTTGGTGTAAAGCTGGGTCCAGGCCTTGGATTACTAAACATGTTCAGCGAAGTAGGCGCGCGTTGATTCTTGGGCGCCAATCGCATCTGCGATCCGTTGAAAAATCCGCATTTTCAGGTTTCAGAATCAGCTTTACCGATAGTCCTACCGATCCATGTCCGCCACCGCCGTGCTCGTCGATTCCCTCGCGCTGCTCATTCAATGCATCGACGATGTCAAGTCCAGCGCGTCCATCGCCGTGGACGCCGAAGGACTTGATCTCTGTCGCTGGGGGACTCTGTGTCTCCTCCAGCTCAAAGCCGTCGAAAGCCGCATCTGCTGGGTCGTCGACGTCGTGGCGCTGGGGAGCCAGGCTTTTTCCGCTGCCGGACGTCGCGGGACCACGCTCAAGGACGTTCTCGAAAGCACAGATGTGAAAAAGGTGACTCCCCCACTCCTTCAGCGTCACATCCGGTCCTGAGCCGTCTGCTTAGATCTTCTTCGACGTACGGAACGATTCGGATGCGCTGTTCAACCAGTTCGGCATCGCGCTGCAGTACGTGTACGATCTGCAGCTGCTCGAGCTGGCCGTGCGCTCGTGCCACGTGCCGCAGAACCACCTTAAGGGCCTCGCCAACAGTCTCGACACGTACCTCGCGCCTCTCAAATCCGCCGCGACCGTGCGCGAGTGGATGCGGATCAAGCAGGGCGGGAAGCGCCGCTTTTCACCGGAGGACGGGGGCCGGTACGAGGTGTTCCAGGAGCGCCCGCTGCCCGGCGATCTTCTGGAGTACTGCGCGCAGGACGTCGCGCTCCTCCATGAGCTCGAGGACGTCTTGCGTGGGTGGCTCGGCTCGAGGCGCGATGCCGACTGGGAGTCGAGGATCTATGCAGAGTCGGTCGTTCGCGTGGGATTATCGCGCAGCGCGTCATATGTTCCAAAGGGCCGACACATGGCTCTTGCGCCGACTCGGTGGTGATCGAGGTTAGAGAAGAATTCTGTGCTTATATATCATGAATGTTTGAACTATGAGAAAGCGTTATGTGCTAGAGCAGAGATCAGACTCACTCGCCACTTGCAACTTGTTCCGAGGGTATCCAGCTCTGGGAGTGGCTTCCTCTAGCCCTCTTCTCATGTCAGTGGTCGTGGCAAATATTCGAAACTCCATCGCTGAATTCAGTACCAGTAGATAGAATGAGAAACGACACGATGCTACGTGTGGAGCAATTCGCTGTTTTCGACGTCCCTCTCGAGCTGTTCTTCAAGCCACGCCCAAAGGAACGCCCCATTCTTCGGATCTTCAACGTCAGGGCGAGGCCGTCCGATCCGGCCCCACGGCGCGACATACTGGAATCGGGCTCGGTGGTCTGCCTCGTATCTCTCTAAAGTATGCGGACACGCACTTTCCCATTCAGATCTCCAGCCTCGGTTGCCGTGCCTGCCCACAGTTGCGAGATTGATCCCCAAGCGGGAGGATGGATGAGGGTCATCCTCTGCGTTGGCGTGATTAGCGCGACCAGTCCGAGTTTGTGCCCGCTCGGACAAGATGTATACGCACCGAGAGCAGGGTGAGTGTTCCCTTCGTCCCATGAGATATGTCGGTTTTTAGGTTGCCTGGTTTATGTGGGGTTTGTTCATACTGAAAGAGCTATGACACACGAACCGGGATTGACCGCTACGGAGACAATACCCTGGTCTCCGTATCTTCGGGCTAGCTCCATTGCAAACACTGCGTCTGCCTCAAGGATCGATCAGTCGACCTCTTGAAACAAGTCCGACGGCAAGCTTACCCATTTACTCTGTGCGTACAGATCAAACGGTGTCCTCTTTCGGCGCAGCGCGCCATCTTTGAAGCTCGCATAGTCCACCGACGCCACATAATGAGCCATGGACGTCATCGTGATTATCCGTGTGCTGGAGCCATCTTTGCTTGCAGTCGAGATCATGGCCGGCAAGAGAAGTTTCGTGAGATAGAAGTGGCCTAAGTACAGGGTGACTTCAAGGCAATGGGCTAATGCGACAGGAGCCACCTACCCAGTACATTAGTCGCAAACGTGAGGTCGTAGCCGGTTGACGTTGCTGCTTCGATGGGAGGAGCCATAATCCCGCTGACCAAACGCAAGTCGAGGATCCGCTCGTGAGATATAGCGATGATCCAGCTCACCCATTGTTATACAGGATGTGCAGCAGAGTCCCTTTTCTGACCAGTCTCAGTGGACCTGCCCTCATCACAGTGACATGTGATCACCAGCACCTACCGAAGGAATTCCTCCGCGGCTCGTTTCACGCTCCCCAGGTCCGCAAGATCGAGTTCCAAGAAAATCGCGCGCTTGCCTGTAGTTTCAAACAACTCTTGTATCGCAGCCTCAGCCTTGCTCGCGTTTCGGGACGCCATGTACACCGTCGCGTTCCATGTCAGCAGTACCTAGCAGTGGTATTGGCTGCCCCGCTCGTGTGCAACGAATCAATACCTGCTTTGACAGTCTCCTTCCCGATGCCGGCATTTCCACCCGTCACAACAACCGTCTTCCCGCTCATGTCTGGCATGTCGCGAGCAGGATCCCAGGTGGGCTGGCCGCAGAAGTAGGACTGGCTGACGAGTTCATAGGTGTTTCGTGGGCTCAGATGGCGGATGGAGAAGGGGACGACATTCCCCATCGTTCACGGAGACGAATGGCTCGAGAGTTCGGTAAGAAGAGCAGGCATGCTTCTGATACGTTCGACTTTCACATGTCCGACGGCCTAGTTCTTTGCGTATTGCGTCACGGTGGCTGTGACGCATGGGAGTGAGCTCTGGCGGCCGCGTTCGGGGCCCATCGGACTGGCGCGTTTTCCATCACCCCCATGACTGCATCTTGCAAGCTCAGCGACAAATTGCGAGATCGAATGTGACAGACGTGGACGAGCTCAAGTTTCCGATCCTCATTCTGGCGGTCCCGACGCTACTAAGTAGTACTCATTCCCGAGCTCGCTCTTGCTGCTGCAACGGCCCGGTCCTGCATACAGCAGCCACAGTGGCGCTCTCAGCCTGCCCAATTCACTCCACTCGCCCCCAGGCTCTGCCTGAATAGAGCGGCTCTTCGGCCGATTGTGCCGAGCTAGACTATAAATGCGAAATCTATTGCTTGCACCGGCTCATTTGGACCATGTCCACTCTGCTCCCTGCTTCCACCCGCCTGCGCCAGCTCATCAGCCGTGAAGGGGAGATCGTGGTGCTGCCTGGTGTCTATGATGGGATCTCTGCCCGGGTCGCGCTGAGCGAGGGTTTTGAAGGTCTGTACATGACCGGTAAGTCAAGTTGCCTGATCACAAGAGACATCACTGGGGCTGACCTTGAAATGAGGTGCCGGGACAAGTGCAAGCGCTCTGGGACAACCTGACCTCGGGGTGACTGGTCTTCGCTATCCGCTGATGATGTCTTCTCAATCTTTAGATAGCTTGTGACTCTCAACGATATGGTTATGAATGCGTCAATGATCGCAGGTCTGCAGCCCGGTGTGCCGGTGATCGCTGATGCAGACACGGGATTCGGAGGGGCGGCAATGTGCGCGAGGACGACAGCTTTATATGCTCGTGCAGGCATAGCTGGTTTCCACATCGAGGATCAAGTCCAGCAGAAGGTACGCTCAATGTCCACCGCTGATGGGATTCGTGTTCACTTCCAAACCCAGCGCTGCGGCCATTTGCGCAACAAGCAACTAGTTCCCCTGCCAGATTACTTGACTCGCATCCGGGCTTGCGTCCAATCACGCGCACGGTTGCAATCAGACATCCTCATCATCGCCCGTACCGACGCAGTTCTCTCCGAGGGACTCGCGCATGCGCTTGAGCGCTGCAAGGCAGCCTTGGATCTGGGCGCCGACGTTGCCTTTGTCGAAGGATTGCGGTCACGTGCAGAGGCCGAAGAGGCAATCCGCTTTCTGGCGCCAGCACCCGTCTTGCTCAACCTCGCGACGAACGGCGTCACACCGAACTGGACTGTCAGGGAAGCGCGCGAGATGGGCTTCAAGCTCGTCATCTTTCCGTGCGCTGGGATGATTCCCGCTGCATTGGCTGTGCGCAAAGCTTACAGAGAGATTCGGGAGCAGGGAACGGACGCCAGCAGCTGTGAAGGGGTCGGCCCCAAAGGTTTCTTCGAGATGGTCGGCTTGGACGAGGTCCGTTCGATTTTCAGCAGTCGGTTTCCCTCGATCTGAGATGCATGCAGGTCCTCGCCCTCGATGCCGAAGCCGGGGGCAACGTTACGTTGGATTGAATAACGAACGGCAGTTGAGTCCATATCCTTATCTCGGGCTCGCTGCTTTCGCGTGGTAAGAAACGTAGGTAGACCACCTCGCACGTTATGTGTTCCCGGAGACTTGATTCTCGCACACGACGACCCGTCAGAGCTGGAATCTGATAGAGATAACACGCTCCTCCCGAATCCCGGTTGGCAGGCGGTGATCAGATGGAAGGATTTCACATGAGTTTCGGTTTGACACCCGACGATGCGTGCCACGCCCTTGCGGGGCGGACTATGACGATCTGTCATCATGCGCGCTGTGTGGGCACGGGCAGTCGCTACCGATAGTCTAAGCGAGGGGACGGGGAGGCCAGGAAGGGTCGAGCTCGGACTCGGTCTGCACTGGTTACCGGCAGAATATTGGAGAGCGCGCCAACTGGTCTTTGTTGTGGCAACGTCAATCCGCAACGAGGAGGGCGCACGGCATGGACGCCACCACATTTGAACGCCCGATGAATCCCATTGGGCACGAATAAGGAGGCTTAAAGAGTTTATCGATATTGCCACGCCCGTTGCACCTCTGCATCGGTGGAGATCCTATGAGATCGGGAGGCCGATCGCATTGCCACGGCCACGGAAGCAAACTTCAATCCGTTTTTGCCTCCGCGGGAAGATTCCAGATGCCATCCAGATTCAAAAACACGCATAACATTGCGTGAGCACCAGATGCGTCAGCGCCTTAAACGAGATGAATGACTCCAAGTGGATAGCTGACAATGGCTAAGCAAAAAATATCCGTCATGAGCCAGTAGGTTCGACAGCATTCCAGAGGCTGGGCCGCGCAGATACAGATCATGTCCAGCCCCGCTACCCTCGGTGGATTGGCGTCAGCAACGACAGCGACAAGAGGCAAGTAGGCAAGTTTCAAGGTTCTGCGGTGCTGCCTTGGGCAAAGGGCATTCCAGCCATCACTTCGGTGTGATCGGCTAAGTAGCACGAGGCTCTCACCTCTCGTACTCATCTACGCGATATCTGCGTATTTTGTACGACTTTACAGTGCAGACGCGGCCTCAGGTGAACGCTCTAGAAGGTGCAAGTGCAGGGACTCGGTGGATAGGTCAGCCGACCGAGTCAAAGCGCCCGATTCGTCAGCCTCGGAGTTTTCAGCTGCTTTCCTTTTTAGCGTATCCCCGATCATTAAATATATAACTCATGATCGCGACACACTAACCGAGATTTGCCCTTGCCCTTTCAATTCTTTTTTCTTTCTGCTCGTCGAGGGCGTCAGGCTGGTCTATGCTGACCCTCACCCCAGGCTCGTCCTGCGACGTTTGCGCAGATGAATACGGGCCCCATTGTCTCCCCCATTCTATCCCGTGTGGTACGCCACCGCCAATCTCTCCATTTTTTGAGGTTTTCTCACTGCGAGGCGGATGCCACTTTTTTTTTCAGGCCATGTTCTTTGCGCCAGCTGCTGCAACAACATCGCCCAAAAGACCTCCCGCGCCTCTCCTGCCTGCCCTTTCTGCAGAGAAACCTTCAACACCGATGCCGTCCGCCTTATTCGAATGGACTTCAATACAAGTGGGTGGACGACCCCCCGGCGAGTTCCCGACATAGCAGCCCCCGCGCCGGACTTGATGACGGATGCCTGGCTGAAGAGGCTCATGCAGCCGGATGGCTCTTCTCGTTCACGTCAGGACGCTCGCAAGCTCGAGGCTAAGGTTGCGAAGGTCGCTGGGAAAAGATGTTCCGTAGAGGAAGTTACTGCGCTCCACAATGAACTGCAAGATTGGCTCATGAACGAGACCAAGCCAGAAGACGATGTCAGTTCCTCTTTTCCACTCTTTTTTCATGTCGCCGTCTGTTACCCGCTCCCCATCTTTTTTCGTCTCCTTCGTCTGCGACATCATCACTGATATGTCTGTCCTACACAGATCTCGGCCTTGACACTCAGTGCTGCCCTCCTCCGCGCTATTCTTATGAACCATGTCGCACACTCGGATGCTAGCCGCAACTCTAAAATGGTCGAAGCCACAATGAAGGCACGGCTCGACGAGCTGGAGGCTGCAAATAATAGACTGGATGCCGAATTAAAGCGGTATGCCATCTTTTCTATCCCGATGACTCGTCCTGACTCTTTTTTCTTCTTTTTTCTTCTTTCTCTTCCGCTGTGCCGATAGACAAGTGAGTCATGATACTGCGGCCCATTGTTCTCATGCTGACCGCATGCTTTCCTCACAGCGTGCCGCTTACAACCAAAAGATACAGGAATGCCAGGGTCTGCGGCAGGAGCTGGCTCGGCTCAAGGTGGTGCCCAGCACACCCTCCTCACCGCCGATGCCGACCTCCGTCATGCCTGAACCCAATCGTCACCGATCACCATCCCCACCACCTGTGCGATCTCCGTATAGCTCCCCGCCACCGACGATGCCGCGCTATGGCACCCACATGCGGACATCATCGATCTCTTCCGCCTCGCAATATGCGACGCGGCCCACCACGCCTTCTCCCGCCCATCAGAGATCGCAAACCCCAGGACCTCTTTCGTCCGCTTCAGCCGCAGCAGCGCGTGCACAGACACCCGCTGCTCGTTCTCAGACGCCCGGGCCCAATATGCTAGCCCGCGCGAGCAGTGTGCGGATGGAGGTCTCGCCGACCCGATCCGCCACTCCCGCACCCAATCTAGCGTCGTCGATTCCCCGCCCGATGTCTCGTGCGGGCGCCACGACGCCAACCCAAACACGGCATACTTCGCTGAGCGCGCGTTCCAAGACGCCTGCGCCGGTTGCGCCGATGCAAATGGCTCCGCAGCGTCAGCGACGCATGTCACAGCCCGTACCACCCCCTGTCATTGTCCCGAGCATCACTCGCTCGATCAGCGACGAAAAACACGACGCGCAGATGTTCGCGCTGTGGAAGCCGAACACACGACCGAACTCGCCCGACGAAATCAAAAAGTTCCACCACTCGTCTAGCCGATCACCGTCACGTAATGGCCCTGCTATGCACGGCTTCCGCCTGTCGGTTGAGGATGACTACTGATCTGCGAGCGCTAGGCTTGCTAATCCATGACCGCAAACGATACCCCGATGACCCTGACTGACCTTTCACGATTACGCCCTTTGACGCTTGCCCCACGCTTGAATTACGCTCTGACTACGACTCTGCCGCCCCGGCTCCGAAACCCGTTCTGTTCTATATCACGCTGATGACCATTTTTTATCCTCCCTGCTTCCGATCTCGGAAGCCTGCATGCCCTTTGTAGCCACCTTCTCACCTCGGATACCATTGCACGTACATACCAGCCATTTGACACTTGTTTATCGAACACACCCGGGCTCCTTCGTTTTCCCACGGCCCTGCGGTGGATCAGACACTCTCCGTTTATTCTTTATCTGTCACGTATATTCCCGGACTCCTTGTAGCATCTAGTTCATATAGACGACCCGCACGTATTTATCGGGCTGCGCCTGTTAGCCGGCCCAGTCCCCCGAAAGTACCATACCTTCACCTAGCACATAATTCGCTCGGAATGCATCTTCTTTTTTACTCCAGACTGCCAGGCCTTATCGCTGGACGCATGTTCGCAATGAATGAATGAATGAATGAGACAGCAAGCACGGAGCTGCGTGCAACTGGAGTGGAGTTTGGCTATCGAATTCTCCAGCACAGCTTACATATCGGCACGGGAACGTGCAAATCGTCCGCCTTGGGAATTTCATTACGCGGAAGAACATGCGAGATCCACCGGACAGAGCATGAGTAATCTGTTGCTGCATTCGGGTTTTACATAAACTCTACATTGTATTCGTTGTTTGTTTGCTGGAAGGGTCAAGCAGTGAGATTGCCCTGCGCGACACAAGGATAAGCTCGGTAGAGATTCCACTCGCGAGACTCTTCCAGCGAAGCTTTATCGCCAGGGTTGAAAGCAGCAGCCCAGGCAGCCGATCGGGCGATGGACGCAGAGAGCAATTCTGCGAGAGAAGACTTGTCAGACGCCCCACCCACGAAGAACTGACTGCAAACACGTACCATGGACTGCCAAGTACTTGGGAACCACCTGGGCGTCCGGACCTTCGGGCACCGCCAAACCCGATTTCAGGTTATCGATGCACTTGTACGTGCGCGATCGCACCCAGCCGTCGACACCCTTGAGCGACGCAAACAGATCCTGCGACCACGCGCCGAACGCGGCCTCGTCGCCTGGGAAGTTCACCGAGTGGGTCACGAGATACTGCGTCGGGTTCTCGGGTTTGTACGACGTGGTGAGTGCGGACTCCCCCGAGTCCGCGACGAGCTCGTACGTGCGGCGATCGAGGATCGCCAGGCGCTTCACGAGTTCGCCTTCGCGGGGGCTGCGGTTGGCACGTAAGCGGGTGTAGCTCTCGTGCTTGAACGTCGCGGTATCGTCGATATCGTACACAGCCAGCCATGTGGGCGTGAGATCATCCGCGGCAGAGAAGCGTGCCCCGGTAAGGAAAGACGGCAGGTGATTCAGGCGCAGCGGAACGTGCTCGTTGTTGTACCAGTCTATTGCGCGGAAGATGTGAAGGGCATCGCAGCTGGAACGAGAGGCAGCATGTCCCTACCTTGGAACTCATCGAGAGTCACCTTGGGCCCTGGCAAAGACGTAACTAAGAGAAATCCGGGCGGCATAGTGGTTCAGAAGAAAGTCGACTCCTCTTGGGAGCCCCGGCCCTTTGTAAGAACGATGAGACTTCGATCGGATCAAACGGACCGAAGTTTCAAAGGCTAGATTAGATAATTTCTGTCTTCGCTCGCAGTCTCGTAGCAAGTTTTATAATTCGAGTGCGATGATAGGTTCGGGTGAAGGGTCCTCCCGATTTTTCAGAGGCTCAACTTCTGGGCATCAATGCAAACATATGCTTTTTGGATTCTCGAAGGAAGATCTTCTTCACGTGATCTCAGGGTACACGATCACATGTCTCGGACGCGGAGGCACGGCGACGTGATACGATCTTGCGCATGAAGGACAAGAAGCTTGCTTTTCGTCACATTCTTTGCGTACCTTTGTCTGTAGCTTTCCATGTGTGCAAACTTGAACCTGAAGTTACGCGGTAATGATCGCATCAGAACGTAGTGTTTGACTTTGATCTCATTTCCTTCCTTTCCACCATCACTACCCCACCCCGCACGATGGGGATTCCATTCTCTTTTGCCAGAATGACTCCCAGGAACATATGGGATATGTATCGCCAGTCATACTTCCTCGGCGAACCTGGCTGGAATGAAAGTGACATGCCTGATCTTGAGGGTCAGGTTGCTATTGTCACTGGGGCGAATGCGGGACTCGGGAAGGAAACTGCTCGGGCTAGTAGCAGAAACTTGTAGCGTGTCATCTGAAGCTGATTCTCATCTCTCTCCAAAGGTATTGCTCGAGCACAACGCTACTGTCTATATGGCTTGTCGCAGTCGCGCGAAAGCACAAGATGCCATCGCAGAGCTGCTCCGAGTGACAGGAAAAGAAGCGGTTTTCCTAGAATGTGATCTATCTAGTCTCTCTTCCATCAAGGCTGCTACCGAGCAGTTTCTAAGGTCTGTTCAATGTGCGCAAGTTTGTCTCATAGACCGAGGCGCAATCTCCATCTAGCAAGGAGTCCCGTCTCCACATCCTCTACAATAACGGGTGAGTGTTTAGATAATCGTCAGAAAATTCGGAAATAACCTTTTCAGCGGTGTTATGGTCCCTCCCATTGAATTAGTGACACCGGAAGGCTACGATCTTACCTTTGGCACGAATGTTCTGGGTACGCCAGTCCAGCGACAGACGATCGATGTCTGACTGCACCCAGGTCATTTCTACCTGACGAAACTCCTGCTTCCGGCCCTTGAAGCCGCGGCTGCGTCGACACCTGGAACAGGCCGTGTTCTGAACTTGACCTCGATGATCCACTACGCTGCCGTCATCAACTACGCGTCGTTCAAAGACGGCCCAGTCCGCAGAAAATCGCATCCATCAGATCTATATGCGCAGAGCAAATGGGTATTTCGCACGTGTCCTCGGAGATGATGCCCTGTTTCCCTAAGCTCCTCGCTCACAGGGCACAGCCGTCTTTTCCGCAGAACTGGCAAGGAGATATGCTGACAGGGGGATTGTTTCTGTGTCTATTAACCCAGGTTCGCACTCAATTTGGCCGCATGGCAATGTTGAACGTTCCTCACATAGGTAATCTAAGAACGGACCTTGCCAAAGATGCTACTGGCATGGCACGCTTGGGCACGGCTAGTCACATCCTGGGCGAATTCATGCTTGTGGCTGACAGTGTATCTTTCATAGAATATCCTTATGATCCGACCCGTGAAATGGGGTGTGCTCTCCCAGCTGTGGGCGGGCACTTCCGAAGAAGGAGCGCAATTGAACGGAAAAGTAAGACGTGCCCTGGTTTTGTTTCCTCTGCTATGTTTTGACCGTCGATTTTCAGTATGTTTCGCCATGGGCCAAAGTGAACCATGCACGTGCTGATGTCGATGATCCTCAATCCGGCTCGGAGCTCTGGGCCTGGTTGGAAGAGCAGGTGGCGCGGGCATCATTATCCTAGACAGCTCGTACCTCGGCAGTGTAGCCAGCTAGTGCGTCGTATGTACTTGTCGCACGTCAACCTGTCAACAGACCATCGCGCTGTGCGACGACACCTGCCCTGGCTGCGCTCCTCCCTCTTCCATGACCTCACTTCAGAGTCCCCCGACGTATTTGCAGACGAGCCCGGATGAGCTCCCGGCGTACGGGCAGCTCCAGGAGCCCTCTCAGGCCACGGTACGGAGTCTGCTCAGACTGCGCCAATTACAATTTCTCGACCGACTGACATGTTTGCGCAGTCTGGTAACCCGCTCGCAGATCCTAATCCCAAGGAGTACACTTTTGATATACGAAACTACTGGAGCAAACCCTCCGCGACGCTCACGATCCTAGCGCACTCAAAGCTCAGCGTCAGCGCGCCGGTGTTCGTAGCCGGCTCCGCGATCTCCGGAAGTTTTAAGCTCTTTGCTCGCTCGCCCGATCCCGTCAAGGCGATCACGCTCCAAGTGGGTTGCTCTCGGGTGATCGGCGCGCGCGCGCGCAACAGTTGGGCGGCTGATTGCTCTGCGGCAGATCCGGGGCGACCTCTGTACTTCCGGCGAGCCGGTCCAGCGCTCGAATTTCCTGAACGTGAAAAAGGTGCTCTGGGATCCGTCCATGGGGGATCCGTCCGCGCCGGGTCCCGGAGCCGGGGGCCCCGAGCGGGACAAGAAACTCAAAGGGGACTATGAATGGAAATTCGCCATTCCGACGCAAGAGCTCGTCGTGGCTGGCGCCGAAGAGGGGCAGCAGCCTTATCGCATGCCGCACACCTTCAAAGAGCGCTTTTCGCGGGCAGCGATTGATTACTATCTCGTGCTCCTGATCGAGAGGAAGGGGAAATTCCAATCGAATGACCGGTGAGTCCGAGTCCCGCTCGACCGGTGTGTCAGGACGTCCTCATCTTCAATATCGACCCCAGGATTGTGGCGCATTTCAACTATTTTACGACTGATCGGCCAGCTCGGCCTTCTCCAAGGCGCGAGCTTGCGTATAGGAATGGGACGACAGCTCCAGGGCCTTTCGAAGATCCAGATGGATGGCGAGCACTGGATCCGGTGGAATTCCGGGGGACGTTATTCGGAGAACGCGCGATCGCGGTGAAATGCAGCGTGCGCACCTCTAATACCGCTTCCAAGGTCCATCTGATTCGTATCGCACGCACAGGTATACATTGCCAAACCTGTGCGTGACAAGATTGCGGTTGATCTGAACTGCTGTTTCCAAGTCTGAACTCGATCATGTGATAGTTCACTTACACCCGCAGCACGGCTATTCCGTGTGCGATGACGATTGAGACCGCGGACCGACAGGCAGCGGACGTGTTTGCGTCCATCAAGTCGTCCGGTGTGCATCTCCAGCGCTGTGTCCGGTGCACATACGAGGTGTCGAGCAGCGAGGTCGAGGCGCTGGGCCAGGTCGTGTGGTCGCCAGCACCGGTCGCTGCAGACGAGTCCGTGTCCGTGACGGGGGGAAACCACGTCCGGCATCTGGTGGGTGAGATCGCTCTCAGCAAGGATCTGTCGCCCTCGGGCAAAATCCGGTACTTCAGCCTGGAGGTAAGTACGAGCGAATGCCTCTACACGGTTTTTATCTTGATTTTCTCTTCGATATAGTACGCCATCGTCATCACGCCTCCGAATGCCGTTGCTTTCAAGCCGGATGATTCGAAGCCTCGAGGTCTCTTCCCGGTTGAGATAGTCACGACTTTTGCGCCTGGCCCGCGGCCAAGGGTGTCCTCGCCGCCTGCATATCCGGTTCCTGGCTCGGGAGGCACTGGGCGCTTTGACAGACTGGACACAGTCCGAATTTTTTGAGCGCGTAGTCTACTGTAAATATAATTGCATGTACCCAACAATCGCATGAAATTCAACTCTCCTGTTTACATTCTGCGGCAAACACCGGACGCATCAGTGACGCGTCACACAAGCGACGGCGATGACATCAGCTTGAGAGCAACAGCGATCAAGCACCGACTCAGACCACCACTACCACCACCAAGTACGCCCGCCATGTCTCTCGTACGTTCCCGCCTGCACCCCTGCGAAACCGACGGTACTGAAGCTGGGCTAATCCCCCAAGATACACGCATTGGTCGCACGCGGCTCGACGATTCTTGCCGAGCATCAAGCGGGCAAGCGAAATTTCTCGCAAGGTGCGTAGTGACGCCTGCGCGGGGAGGGGGGTGAGCTCACACAAAACTAACGCGTCTCTTTTGCGAACGCAGCCACGGAGAAGATCCTCTCGAAGATCCCGCCCAATGACAGGTAAGCGTCGTCTCCGAGTGTGGGATCGTCATCATGTGCGCGCGCGGCCTGAGCAAGTGGCACAGCAAGCTCACGTACGTCTGGGAGGAGTTTCTGTTCCACTATATCTCCGAGGGCGGCTTCACGTATCTCGTCATGGCGGACGATTCGGCTGGACGGTGCGTGCCCCCGGTGTTTCGGTTGTTCGCTTGCGCTGAGGCCGCTGCTATCAGGCGCATGCCTTTCGCGTTTCTGGCTGACCTGCAGAGGAAGGTGCGGCCTCGCTTGTCGTGCTCGGGTATCCCTCTCTCTTCGCGAAGCTGATCATGATATCATTGTGCATGTGCATGTGTAGTTCTTGGGAGCCCCGTCGTCCGCATCGCTCGACACGCCCGTGCACGGCCTGCAAGGCTCGTTCGGGCCGACCATCGCTGACCTGATGAACACGTACAACACGTCCCCGCCCGCCGACGAGCTGTCGCGCGCGCAGAACGAGCTGAATCAGGTGAAGAACATCATGGTGCAGAACGTCGAGCAAATTCTCAGCCGCGGGGAGCGCATTGAGCTGCTGGTGGACAAGACCGACGTCATGGCCGGTCAGGCGACCGCGTTCCGGAGAGGAGCGCGAACAGTCCGGCGACAGATGTGGTGGCGCAACTCGAAGATCACGGCGCTGTGTGTTTTGGTCGCTTTGGTGAGCACGCGTCGCTTAGAGAGAGACGATGTATTTCTGACGCGCTTGGATAGATCTTCCTGTGGATTCTGGTCGCGCAGTTCTGTGGAGCGGGTCTTAACCAGTGTGGCTCCAAGAAGGGCTAGATCGGCAGCGATGACGTCCCTCGTCTGCTGCTGCTGTATCATCTATCCTACGATATCATGTCATATTTCGTCGCTCTCCATCCATTCTTCATGCGGTCCTGTCTGTCTCGCCACTTTCCGGGATCGTTCCTCTCTCCACCGGCAACTTCCAGAGGACAATGGCGAAAGAGATCACGATGTCCCGGGATTTCTGTGCTAGCGTCTTCTCAATCTATCAACACAACACAAGCCCTCGGGTAGTGCAGCCATTGGTGCGCCGGTGCTGCGTTGCGTTGTTTCAGGAAGATCGGGAATTTCCTATCGTTCGTGATTTCTTTCCGGATATTTTTGGCCTCTCGTGTCTTGTGGGGATCTCCGTGGCCTGTTTATCGCTGTGCCCCCGACACAATCGTGTCCGTTTGCGCAGGCTGGATCGTCTACGAGATTCATCCATCCCGCATCGCAGCCGGATGCGCGATCGCAAACTTTCCGTTCCCCCGGGCTGGCTTGGACATACGGGGCGGCTTCCTGATTGGGCAGGATCTGTGGCAGGTTGTGGTGGTCTTCCCCCCGGAAAGCTTGTTATTCTGGGCTGCGATCCGGGTGCGTGGGGCTGGCTGGCTGGCCGGCTACTAGACAGACGGACAGTCGCGGCGGCGCCGGTGAGCAGGCGCCACACGCTGTTGTGTTTCTCCGTGCGAGTGTGAGCGTGAGGCAATGCAATGCAAGGCTGCTGCTGCGCACGTTCGATGGATGGATGGACCTGGGCCAGACGTTTCTTCCCTTCTCTTCCTTCCTTTCTTTTTTTGCTTGTGCGATTCTCTGAATCCACCCACCCCCCATCGATAACCCCGTCGTCAATTCTCGGCTCACTGGCATCCCATCAGTCCGTGCTGGATGGTCGGTTGGGGATGTATCTTACTGCTGTGCGTACGGTACCTGAGAGGCACTCGGAGAAAGACAGCGCTGCGCGCCGTTACGTACCCTGTGTGTGTGTGGTGGTGGATTCTGTCGATCTCGAGCTCGTGTGATGTGGACACCAGCCCCCGATATCATAATCATTGAGTATGCCTGAGCTTACTTGCGTTACCTCAGCCTAGCTTGGCTGAGCTTAGCTTGGACTGGGTGGGTCGCGTGGTGCGCAGACGGCTGACCAGGGCCCCCCATCACCAGACACGCAGACTCAGTGCGCTGGCGCAGATTCCATTGAGGTGCCACCGGATCTCGAGTGGTCCAGACACTTGGCTCAATGATAACAAACACACACCTGCAGCAGCAGCATCGTATCTGATATCTGCCATCTCGATCGATGCTTCCACGCCGGAGCGCCGGGCCGGTATCACGGAGGCAGATTCAGCCCGGGGGGAGCGTGCATTTCGTGCAGAATAGAAGGAAATAAGGATATGGTACAAGGTGTTGTATATGATATCATATTATGACGCGAACAAGGCAGAGGACGACGAGCGCGGCGGGACGCGCTTGCTCGATCCCCGCCTGCTCAACTTGTCCGTGCGAGTACTAGTAGGAGTGCTGGTGCTGGTGCTGGTGGTGGGGGTGGTGGTGTTCGATCGATCGAATCCGATGGGCTGCGACTGCGCCTGGGCCTTATTCGGGAGACTCGAGGACGCGTAGACAGCAGAAACCGGCGGCGCAGGCGCGACGGGCGCAGTGTACATGAACGGGGGCCGCGGATAAGCAGACTTTGATGGCACACTGGGCTTCGGGGGATACATGGGATCCGGATGGGCGTTCGAAGCGTACGTCTGGGACAGCCCGGACTTGTAAACGGACGCCGAAGCTTGAGAACTCGCGGTAGAAGACGCCGCTGCTGCTGCTGCTGCCGCCGCCGACGCAGACACAAACGGCCGCGTATCGGAATGGAGCATCGGAGGATGGATGTAGAGCATCGGCGGATGAACATAAGGGGTTGTCACTGCCGAAGGAGTGGCTGTCCTCCGATCTTGCGGCGGACTGCCCGACACTCGATACCTTGGCGGGGCCTCGACCGCAGGACTTGATTGCCTCTGGCTATACAACGGCAGCGGCTCGGGCAGAGACTCCCGCTCCTTCTGTTTGCCGGTGCGCTCCTTCTTCTTCGGCGGCTGCTGGGGCGGCGTGGGGGGAGATGGGGGGAGAAAGTGGGACCGCGACATATTGGGCAGAGAAGATGACGTCGGAAATGGATCGTGCAGGATGTCATGGAGACGACCACGCATATGGGTCTGTTGCGCAGAAGAAGAAGGATGATGATGATGATGATGCTTGAGTGGACCAGCCACGGGCGATGCAGCTCGGGAAAGCGACCGGCTACGAGGCCGCGAATGGGACCGCGAGCGGTCCGTTTGCTGTTGTAGGTGCAATGAAAGACCGCTGGGAGGAGAGAATCCGAGCAAGGGAGGCGTGACCGCCGAATCCGCCAGAGCCCGTGCAGCAGCGGCCTCCCTCGACCCGGGCGAGAACAGCAGAAACGGCACGCAGTTGCACGAATGCGGACACCCCGCAGCACCACAGTACACTCGCATCGGCTCCAGCGGCTCCGTCTTCGAATCGATCAGAGCAGCCCAGGGCGACAGGAATGGAGCGGGCGGCTCGTCCTCTTCTTCTTCCTCGAGATCCGGCGCGGTGGGCGGCTTCAAGTCCGTGATCGGAGAAAGAGGCATCGATTCGATCGGCAACTCGGCGAGGCTCTCGCCCTCAGGTGACGAGAACTCGACCTCAGCGCGCAGCTGCTGGAGCTCGTCGGTCACAAGAAGCAGTTGGGCTTGAGCGGCCTCGTTCTGTGACAGAGCATGGCATTAGCCAAAGAAGCCAACAAGCTCAGACGCCAGATACTCACTTGCCTGCATAACCGTCAGCGCTTGGGGCCCAGAACGGATATGGACATGAACGCACTCTGACAACAATTTCATCTCGGCTTCCATCGTCGCCAATTGCTCGGTAAGCTCGCTGCATTGGGCATCAAGCAGCTTCTCATGACGTTCTGTCTCTTCCAGTAGCTTCGAGTGCTCGTCCCTCTTCGACTGAGCCAGGTCGAGTGCCGTCCTCAGGCTCTGGATGTCCTTGTCCTTCAAGTCGGTCTGGAGGGTGTGCTGCGAGACCACAGCCGACTGCTCGAGATACATCCGCTTCACGTGACACATGTACTTCATCATGCAGTACGACGTGCGAAGCTCCGGGAACTAATCGCCAGGACGTGTCAGCCGACGCTGCTACGACTCAATGGAAGAGCATCGCTGCGCCACACACACACCGTTTTCAGGTCCACGCCTCCCAGGAACCGCCGGCACTCCTGCAACAGCTCGGTCGTCTGCACCTCCGACGCGCCACGCTGGGCCACCGCATTGATCCGATCCTGGAGCTGCCGCGCCTCGGACTCGGTTCCCGGCACGAGGGCCGTGCCGTCCGCCGCTGCGTAGTTGCGCACGTTGTCGAGGTCGACGTGCAGCCGCACGATGTGCCGCGGCTGGAAGGGCGACCGGCACAGCGGGCACACGGGCCGGGCCGCTATCTGGCGCAGACACCTGCAGGGCACGTGAGCACGGCGCAGAGAAGGCGGGCGCGAGGGGGACGACGGACGCGACGCAGAAGACATGGCCGCATGGGATTGACGATGGGGACTTGCCCTCGCCCGACGTGAAAGAGTCGAGGCATACGTCGCATGCTGAACCGGGGCCGAGACTGAGCATGGACAGGATATGATACTGCTGCGATCAGGGAGCAGGAGGGATGAGGTCGGTTGTGATATAAGTGGGACAGGTCAATGGAGCACCCCGATTAGGACCGGAATGGAGGAGGCCAGAACGCGGAGTAAACAAACAAGCAACAGTTATAATGCCCTCCCATGAGGCAAGATCAACCAAACGGGAGGTGTAAGCGCGCACAAACGAACTAGATCGTCACAGGACATCGCCGACTCTTCGATCAGAACACTTGACAGGCAAGTAACACTATGCCCTGATACGACACGCCTGATCAGGCAAGCTGAGGCGCGCCGATCCGCTATCCCACCATCGCCTTGGCCAGGGCAGATGGAGAGCGGGCGCGGCTGATAAGTGCTGTGCGGAGGGCAAAAGTCCCGGCGCAGCACTGGGGGAGGTGGAAGAATCGCGTGACAGGCCCAAGACACCGGTGAACCGGTTCCGTTCGTTCGACTGGACGAAGACTGGCCTCGTGCTGGGAGCATGTCACTGCGAGTGAACCTAACAAAAGCCCCAATGTGCGCTGGCTGCACTGCGATGGAATACCCTGCCGACATCGTGAGAGTCCGCAAATGAAATTCCCGGAGATAATAGATGAAAGAGTCGGCACCTGCTCGCCATCGATCCCAAGAAATCAGCAATTCACGGTGGAACCCTGTCACAACCTCATCTCATCGCCGTGCTATCGCGAAGCCTCTCAGGAATGACAAGGGGGGATTCAGCTCAAAGGATTACACTAGCAGCTGTGGTAAGCTTGGAACAAAGCCGGCCGCACTCGGGTGTTGTGGGGGGCCAACTTCCATTCTGCTGGAACCATGCGTTGTGGGGGTTGTCGTTACAGTGTCGTGAGAGCGATTCAAAGGGCCGTGCACACAAGGCTGGGGTGAGAGGAAAGCGTTATGTACGATCATGAGCGACATGGTAGTCAAAGGGAAAGGTAAGTAGCCCCATGCGAGTCAACGAGTCCGTCGTCTGACTCGACGCAAAACTGGTCACGCCGTCGTCACCAGTAACAGTAGGCCTGAGTCTGGGTTATTCTGGACGCGTGCCACGCACGTGGCTGATTGGCGTGCAAGCTGTCGCATGCAAGCGCGGTTCCTACACATTTATACTCTTTTATACTTGGCTATGAATCCGCGGAAGGTTCATTGAAAATCCGACTGACACAAGAGCCATCAATCTTCTCGAATCTATTTCACGAGATTTATAGTTCTATGAAGGAACCGAACCCTCATCTCACACATTTTCACTCTCCGCGTCTGTTTGTTCGAGTACCAGTCCTGATTTCATTGAATGCGAAGCGTCTAGACCGATTTCGACTCCCGTGCCTCATGTTCAGTTCGCTTTGGCGTCTCAGGCTGAGAACAGTCTCCTTTCCAGGCGTTGGACTCAGACTACCTAGGAGATGTACAGTAGCTGACAGTCCATTTTCATCGCCGTTCTTCACAAAGTCAAACAGGCAATCGCCGTGGATTTTAAAGCGGAACATTAATGGGGAGGACAGGTGTAAATAAACATATTCAAGAAAGAGAGCGGATGGGCCTAATGGCCGGACTTGATAAGCAGATAGCTGGAGGTGATCGAGTTCTGAGGGCCCTGAGGGCCGAGCTGCTGCTGCTGGCCACAGTTGATGGCGTCCTTTTGAGTCGCAACGACACGGAACAGCGAGCACGTGAGCAGCGGCGAGCTTTTCTGCAATCAGTGATTCAGTAAATCGTGCTTTCCATAGGGGAAGAGGACAACGGACGATGCTGTTGTTGTCGTGGTAATCTGGAGAGCAGGTTGAATTCAGTGAGCGAGAACCACGTCAGTCACATGCACGCACAGTTCGCACTCCAGCAGTCTTGGTTCGCAGTGCACATGTCGGCACAGGCTGAAATAGCGGTCAGAATCAAACTCGCGGGAGGGCGCAAGGCGCGTGGATTTACCCTGCGGAGAATCGACCAGACCGAACGTCTCGTACGCATTGGCCGGCACGAAGATCTGGATCGCGCACGTGAGATTCTGGAACCCATAGCTGTAGCCGTAGGGAGCAGGCGGCGGGGGCGGCGGTTTGCTATACGGGGCGCCGCTGCCCGGAAGCATCGTCGGCGGGGGCGGCCCGGACGGGCAGAACGCGCATCCCAGCAGCAGGCGCAGGAGATCGCACAGCAGCTAGATCGGCGGTATTGAGCACAGACATATTGCGGAAAGCGAAGAAACGGACAGTGCCGAAGAGACTGCCAACAGAGTGCACCAGCGACGCGAGCTCGGCGGGCGCGTTGCTTGGCTGTCCGTAGTACCACCCGGGCTGGCAGCCGGTCTCCCAGGGCGGGATCGGCGCGCCGTAGTTGTTGCCCGGGTGGATTCCCACAGCAGTCGTCACCACAGCCGCATTGGGGGCGGCCATGCCCGCAGCGCAGGCGACGAGAGCAGAGAGGAGGCAGAAGAGGTTGGCGCGCATGGTGTTCGAGTGGTTCGATGCATTCAGACAAATGTGCCTCTGCTTTTATACGCGCGAAAGAATGCCCAACGCCGGCACATTTACCGGCAAAGAGGACTCTCCGCCATTGATGTCAGAGCTAGACCAGGGACAGACAGGACAGGGAAGGAATGGGCTGCCGAAAAAAGAAGAGCCCTTGCTAGGGCCAAGGCGATGCGCCCTGTGATGGATGGTATGATCCTGTCATTTGCGGATGGACCCAGCAGAAGAGCAAGCACACCAGCAACTTTTTTTCTGAAGATTGTTTCATAATCCCAGCGAGAAATTGCGCGTCCCTGCGCATCAGTCCTTCCGCTGCGTTTGATCCGTGCCAGGCCTAGATTCAGCACAGCAGCGAAGAGCCACAGTGATTGGGAGTCACTGAAACAAAGGGACTGCGTAAGGCGCCCAGACTCGAGATGGCCATTCCAGACGACAGCTTCCAGGCCATATTGCCTGGGAAGATTCTGCGTGGAGTTTCCAAGATCAAGCTCTTCCGACATAGAACATGTCTTGAGTGGTCGCCACAAAGGCGGTCATTGGCTGCATTTTGCGCGCGTGCCACCCCAAGTACTCCACGGTAGAATTCTTGCCAAGTGTCTGCGGAAGGTCGCGAGCAGGTGAGAGTATATTCAGGTCCAAACGTTCAGCGCCATGCCACGGTTTAACGTTTAACGACTGCAGGATTCCAGGGTTAACGCAGAACAGGTCTCGGAGAGACCCATGAGGCGTCCATCAGTCACTCGCATCAATGTCTAGTGACCTGACATGTCACATCAAATGATGCGGACGTGTCAGTCGAATGATGAGGACGTGTCAGTCACACTACACTCCTCCCTCCTCACCGGCCAAATTTTACCCCTCCACTGAATCCTTTCCTTCGTTTATACATGGTCTGTCATTTCCCGTATTCACGCGGTGGCCCAATTCTCATGGCTCTTGACAGTCTGATTCAGATGTTCCTTCGCCCAAGGCTAATGGTTCTGGTGTGAGGCCTCCGGTGGGAACTCAAATTCGGTTCGTCCATTCCCAGTTCGACACGCAGGCGAGAACGTGCGCTCAACTCTTCTCTTGTGCCAGGCGACGTGCAGGCGGTGCTGTGACACGGCCAAACTCGACGCGGGCTGCTGGTGCTGGCGGGTCCTCTAACACTATGCTGAAACTCTACACGGATGACTCTCCTGGACTCCGAGTGTGCGTCTCCCCAACCATCCTTTCTTTCCTTGGCTCCGCTGACGGGTGTCCCCTCTGTTTTCTCCGTCTGCAGTGACCCGTTCATCGTGCTCATCCTCTCGCTGTCCTTCATCGCGTCTATCTTCTTCCTGCACATCTCCGCCAAAGTCATTCGTGCCTTCTCGAAGTAACAAACTGGCCTGGATGACCTCTTCTCTTGGCGGACTGCAGGGCCGAGTGCGGTGGGGATGGCTGGGGTCGGCCCTCCACCGGATGGTACAGTAACAAAAGTATCCCGCAGGCGCCTGTTTATACTATCCGTCACTATCTTATGCGCTTTCGGAAGGATTCGGCGGTTCCGCGAGTCACCGCATTCCATACCTGCTTAAGCTTTGCCTGGGAAAGGACTGGCGAACCAGTTCGCCCGAAGAAAGGTGTGAACTCGGAAGTGCTGTCACTCGTTCCTGAGAAAGTGCTGTGCGGAGGCTTCCCTGTGCGATTCGACACGACAGGCTGCGCGTCTGTAGAACACATGTCTGCAGGATATGGTGGCGAGCAAGCTTCCTGCTGACATGCAGTGGCTGCCGCCCATATCACATTCATTGTCGCGTGTTCATGCTAAAGCGAGTTTAGTGCCGGGGGGAGATTGTATGGCATTGCTCTTGTGTTAGTGTCTACACACTCCGAACTGCTCACGACATCATGAGAAGCCAGTCGCGTGTCGTCTAAGTTGAATGAATGCCCGCGACCTCGTCGATCCCAAGCACCCCCAACGCGTGGCGTCCCTGCTTCACCCAGTAGTCCACCGTCGGCGCACTCTCAAACCACAGTTTGGGGGTCAGCGAAAGCGCACCGATTTCTTCTACGAGTGGGTCTACCGAGTCGTCCTTCGGGGCCGCGGTTACACCGTCTTGGTTTCTTAGTAGGCCGCCGTTGGCAATCCATTGCGAGACGTCCGGCTCCGTCTTGAGCGTCTGCAGGATACCGACCACGGCCAGCAACGTCTCGTCGTATCTCGGCTCGTCTCCATCCGCCGGGGGTCCCGCCATCGCTGGCGCATGCGGCGCTGCTTTCACGAACGCAGGATCAGGCGCGAACAGGACCGGCTGCCGCGTCTTGCTTTTTTTGGCCTTCGCGTTAGGTTTCGTGCTTGACTCGGCTTTCTGCGCGCGCTCCGCGGTGTCGAGGTCGCGCCGCCTCGTCCCGGACGTGTACTCGGGGACACAGACGTGGTTGTCGGGCTGCAGATGCGCCTTCAGCGCGGAGTCGTCGAGCAGCAGCGTCGTGCGCTTTGAATGGATCGGGAACTCGGCCCAGGGTTTCGCCAGGTCCTTCGTGGTCTGTGTTTTCTGCCCTAGACACACGAGGGTGAGTGCAACAAACGGCTCACTCGGCACGGTGGAGCGCACGGTATAGATGCGGCGGGAGACCCAGCTTGTCCCGGGCCCAGATCGCGAGGAGTTTCTCCCGCTGCTCGGCGCTGAAGCACTTGCTGATCATGTCCGCGACACTGGGGGGCTGCGCGGAGCTCCAGGCCATGGAGTCGAGCCACTCCATCGTCAGTGGGTGGAATAGGTATTGCCCGAAAGACGCCAGGTAGGGGCGGGGGTGCACCGCGCGCATGCGCACATTGCCTTGGACGGTGCCCCGGCCGTATTTGGAGCGCAAGACAAGAGTTCCATTGAGATCGAGGATAAGCAGCTTTCTCGGTGGCTTGACCGACATTCACGATCGCGTCGTCGGATTAATGTAGCAAAAGATATTCAGCCGACCGAGATCTCGTATTTACAACTGGCGAAGATGGTTCCGAGAGAACAGTCGCAGCCTTGAGCACGTGAGCGGCTATATTTATCCATTTCTCGAGTGCAATATGACAAGAACCACCACTTGAACTTGGACTCCGACTTGGAAAGCGGGAAGGGACTGCATGACGACGCGCCATCTCACCCGCGCCATCCGCGACTGTTTTCCCTCGGGGCGCACTGTGAGATTGCGGTCTTCTCGCGCGCTTTCCTCCAAAGCGCCCCCAGAGCTCTTCGGCACAGTCATCTCGCACCAGTCGTACATCCTACTCCACTCTCCGCATCCACCGTCTTCCTTTGATGCTCGGCACTCTACGCCCCTACAGCGAGCGCTGCAGCTCCAAGTCGGTCGCTGGGGCGGCATCGTCAATTTCACCTGGAGACCAGCGCCAAATCAATCTGTGAACGAAGAGGCCCCATCTCTGACCGCCTTCTCTACACTGGGCGGCCGGCTGGAAATCTCGACTGTGCCGTTGTCGGACGTCGACAAAGTCTCAGAGCAACTGCGAGAACACGCACTGACACCCCAGGTGCCTGCGGCACGTGACGACGAACTGCATCTGTACGTTTGCACCCACGGAGCGCGGGATTGCCGCTGTGGCGACATCGGAGGGGGTGTTCTCCGTGCGCTGCGGGAGGAAACGGACCGACGCGTCCGCCTCGATCCGAACGACCTGGCCAAACACGTCGTGCTGGGAGAGGTGGCCCACGTCGGCGGCCACAAACATGCCGCCAACATCTTGGTATTCCCTCACGGCGAATGGCAAGTTCTTCCAGAGCCCTGATCACCCATTGATTGATCGATGTGTGTGCTCAGGCTGGGAAATCTCACACCCCAAGATGTGCCAGCGGTGCTCGACGACATCCTGAAAACGGACCGGCGACCGTCTAGTCCTACACAGCCTCCGCTTTTGCCACAGTTCTGGAGAGGCCGAATGGGTCTATCGAAGGAGGAACAGATCAACTTGTATGCAGCACAAGGTTAACTTTGTGTCTCTTAGATGGCCCTACTCAGACCTTCGGCCCGGACATTCCATCCAGCTCCAGGAAACCCGGGCGCAGTTCCATTGCTTCCATCCCAACCTCCGGCCATCATGGCAGTCGCATAGAGAAGAGAACCTGCCCCCGGAAAATACGGGGTCGGAACCCTGGAAATTAAGCAGACAAATACATAGATACGTCAGGCACAATCAAAGCAGCGACCTGAATGGCGAGCACGCACCGGACTCCTCCCACCGGCATCCCAACATCGTCGAACTGGAAATCAGGATGAAGCAGCCAGTCGACCGCTTGCTCCTGCTCTCCGATGCGCGCAGCCGACATGGCGAGCATCGGGAAATCCCAGCTGTGCGAAAATCGCATGAGACTCGTTTCGAGGCCAGCAAGTGGGACTGACCCCCAGAGGTTGGACACATTCCAGGTCGTCCAGACCTTCTGTGTCGTCAGCTTGGAGATATTGGCATCCACGCCAGCCGTCAGCGGGAGCCATCCGTGCAGCCCCACCAGCGCGGGATGGTCCTTAGTGTATTTGGGATCTGTCCAGAATCCATCTTCCACGTCCTCGAAGACCTTGTACAGGCCATTACTCCCCACCGGCAGCCCAGCCAGCCCGTTTTTAACGGTAGTCCAGTGGCTCGGTACCGGTTGGTTCAAGCGCTGCATCCATTCTTCGGCGAAGCCCAAGCCCAGGCGCCAGTAGGCCAGCTCGAAGGAGGGGTTGTACGTGTTGTTGTAGATGTTGTCCTCGGCGACCTGGTACATCGGCGGACCGAGGTCGTAGACCCCCGTCGACTGGTTGAACCATGCGAATGCGGCCATCCAGTCGGCGGTGGCGCGGACGACGGGCTCCCATTTTGCCAGTGTGGCTGCGCTGGGGAACGCGCGGTATTCGTAGTTAGCGAAGATCAGCGGGTGGGGCTGCTGCCAGATGAGCAGCTCGTTGATCTGCCCAGGCGCAGAACGGCCTTGAGATACAATCATCAATGAAGATGACTGGTCTGGAGTGGCTTAATGAGCACAGACCTGGTGGATCGCTCATCTTCCCCCACCGCGCCCCGGTCGGCCAGCCCTGCTGAACTTGAGCCCTCGCGATCGCGGTTGGGAGAAAGCGTTCGTAAATCGAGCTCGAGCGAAGAAGCAAGTCCCAGTTGTTCCACAACGCCCAATGTTGACAATGCCAGAAATACATTTCGAGGTGGAATTTCCTATGCGAGTGAGTCTACGCGTCTTCTCAAAGCTCAAATGCACCCACCCGTACTGGATAAAAAGATGGGAGATAAGGTCTTCCGAGACAGGAAATTCCACTCACCCAACCATTGTTCACAAGCCCAGACTGTACGCCTTGGTCTCTTCGTCTCATTCAGAAAATCGGCAACGCACCTCCTGCGGCGGAAAGTCCCCCGCTTCATTGACTCTCATCAAATACCTCGACAAGATTATCCTCCTCTGCAGCTCGTCGGCTCTCGCATCGCTCGAGCCTGTCAAGACATCCACAAATCCGGAGTTCAACCAAAAATCCTGCCAGGCGCGATTCGAGGACTGTCGAATAGATTCGAACGGCGCTGGAGTCTTCTGCGGCGTAGACGTGCCCCATGTCGTAGATAAAGTGAATTCTTTCCCTCTTGCGACCGGACGAAGGGTGTATCGGTGAGCATTCGGCGAGTCGCGAGTAATATTGATGGCATTCCCGGCCCCTATTGAGGTTGAGAAGGTCGAGTTTCCAATCGTGTGTGATATCGACGCCGAGGTCGAGCCATGTACGAGTAGCTGAGTGGTATGTAAATTCGCATTGGTCCATGACCCCACGAATGGAGCGGAGAACTTCGCTGACTGTGGTAGGGTTAGATACAGTTTGATCGGTTGAAGCATCAACCTCTCACTCCGTCGTTCCAAGGGAAATCCATGAATACTCCCAAAAGACCGGAATCTAGCAGAGGAGACAGTACTTTAACTCCGATAGTATCATCCTCTTGCCCACAGACGGTCGTAACAGTAACATCGGACCCATTGAAAGTGATACGGCTCGTAAGAGTGCCGGTCCAGATATCCAAGACCTGGTCTACACCGCTCAAGTCAGCCTCAGTGACATTCAGTCTCGCTCCGTCGGACCCAAAGAACACGAGCCCGATGTTGCCGAGATTGACGCGGTTGGGGTTCGCGATCATCCACTGCTGCAGCGGGGCGGGGCCGTTGAACATATACTCGACAAGCCGGCCGTGGTTGTCCAAGCTGACGCCGCTGTAGTCCGCGACGTCCTCGACGGTCTTGTTCGCCGGCAGTGTGTCGTTCTTCCAGCCCCAGCTCGACATGATCGCCCACGGCTGCAGCGTTTGCAGGCCTGTCACGTCCGCGCCGAACGCGAAATTGCCGTTCCCGACCTGCATGGGCGTGCTCGAGCTGGACGCGTTCCGCCGCGGGTTGTATCGCGTCACCAGGCCATGGCGGTCGATCTCAGCTGCAGCGCTGATGGCTAGCGAAAAGAAAGCAGTGGCAACAACTTGAAGGAGGATCATCGGCTTATGATAGCATCGCGGGCAGCCGAAGCACTTTTTGAAGTTCGTAGAAGTCGTGCACGGCCCGGCACAGGTCAGCCAGACGGCCTGGTGACATTGCGTTCGAAGGCAGACCGGTCATCTGCCGTCACGGTTACAAGTTACATACATTCTTCTTCAACGTCTAATACTTTCAGTATCCATATCCACCGGCTGCAGCGGACTTCGCGTTTCCGTTCACCTTTGCCAGCTCGGTAGCGAAGCCCGCCACGAGCGTGTCGATATCAGT